TGTGTGTGTGTGTGGAGGCTGGCGTGCTTCGCTTTGGTGGAGGGTGGGTGCTGTCTGGCTTTCTTTTCTCTTTCGTCATCGTCGTCTTTTTCTTTCTTTCGTCGCTCGCTCGTTCGTTCTTTTCGTCTGCGTCTGGACTCGTCATGGCGGAATGCTGGATCAAGAGACACGGCAGCCAGAGAGAGGCGCAGCCGCTTCGAAATGCCGGCCGGTCGTCGAACGAACAGGGGGGAAACGAGCAAGCGTCCACAGAGGTACCGACGAGGCGAGAGGCGAAACACGAAGACGAGCACACGACCGATCCCACATCCTCCCCAGCACTATGGCAGTCCTTAGTCACCATCCTCGCTCCTCCTCCTCCTTCTGCTCCTGCTCTCCAACCCGCACACGCACGAGCACACGAGCACACGAGCACACGACACACGACACACGACACCACGCACCACCCCTATCTCCCGGCAAGACCCGAAAGCCAGCTCCTCGTCGTCGGAAAAATCCAGAAGGAAATAAATCGAACAGCCAGCAGCCAGCAGCCAGTGGCATGAGCAGGAGGAGCGCCACGACCGCGCCAAGCCCGCCATCCAATAGCGAGGAGCGCGCGCGCGTGTGCCGGCGTTCTGTCCGGCCGGGGGATGTGGGTGTGTGGGGTTGGGGTGTTGAGCGGCGCGTTGGGAGGAGCTCGGCGTGGCGTCGCAATCCAACAACGCTTGCACCTTGGATGCGTTCCGTCCAAGCTGGGCGGGCGAGCCAGGGCGGCAATACCTACCTAGTACCTACCTACTGACTCCTGCTAGCAGCAGCCACGCAGCAGCCACGCAGCAGCGCAGGAGTCGCCTCGCTCCATAGCGGCAGAGCGACAAGGCAGCTCAGCGCACGAGCCTAGCGGCCGCATCCGCACTGCTGCTCTGGCTGGCCTTGAGCAGTTCGGCGGGTGATAGGGCGCGATTATTCGCTCACCTTTGGGCGGGCGGACTCGGCTCCACGCCTAGCTCCCCAGCCTACGCGTGCTATGCTGCTTGTAGTGCGGCTCTGTGCCCGCCAAGGCCCCGCGTTCCGCCCTAGCTGGGCCCAGATTCGCGTCTCCCCCGGATCAGCGCGCGCGCTCGGACGCCTGCTTCCCCATGGGCACCGCGCTTGGGGCGACGAGCTACTGCTGCTGGTTTTTTCTTTTTTTCTTGCCTTGTCGTAGGTTGTTGTTCGTGCGCGGCGCCGCTAGAGGCGAGCGCGTTGCGTGCTATATAACGGGCGTGGGCGTGTGGGGATGGCCGCTTTCTCCAGCAGCAGCAGCAGCAGCACTCCTCTCCTCCCCTCCTCCTCTCTTCTCCTCTTGTCTTACTTCTTCTTCCTCTACTTCCCTTCTCCGCAACTCTCGCTGTTGTCGACATGGCTGGTGGTGGCATGCCCGTTGCTGGCGGCACCGTCGAGGGAGGTTTCCTCACGGGCCGCAAGCTCATCTACCCTCTCTCGCTCGTCATTTCGCTGTTCTTCCTGTGGGGCTTCAGCTATGGTCTGCTGTAAGACACCACCACCACCCCACAAAATGCGGTTGAAAAACGGCCTACTAACACTACCACCCCCGCACAGTGACGTCCTGAACAAGCACTTCCAGACCGTCCTCGGCGTCACCAAGCTCGAGTCGACCGGCCTCCAAGTCGTCTACTTTGGCGGCGGATACCTTCTCTTCTCGCCCATCGCAGCCGAGGTGCTCAAGCGCCGCGGCTACAAGACGACCATCCTGATGGGCCTGGCGCTGTACTCGATCGGCGCCGTCATGTTCTGGCCGACGGCGCACTTCTCCACGCCCAGCAACTCGTCGGCCTCGTTCGGCGGCTTCATCGCCTGCACGCTGGTCATTGCGTGCGGTCTCGCGACGCTCGAAACGTCGGCCAACTCGTACGCCGTCGTCATCGGCGACCCCGCCACCGCCTCGGCCCGCCTCATGTTCTGCCAGTCCTGGAACGGCGTCGCGTCCTTCATCGGCCCCCTCATCGCCTCCAAGTTCTTCTTCTCGGGCGCAAACGCCCACTCCCTCACAAACGTGCAGTTCGTGTACCTGGCAGTCGCCTGCGCCGGCGCCGCCGTCGCCGTGCTCTTCTTCTTCGCGAACCTGCCCGAGGTCAATGAGGCCGCTACAGACGGTGAGGACGCCGTCCTGGCCGTCGACGAGCACGGCAACGAGATTGGCGCCGGCCCCCTGCTCAAGCAGTACAACATGCTGTTCGGCTTCGTCGCGCAGTTCTGCTACGTCGGCGCCCAAGTCACCGTCGCGTCCTTCTTCATCAACTACGCGACGGAGAACGCGCCGTACACGGCCGCGCAGGCGTCCAACATGCTGTCGTACGCACTCATCGTCTTCACGGTCGGGCGCTTCATCGCCACCGCCCTCGCCACAAAGTTCCAGTCCGACTTCCTGCTGATGATCTACGCGGCGTGCGCCATCGCGCTGACGGCCTACGTGGCCGCGGGGACGGGCCGGCCGGCCGTCGGCGTGCTGATTGCGCTCTTCGTCTTCGAAGCGCCCATGTACCCCGTCCTGTTCGCGCTGGGCACGGCCAACCTGGGCCGGCACACGCGGCGCGGCGCGGGCATCCTGGTCATGGGCGTGAGCGGAGGCGCCGTGTTCCCGCCCATCCAGGGCGCCGTCGCCGACGCCGCCAACACGCGCATCTCGTACGTCGTGCCGCTCGTCGGCTTCATCGTCGTGCTCGCCTACGTCACCATTCACTGGATGCGCCACGGCATGCAGATTGTGCGCCGCAAGGACCCCGCGGCCAAGATGCTCGAGGCCGGCACTCCGGTTGGTGGCGCCGTTGGCGGCGTCGTCCAGAACGTCCATTATGATGCGGACAAGGCCACGGCGGCGCATGTTGAGGGCGCGGGCGGCCAGGGCGTGTTTGTCGTCGATGAGGAGAAGGACGTTGCTGTCAATGTGCGGAATGTTTAAGAGTTGTTTGGTTCGGTTCTTGGTTAAAAGACGGGAATGATGCGATGCGATGCGCGATGTTGGGTGGGTTTAATGGCATGGACATGGGCTTGGGCATGGGCATGAGCACGACGCTATCTACGATGGACGACGATAATATCGGTTACGCGATAGATGATACCACATACTACACACTACACATTACATATACACATAAGCAGCCTAGTAGATAGATAGACAGCCAGACGAACGCAGTTGTAATTGTCTACATACCACACTTTCCTCCTTCGCATTCATTCCCATCCATAGCATTGCATTGCAATGCCAACTACCTCACTCATCTCACTACCAATCCAACTCCTCCCACTCCGTACCTAGTACTCGTAGGTAATCCGCCCCCACGCCCGCGCCACCATACCCACCCACCCCAACACCGCAGCCACGCACACAGACACACATTAAGTAAGCACTTAAATCCAAAAGCAAAAAAGCAAAAAAGCAAAAAAACAAACCCCAGACCCCAGACCCCAAAAATCGCCAAAACAAGCAAAACCTGCAGCAAGCGCGAGCGCCACTCCCGCGCAAATCGACCCCACGCCACAACAGCAGCCTCGTCCGTCAGTAAGCATCATAAATAAATGTCCCTTTCAACGCCACCGATTATATATATGTACCTGTGCGCTGCTGCAGCAGCTTCTTCTTCTTCCCGCTACCGCCTCTTTCTGCTGCCCGTCCCGACTCCCTTTTCCTTCCTCTTCCCCTCTTTCGATGATGTGGCCGATGACGCCGGGTATAACAACTGGTTTGAGGGATGCGTGTGTTTGTGTGGGGCACGCACACACACACCCTCTCTCTTACCTGTTCACTGCTCGCTCGCTCGCTCCCTACATATTCGCACGCGGCAGCGTCAAACGCGCTCCGCGTGCCCCGACGACGAGTCCTGCTGCAAGGCACGCACATCAGCACCACATCCACAACCACCCACACGCACAACAGCACGAAACACAGCACTCACCCTCACACTAGTAGTGACATAAATGCCGCCCTCGCTCAACCGCAGCTCGCCCCCCTTAGCCAGCTCCTCCTGCGAACTGCCGCCCTCATCATCCCAGTACGAGCTGAGGACACGGGCGGGCCCGCCACCCCGGCTCGCCACGCTCTTGAGCATGATGCCGTCGGGGCGGGGCGGCAGCAGGTTTGCGGCGGCTGTCTTGGCCGACGCCGACGACGGCGCGCTGTGCCCGCTGCGTGGCGGCTTTTCTTTCGACTTTGAGTACCCGCGCGACGTGTTGCGCTTGGTGCGGTAGAAGGCGGCGAAGGCGGGGCAGCAGCCTATGAAGACGGCTGGGGGAGCGAGAGGAGGGGTTAGCAGTGGTTGGTGATGGTTGTGGTGGTGAATTGGAGAGAGGGTTGGGGGAGAGGCGTACCGATGGCCGACTCGACTATCGCCCACAGCGCCAGCCACGAACTGCTCGGCGTGCTGTTGTTCCCCGCGCGGGTGCCAATCTGCACGACGCGGATGATGGCGATGATGATGCACACGAAGCCGGTGCAGAAGAGGGCGCCGATGCCGGCTTTTTCCATCCGCGGCATCTGCAGGTTCCAGATTAGCCGGATGGGCAGCGCCATGATGAGGAGGTCGGTGAGCACGTCCACCGCGAACGCGTAGTATAGGCTGGCTATCTGGGCGTTGATGTCGCGGGGCGTGGTGCAAAGGCCTGCGAGAGTGGGGGTTAGAGTGCGCAGGGTGGGGTGGGGTGTGCGATGAAAAGCTACCTGGCGTGAACCATGCGCGCATGCTGTGACAGGACGTGATGTTGGAGATGACGGCGCCGATTAGTGTCTGTGGGTCTCGTCGTTAGTCTTGGTCTGGAGTTGTGTGGCGGTGGTGGTGGTTGAGAAGACGTACGAGAGCGCAGAAAATGACCAGGATCCACCACAGGATGATATACGTGCGCAGGTTTGTCATGAGGCGGCGATATAGCGCGAGCAGAGAAAACTTGACGGTCCACAGGGTGAACCACAGCAGCATGGTGTTGTAGAAAAAGATCTTGACCATGAAGACGGCGTCGTCGATCATGGTGGGGTAGGGGGGTGCTTTGCCCATCTCGACATTGTACACTCTAAACATTGGCGGGGTGACGATGATGTAGCTGATGGTCAGTGCCAGGAACAGGCCAAAGGACAGCAGGACGAGAAAGTCCTCGATCTGCGGGCCTTTGCGTTTCCAGATGCGGATGATGAAGCGGGCGGTGACGACGGTGGAGATGACGGCGATGAGGGTGTAGCCGGTGTGGACGAGGACTTCGGGGGTGAAGTAGTTGTGGATGGCGCCCGAGGAGGAAGTCATGGCGGCGACGGTGACGGTGACGGTGGCAGCGACAACGACAGTGATTCTTCTTTCTTCTCTCTTCTGACAGGTGGGATGATTTGCATCATGATGCAAAAAAGAAAAGGAAAAAAACCAGAGGAATCCAGGGATCCCGGGGGGCAGCTCTGTGCAATATACAACGGCTGGCAAGGGAGAAGAGCGACATTCAGTCCCTCGCGTAGTGGCAAGCGCTTTGGACCCAGAGGGGCAATGGGCCTTGCTTCGGCGCGCACTCCTTGCGTGGGGCAGCTGGCGCACCGCAGACGCCGACGTGACACGGCTTTGATGAGCGCAAGCCGACCCTTCGCCCAGGCATGTCGTTTGCGGCAACTGTGTATGTAGAGCACAGCAGAGCCGCCTTTTCTCCCGCCTCGCACCGGTCCATTCCCAGTCCCCGCGCGGTGGTTCCAAAGTCCTCCCCTGCAGCTGCCAGCTTCAACCCTCTCCGCCTCGATATGCGCTTCCTGTTGCTTTTGGCCGCTGCATCCGCCGCCTTGCTGGCCTTCGAGCCCGCTCCCTTCGACGTCCACGAGGCCCTGGCCCAGCGTGGCGTGCAGCTTGATCAGGCACAGCTTGCGGCTGAAGCTCCCGCTGCAGATGACACTGCCGCCGCCTGCGAAGTGGCCGTGAGTTTCAGAATTGTTTTTTTAATCCCGCCCGCTTACTTTTGTGCTTAGTGCTCCACGCTCGCTTTCCTCTACAAGGACGCCGTCGCCAGCCGTTACACGCCCGCCTACACAAACCATCAGCACGCCTATTGGTCCCTCCAGCAGGCCACCGCCGAGCCCTACTGTATCTTTTGGCCCACCCACGCCTTTCAGGTCTCGACGACCATCTTGCTGTCGCGCCTCACCCGCTGCCCCTTCGCTGTCAAGAGCGGCGGCCACGCCGCCTTTGCCGGCGCCTCCAGCATCCAAGGCGGCATCACCATCGATCTGCACCTCTTGAACGAATTGACGCTGTCCGCGGACAAGTCGCGCATCTCGCTTGGCCCGGGAAACACGTGGTATGACGTCTACACGACGCTGGAGCCAGAGGGCCTTGCTGCTGTCGGCGGCCGCGTCGCGGCAATTGGCGTCGGGGGACTGACCCTGGGAGGTGCGCGCCATCGTCTTTATTTCTTTTTCTTCGTTTCTGTCTGTCTGGTCGAACGCATGGGCTGATATGCTACACAGGAGGTATAAGCTTCTTTTCTGGTCTTTATGGGTGGGCCTGCGACAACGTTGTGAACTATGAGGTAAGTCGAACGGGACGGCATCAGCCGAGGATCTCTCCGCTCGCGTTGCACCAGCACCAATATCTGCTTTGTGCGCCGTCGACACCGAATCACGGCCGTCGGTGCTCAGTTCCACCCATCTGCGGTGGAATATCACCTTCAGCCATTCCCTTCTCTGCCACACCTGCCGCGCCAATCGCAGTGCGCAGCTGGCGATTGTGCATGCACCCGGCACGGGCAACCGAGGTCCGGCATCGATTCCCTGGCCGGGGTCCCTCTCAAAATGCGAGCTGTTTACTGTTGACGAGGGCGCTTCCGCTGACCTCGTCTTCCTTTACAGGTTGTTACTGCGAGTGGTCTCATTATCAACGTCAACCGTCAATCCTACCCCGACCTCTACTGGGCGCTTCGCGGCGGCGGCAACAACTTTGGCATCGTGACGCGCTTCGATGTAGCCACTTTTCCTCAAGGTCTCATGTGGGGCGGGGGACGGTTGTACTCGTGCGAGCACCGCTCAGCCATCATCGCGGGCTTTATGGAATTTGGCGCGAACGCGGCGACGGACACGAACGCAGCCGTGATCCTGTCCTTTGCGTACGCCAACGGCTCTTTCCTTGCTGAGTTTGACATGCAATATGCAAAGCCCGTCGTAAACCCGCGCATCTTCGAGAACCTTACCCGCATCCCTGACGCGCTCAAAGACACGACGCAGGTGCAGTCGCTGGCGGACCTGACGCTGCAGTTCAACCACTCGAACCCGTCGGGCATGCGCGAGACGTACTGGGCCACGGCGTACAAGCTGGACCGCGCCCTCGTCGACGCCATCCTCGACGTCTACATGGCCGAGATCGACCGCATCGGCCACGTCGACGGCCTCGTCCCCGCCTGCACCCTCCAGCTCATCACGATCCCGATGCTCGAGCACATGGCCAAGAACGGCGGCAATCCACTCGGCCTCGCGCCCGGCGACGGCCCGCTGCTGCTCATGAACCTTAATGCCCGGTGGACGCGTGAGGCCGACGACGCGGCCGTCCTGCGCGCCAATGCGAACATCGTGGCGAGAGTGGACGAGCGCGCCCGCGACCTTGGCGCTTATCATCCGTATGTCTACATGAACTACGCGTCGCAGTTCCAGAGCGTCATCCCGAGCTATGGCGAGCAGAACGCGCGCCGCCTCCGCGATATCGCCCGCAAGTACGACCCCGAGGGCGTGTTTCAGACGCTGCAGCCTGGGTACTTTAAGCTGGATGGCGCCAAGACGAGCGAGTGGTATTGAGGACGACGATGACAGCGAAGAGCATGTGCATGTGTGGCGCCGGTTGCCTTGATTTGCTGATGTTGCTGTTGCTCTGATTCTTGCTTGATATTGAGGTTTCTTCTCTTCTCTCCTGTTCTTCTTCTTCTTGTTTTGCTCCATCATCTTCTTTCTTCTGCGTAATCGCCATGGCCTTCCCCGTGTAGCTGTCGGCCGTCTTCGGTAGTACATAGCTCTTCTGCCATACGAGATGTTTTCAACCCTCGTGATGGTGCTGCAACTGTGGAAAGCCAGAGGAACTCGAGCGTGCCTGTCTGCGAGGAAAGGGTAGGAGATGATTATCAGAGGCCGCGGGGATGCGAGTGGCAGATCCGTCGTTCGTTATCGTGGTCGTCGTCGCCGCTGCGTCCATACCCCGCACGAGTAGAGCAGTCCTGGTCTCCACGCCGTTTAACATCTCATACCCAGCATACCTACCCAGCCTCCGTCCATCTATTCACTCTTATCCCACCGCATACCAACCCAAACCTACGATACCAATACACCTACCGCCCCACCTACCTATTCATCCCACGCAAAGACGCTTACATCCTCCCCGCTCCATCCTACTCTACCTTTGCACCACCGCCCATCACGCACCAACCAACACCACACTCCACCACAACCAAACCCACTCCTTCTTACCTCGCCTTCCCCCCCCCGGCTCGGCGTCATGACCCACCTGTTAAGCTTACCTACCTACCTACCCACCATAGCGCCCACCTACCCCGCCTCAACAGCGCGGTAGCACACGCACCTGCTATACCGCCAGTTCTCCAAGGCCCGCTTTCAGCAATACGACAAGCTCGTCGGATGGGTGTAGGACGTAAGCCAGAGAGGCAGGGACGCAGACGCAGACGCAGTGCGGGGTCGCGGCATCGCGGTGTCGCGGTCGTAGGTAGACACAGCCCACGTCTCGGACGGGATTCTGAAACGGGACGGCTGGCCGCGCGTGCACAGAGATGGCAGTAGGTGTAGCGTACGCAGTCGTACTCATAGACGCAGGGCAGGTATTCCTAGGTAGGTACGCCGTAGGGTATCGATCTAGACAGAAGTCGGGCGTCAGCTCAAAGTGCGCGCTACGCAGCGACGGCGCCGAACCGAGTCATGCCCTGCCCGGCCACCCTGGGGCCCTGACACGCAAAACGCCCCCCGATCGACCCGCCAGCCCCCCCGGGCCCACGCCGCGCCGCACGGGCCAGTTGCGGACAGAGGTTAATCTCTACGTGCGTCGTCTTTCTGTCTTTTTTTTCTTTCTTTCTTGCTTTTTTCTTGCTTCTTGCTTCTTGCTTCCCTGATGCCTGGACCCCTGGGCCCCTGGGGCAAGGTCCAGCATGTACGCGCGCGCACACGCGAGAGCCGTTATTGCGCTGCCACGCGGCCAGGCGGGGATCTTGCCATCCAGACAGGAGCTGGACGCAGGGCGCGGCCTGGCGAACACGAATACGGTGTACGGTATGCGGAGTAGTTAATGCCTGTTTTGGAGGTGCCTTTTCTGCTGCGCTTGGCTGTTGCTGTTGGTGCCTGCGGCGGGAATGGTGTTCTGGTTAGAAGGGTTAAGTATTTGGTGGTTGTTTTTTTCTCTGTGTTTCTCTCTCTTTCGCTATCTATTTATCTATCTCTCTTGGTTTGTTGTTTGTTGCTGGGCTCTTCGTTGGCTCTGGTTTTGTTCGCCCCACGTTCTTTGCGCGGTGAGGCTCTAACTGTTCGAAATGCAAGGGAATAATGTTCGATCGGCCAAGGAACTCGGGGAGCAAGAGCTAGGCCTGCGTTGAGGAAAGGGGAAGAGATACCTCCAAAGTTCCAGTACAGGACGGCACCGGATCCGTCGCCTCGCCCTATCCATCCACAGAAAAGGCACGACAACCTTCACGACCATCAACAAAAAATAAACATGCAAAACCGTCCTTTCAGCCATCACAATGTCCGCCTCCACCACCTCCTGCCACATGCTCCGCCTCCCTCAAGCTGCTCGAGACTGACGTGCCCCCCGGCATGTGGACTGCAGCCAGCAGCGCGGCAACGCAAGCTCCCAGCTAAGGCTCGATCCGACGAGGTATTCTCGGGACCGGCAGCGAGAAGCAGCGAAGCGGGAGTCTGAGCGGGAAGAACGGACCGCAACGGATGACTTTCGGTGGGCGGGTTGCCGAAAGCGGAGAACAGAGGGGGGAGGGGGAGGCACCGTACCACAGCAGCAGCAGTAGCAGCAACGGCTCAGCGCAACGTTTCCCGCGGCATAGCCATTACTTAAAACAGATGGCGAGCACGAAGGAGCGGCGCCCCTGCCGCTTGTGCCTTCTTTCTTGGCGCCAGTACCGCACCACACCGACGACGATAACGATATTGATATCGATCCGCCACAACCGCGCGAAGGATCTTCACCCCCGACGCCCTCCCACGCCTCCTCCTCCTCGCACCAGACGACGCCGCTGCTCCCGCCGCGCACCACCGCGCGCGTCTGGATCGAGATCGACTTGCAGACCCTGAACGCCCTGTTCTGCGTCACGGGGTTCGGGAAGGATCTGTGGTGCGGGATCTGTGGTGGTGGGCTGTGAGGCGATGAGGGTGGGGAATGAGGGAGGGGCGCCAGTAAAGCGGAGAGGAAAGCGTATGGGTTGGGTGTTCTGGCGGGCGTGCAGAGGAAGATGCCGCGACTGTAAAGGCGAAGGCGCTTCTGGAACCGGCGTCGGGCTTACGTGCTCCGCCGACCCCGGCCTGGAAGATGGACGCTGTCGTGTGGTGCAATGTGTGGAACACGCTGCTGCAGGCGTGTCTGTGCGGGTTCATGTGAGGAATGGATCCATATGACCGGACGAGCTGGAGTACCGGGTTGTTTATTGGGCTGGCGTGTGTTGTGGCGACGGTGGGAGGATTGGTAGTCTATGTGGACGGGATAAGGTGAGGAAGGTGGAGGAAGAAAATGGGGCTAATGGAAAAGAGATGGTTGAAGTTGGAGAGCAGTAATGGATAGGGATAACTAGGTGCGTAGACATTAAGGAGAGTGACATAGAGAGATACTTCAACAGTCACAGACAACACAACAACAGCAAAACTCATGATACCAAAAGAAATTACATTCAGTCCAGCGACCTATCAATCATGACATCGTATCAACATCATACTCGAGCAGCCCACACCCCTCTACTTCGAGTCCGGCAGGCCTGAGGTGTCGTGGATCTTGTTGGGCAGCGCCTTCTCGACGCTCTTGGGCACAGCCTCCTGCAGGACCTTGGGCACCTTGCTGTCACCCGTCGCGTGCGACTTGCTGCCGGTGTCGCCGGTGTCGTGGATTTTGTTGGGGACACCCTCCTCGACGCCGCGAGGGAGCTTCTCTTGCGCGCCGAGAGGGACTGCGTTGGAATGGCGTTAGCGGGCTTTGTTCACACAATCGAGGAAGAGCGGAGGGGGGTTGGAGGGAGGGGAAGCGTACCGTGCGAGCCACCGGTGGCGTGGGAGCGGTTCGTCGAGTCGGACATTGTGGTGGTGGTTGTTGTGTGGTCTGGGTTGTTTGTATGTGTATGTGATTGAAGTATTGCAGACAATCAAAGACAGACGGATGGATAGCTGTCACCAAGCACCAAGCAGCAGGCGTCTTATATACCGACATCTCACTCCCACTAGAGTGCACTCGCACTGCCCCCCAGACCAAAGATAGATCTATGACAGAATGACAACCAGCCACACCAGTGACATCTTCCCCGCACCCTCGCAGCATCATCGACACCGGCGTCCAGCCAATCACCTCGAGCTAGCCCATCCTCCTTTTGCAATGTCTAGGCTGCAGCAAGCGCGCACGCAAACGGCCGTGATATCATCACTTTTGTCTCTCGCCTCACCCATCACCTCATCCACTACTCCTCCCCCATCACTCCCATCCATAGCTCGTTTTCCGAGCTCGCACCAGCGAGCATCAGCGAACTCAGCAGGCCCAAGCAAGCATCAACGAGCATCAGCAGCCCAAGCCTCCAGAGCATGATATCAACACCTTCCCCATACGGAAATGTACAGGGGTGCGTCGCGCCCGCTAACCAGAAGCGATGAGGTCATCGTTACCCCGACACAGCTAAGCGCGACCTATGGTGGCGTCGGGCGCGGTCGGACTGTCTGTGCTTCCGACGCGGGCGGCTGGCCGGCCGAGCTGTCCGGCTGCTTCCGGTTGGTTTGTGGGCGGTGGTGGGCGGGCGGGCCGGGTCTTTGTTGCGTGAAGGGGTGGGAGTGGCGGGCGGGGGATGTCCTGGCCGGTTTTGGGGATGGGGGATTGGTGTGGGAGGCTGGGAAGAGGCGGTTTGCGCTCTCTTTGTTGGGTGAGAACGGAGGGAGTTCGGAGGATAGAGCGGCTTGCTGTGGGCTTGGTGGTTGGGCTTTTGGGGGTCGGGGGGCTGCTTTGTCTGTTTGCTGCGGTGACTACGACTTAGACGATCGAGCGTGCGTGGGTTATGGTGCACGTGTTGCAGGTCGAGTATTGTGTTTGATGGCGGATTACGATTGACACTTACGATCTTGCTCTTTTTACTAATATTAAAGAGTGGTTGTTGCGAATTTATGCATGGTCGTTAGCAATGAATATCTTGGGGTGTTGAAGATATGAGACTGAGCGACGGCCACTGAATGCTAGAACGTTACCACTGATAGCAATACATGATTGGTCGCATTTATCTGATTTCATTAGCATGGAGCATGAAGTAATTTAATGCTAGACAAAGAGAATTTGTTTTCAGATGCAGAGCGTTGACAAATGGTTCCTGCGGCTGGCTGAGACAACCATATCACAGTCTCACAAAACAGTGTCCATCGAAGCTATCACATGGCCTTAGGTTACTTTGCTCAACTTGCGAACAGGCTAAAGCTGGTTATTATGATTGAGGGAACCCGAATAAACCGGAATAGAGTGTGAGACATGATAGTCACATGTCTGCTATCGCAAACATCGTTACTCAAAAGTTAACGTTCTCCGTACGTTGAAAAAAGGGGACCTTAAGAAAGGGTAATAAGGGGCAAAGCCAAAGTACACAGGGCTGACACAAATACAAATGAAGTTGTACGAAAAAGACCTTCGGAGGTCCGAATTTTGGCCTTCAGCTGCTGATTAGCGTTGATGATCATATAATTGCAGCTATGTGCTACTAGCAGGCGGTGACAGAGTTAAAGTGAAGTCACATAGAGCCCTAGACGTTCAATGTTCGAGGTTCAAATTACCAAAAGAGGCAATAATTTGAGGGTTGAACCAGAACGACAAAGTGAAATTGAGCACAAGTTTTAGACGGCGGGCCTTAAAAACGCGAGTCTGTAGGCGCGTCCGACAGTCCGCAGGTTGGAATTGGCTATGCCAAGGGCATGGCGCCTCAGCACTCTATGTCAACAAGCAATTGCTCCAATGGGCCCCTGTGGCCGGACATGCGGGGCTCACCGCTCCCGCCACTTGTGGTGAAGAACGTGTCTGGGGTTGTCGCAGCGAGCACCCAAGATACGCGAGGTAATTTCTCCGAGACATGGTGCGAGCCTCTGACTGCTCTGGATTGGGGGCGGCTGATGACGTTCATGCTTACTGACAGATCAGCAGCGTCCTCGTACGAGACAAATGAGCTCAGCACCATCCTCTATGAAGATTTGTTGGGATTCAAATGCTTATGTCGGCAGGAATCTTGCCGGTCGCCCTGAGACAGGTCAGTCACCTATGATGTTTAGGCAGGCCATTTGCAGGGGTTTCGGGAGGAGACCCGGAGCGCCATGTACATGCACGTTGTTTCCAAGGAAGCACCCCCGGAATTCGTATCTCGCAGCGGAGTGAAATCCAGTCCCCGGAATTTGTCAATCAAAGCTGGCTGCATGGCGGGTAGTTACTTACATGCATGGCATGCGTGTGCCGAGCGCTCGGCTTTCTAAGCCACATTGCGCGTACACTGCTTGGCTAGGCAAGTCAACGTCATCAGTGAAAACTCACTGAGAGAGATGCGGGAACATGTCATGACTGGGATATGGATTTTGAGAAACATTGGCATTCGTAGGCGGCGTGGCAGGGGAGGTTGTGATAGACTTTGTTGCAGGAGGCGTTGCCGAGAGAGAATGTGCACCTTGCCCTCGGCATCGGCCAAACAAACAACAAACCACCGTCGTGCAGCGTATTCTGCACCTCCATCCAAGCAGCAACACGTTATCGTAACCGGGCATTTTCACACTGCTGCAACGATCGCGCTGATAAGACAGTAGGCTGTTTAGACGATGTTGTGATAATGTCGCTTTTCAGCCGCATGTGGTCGAAGAAGCCGCTTTTCGGCCGCACATGGAAGCCACTCGCATTCCCCAGTAAGGGTTTCGTCCCTATTTCAGCAGACAAGAAGGTCGAAGAGGAGACCCTTCCAGACTATGTTGCTTCCCGGTACTATCCTGTCCGAATCGGCGAAATTTTGCGGGAACGCTATCAAGTCGTGGGGAAGTTAGGGTATGGAGCCACCTCAACAGTGTGGCTAGCACGGGACCTGAGGTAGGCTAGTTATATTCCTTCTCTGCCTGGCGCCTATAGTATTCGCTCAACTATAAACTTTAGCGAATGCCGCCACGTTGCTCTCAAACTCTTCATCCATTCCGAATCCATGGGGAGTGAGCTGGACAACGAGCTCAACATTTATAAGCGCGTCGAGAATGCTTCGGGTGCGGCAACCAGTGGTATCTTCAAGGACCACCCGGGCCGTACTGCCGTCCGTTCGCTACTCGACTCATTCGACGTCAATGGGCCCAAAGGGCAGCACCGGTGCCTCGTTCACCAGCCGCTCTGGGAGAACATACTTGGTATCAAGCATCGTAACCCTGTGCGGAGACTGCCCGAGCCAGTTGTGGCTTTTACACTTAAGCGCCTTTTCCATGCCCTAGACTTTCTGCACAAAGAATGCCACGTTGCGCATATCGATATCAAGGAGGCTAACATAATGCTCCCAGCAGATAATTCTGTGCTTGAAGAGTTTGAACAGGAGGAGCTTACAGAACCTTGCCCAAGGAAAGAGCTGTATGGGGGAATTATTTACCTTTCCCGTGAGCTTAACATGCCAAAAGACTTCTATGCGCCTATACTGTGTGATTTTGGCTCAGCTGTACCTCTAGATGACGGGGTCGAGCACCGGGAAGATATCCAGCCTAATGTCTATCGAGCACCGGAAATTATCCTAGATATTCCATGGACGTATAGCGTTGATATATGGAACGTGGGATGCATGGTGAGTGCCGATAGCTTGGATGGGAGTTCTATAACTGACGACTTCCTACTCGCAGGTCTGGGACGCCTTCCAGGGTGAGCACTTGTTCACCGGCAACGACCCGGAACTCCAAACATACCGGGGCCGAGCCTATCTCGCCGAAATGATAGTCCTTCTCGGTCCACCGCCGCCGAGCCTTCTTGCCAGGGCGAACCTAAGGAGCAAGTTCTTTTCTGATGCTGGTGAGTTGCGTGCTTTCTATCGTTGGAATATTCCCTTTCGCTAACAACGTGTTTTTCCAGGTGAGTTTTGCGCGGGGATTCCCATTCCAGATCCGACTCCGCTTGAGCGCAGGGAAACGTCTCTTGAAGGGGAAGACAGGGAGTGCTTCCTACGCTTTATGCGGAAGATGCTACAGTGGGAGCCAGAAAAGCGCTGCTCCGCTGGAGAGCTAGCAGAGGACGAGTGGATCCTCAAGCACTCTACGTAAGGGCAGCGAAGAGACGGATGTTGTTGCTGTTTTCGGCGAAAACCCTAGGCTGCACGGGCTTGCGCTGAGCGAACAAGCGAGACTTCTACATATGTTGAAGTATTGTGTTGCAATCTTTCTCGTGCAAGAGGTTGTACTGGCCATCGCAACACCAGATCATTTTGCAGCTTCGCTATCGACAGCTCGATTGTAGGGATGCTGCCAAAAGGACGGAATGTAACGAGGCCCAGAATTCCAGAGGTACGGGAGCCATCACTAACTCGAATGGGTAAAGAGGGGAAGTTGAGAGAACTGGTGGGGCAGTCGAGACCAGTCGTCCGTCGTTGTACGAATAAGAAAATAGGCGTTTGTTAGTCGAGCAAATACGAGACCAAGGCTGTGGTTAGTGGCGGTAGTCAACCTGCATGAAAGTCAAAATTGGGAAAAGAGTCGACGAAAGCACAGCCTCCCCGCCGCGAACGATAGGTAGTGATCGCGGAAAGCTGTCGCAAAAAGCCAGACGACGGGCCTCGCACGCAATCTTGCATTCCTATCATGAGAAAAGGGAGGACGCAAGGTTTCCATCGAGGGTATGCAAGGTGACACCCGTTCCTGGCGCTGACGACTCGCGCGACGTCGACTTACTCTGCTCTCCCGCTCGCGTCTCCTCTGCACGTTCGGGGAGCCGATCAGCGCACACAGCAACGAGCGTAAGCTGAGGCTGCCACCAGCGCCGCGCCAAAAGGACGCGTGGCCGGCTGGGCTGTCGTCAATTCAGGGCAACCAGCGCGCTTCATATAGGCGGCGGTTGGCTGATGCAGGTGTAAGGCTGGGGGGCACCGCCCAGGTCACGGATCCCCGCATCGGAGCAATCGCGACACAAGCCTGAGAAGAGCCAAGCCCTTCGGAGCTGAGCGGGATAGTATCTCATTGCCCTGCCTTTGCCTTTGCTTCTGTTGCTGCCGCTGCGCTATTCCGAGCTCTACTGTGTCGGGCGTCGGGAGATGGATAGTGCATGCATGCGTGCAGACGCACAAGCTTTTAGGCTTGGAGGGGGCAACGTAATGCCACCAAGACTTGAGTTGACGGAAGTTCTACTCAAATAGCTGAAGGGCTTCTCCGCCGTCCGCCTGATGGAGTGAACTGATGATCACCTTGCACCTTGCAACGGCCCCCTTCGCAATTCATTGTCAGCTGTCCGGGGCGCTAGAGACAGCCTCTCCTCGTTTTCTTTGTTCAGAGTTAAATATAATCCCTTGGCAACCTTGACCCAGACAAACCCCAAATATTGCTCTTCCACCTCTTTCCCCTTATCTGCTGGAATGTTGACGACCCGCAAAGTTGCTGCTGCCCTAATAGGGCTTGGTGAGTTGATAGACCCCACTCCCGATTACACAGTCGATGTTGACTATCCTGCGAAGCCTCTACCGCCTATGCTCAGGTTTCCAGCGCCTGTCAAGGCGATGTGTGTTTCGGACTCAATATTCCAGAAAACACTGCTTCCTCAGGAGATGGCGACATTTTCTTTCAATTGACAGCACCGACCAGTTACTCATGGGTCGCCTTGGGCCAAGGCGGCTCCATGTCTGGGTCCAACATCTTCGTCATGTATACCTCAGCCGATGGAAAGAACGTGACGCTTTCTCCTCGACTAGGTACAGGGCATGTCATGCCGAATTACAACGAAGCGGCTAAGGTCACACTCCTTGATGGATCTGGCGTGTCTAACGGGAAGATGGTAGCAAATGTCAAATGTAAGTTACCATCTCTCTACTTACTAGCATGGTACTCATAAGAGCACATTGTAGGCTCAAATTGCAACTCTTGGTCCGGTGGTTCCATGGACTTCACCTCCTCTGATGCTACCTGGATATATGCAAGCAAATCAGGAAGTGCTTTGAATACCGACGATAAAAGCCAGAGTATCTCTCAGCACGGAAGATACGGAAAGTTTACCTGGGACTTCGCACAAGCGAAAGGCGGCAGTAGTGTCAACCCGTTTACGTCCTCGTCCAGCACTTCGGGGTCAGGTTCAAGCGGAGCTACTGGGACACGGAGCTGCACCCCGAGGAGCTCTTCCAATTCAGGAAGTAACTCAGGAAGTACTTCGGCCGGATCTTCTGGAGGTAGCACAACTACTGCTAACGGTGGTTATCCGTGGACGGGACGGCCCACGGCCCGCCCAACTGGCTATGGTGGGTGGAATGGGAACTACCCCAATTCTGTTCCTTCCGGCTTACCTTGGCCAGGGCCGAACTCCAAGCGCGCGTCGGACGACAACTACTGTGACGATGACGGCAGTTCCTCCGGGGGGAACAGCGTTAACAGCTTTGGCGCGAATCCGTCGAATCCGCTACAACTGAGCGGCCAACAGGGACTTTTTGGTAGCCATAGGGATATGCTGATTGCGCATGGAGTGTTGGCTTGTCTGGCCTTCGTGATTTTCTTCCCCTTTGGCGCAATCAGCATCCGGCTCTTCAGTTTCCCAAGCTTAATTTGGTTCCATGCAGCCATCCAGATACTCGGTTATATGCTCTTCATTGCGGCTTTCGGAATAGGTGTCTACATCGCCACCCAAATGAAAGCGGTAAGCCCTGCAACACCATGCCGCATTCTTTTTTATAGACCGTTGAATTGACCAGCTACGCAGATGGACATGTACCACCCCATAATCGGCATCGTGCTCTTCGTTCTTCTTTTTTTCCAGCCAATACTTGGCTTTATGCACCACGCTCTTTTCAAGAAATACAGAAAGCGCACCTTGTGGTCATACGGTCATCTTTGGCTCGGCCGGATTATCATCACGCTCGGAATCATCAACGGAGGCCTCGGCCTGCTTTGGGCGGACAATGCGGGCCAGTCTGCGTATATCGCATATGGTGTTGTCGGTGGCATCATCTGGCTGATCTACGTATTTGCTGCAATTTATGGTGAGATCAAAAGGGCAAGAACCCCGCCCGCCTACGCCGGTTCTCCACCTCGGAAAGGTTCCGGCACTAGCAACAGTCCCGTGTCATCAGATAGGCGAGAAGAGTACTACGGTCGGTACGATCCGAAGAACCGCAGATGATGAAGCCGTCGGGACGGGAAGCGAGGCTAGAGCGAGGATGCTGAAGCGAGGATACCTATACTTGACTTTCTGGGTGGTATAATTAGAAGCGTGTGTCTTGCGGTGAGGTTGATGTGTCTTGAAATGAAAGTACCGTCGTCATGCTGCGGGACGATCAGTGCATCCGTACTGGTGATGAGAGCAATCACGAAGTGATTTGGTAGAAGATGAAAAGGATTCCACAGCCTTCCTGTTCGGCAGGGAGTCCCGCTTAGCCGACGGGAGCCACTCCGTAAGGTTGAACGTTGATGTCTTGGACAGGCGTGACGGGGACTCGAAGATCAACGCTCTGACGCTGAGGGGCATTCACCCGAAGTTTTGGCGGGGGGCGTTCCGATACATCAACAATCAACACCCAGATTTCATCCAGCACCCAATCCCGCGCCCGTCCTCGACCCTTCGCACCGCCTGGCCCGTATCTCAGATCGGCACTCACCGAGTCAACGTCTTCCAAGACACTGCAGTATCCCTCTGAATCCGCCAGACCGCACCAGGACAGCCCACCATGGGAGAATCTAGGTATGCCCATTCCGGCAAGCGCCTTGCCGTTCTCATCCGCACCGCGCACAGCGACTGACAGGTTTGACACAGGCAGGAGCTGCTCACTTGGATCAACAGCCTTCTCCAGCTGAACCTTACCAAGGTCGAGCAATGTGGTACTGGGTACGCCAACACCAACCCCCCGCAACACCCTGTTCACACCACCTGTTCCGTACCCACCACGTCAGCCAGGGCTGTCGAGCGCTTTTCAGTGCGACAAACGCTAATATACCAACCCCAGCGCGCCTCTCTGTCAGGTCTATGACAGCATTTTCCGTAGGTGCCCCTTAAACGTGGCGGGACCAGTGGGCGCAGCTAATGTTTTTGCAGTTGACGTGCCCATGTCGAGGGTCAAGTTCGACGCAAAGAACGAGTACACGTATTTGCAGAACTTCAAAATTTTGCAGAGTAATATTCCCCCAAATTCCAGCTTCTCAAGCCCTATACAGCAGGCTTGCTCACGCAAATTGCTATTGCAGACACCTTCGCCAAGCATGCCATCGACCACCCTCTCCACATTGAGTCGCTCGTCAAGTGCAAGATGCAGGACAACCTCGAGTTCCTCCAGTTCACCAAGCGCTACTGGGATCAGTACTTCCCCGGTGGTGACTACGATGCGCCTTCCCGTCGCAAGGGCGCTGGCGCTCCTGCCAGCGGCGGTGCCCGTGCTGGCGGCGCTCCCCGCGCCGGCTCTTCAACGGCACGTAGGGTCGCTTCTACCAGCAGCAGCGCCGCCGCCGCGCCGCCCCGCACCAGGACCCCGCAGTCCAGCGCGCAGACGGCTGCGCTCACGCAGGAGAACAACGCGCTGAAGGAGACGGTGGCGGGTCTTGAGAGGGAGAGGGACTTCTACTTCAGCAAGCTGAGGGACATTGAGCTTCTGATCCAGAACGCCATGGAGGCGGACCCCGAGCTGGAGAAGGACGAGGGCCTGCTGAAGTCGATCCAGAACATTCTCTACTCGACAGAGGTATGAAACATGATGGGCAGAGTGGCTCGAGAAATGACTGCTAATTCGGCTTCACAGGAGGGCTTCGAGATCCCGGCGGAGCTGGAAGGCGAGATCGAGGAGGAAGAAGAGACGTTTTAGACGATGCTTGGGCTTATAGCATTGAGCGATGCGTTTCATATGGCCGGGTTGGCCGCTTCACGAATACCCTGCAGATTGCTGTTGAATAGGGAGTGGTAGACGATTGAGGAGGGCTTTAGTCCGTTTGGGCTGAAAAATGCATATGGAGTTTCTTCACATCACGTGTGACTAGTGGTCAATCAGCCGTCGTGTGATCTGCAACATTACGCACGTGGCTGGTGAGTTGTGGCTCAAGCGGGAGCTTCCCTGCATCGCGAGTCCACTGTTTTGACCTGACAACGCACGCCGACTACCTTAACACGTCTTGCTATACCGTTATATCATGAGCCTCAGGTGCCCATAAAGCCTTGTCTTGTCCCGTTGCATGTCTTTGCGACAGCCGGCATCCGCCCTCGCTACTCACCCTCTCCTTTCGATCAATCGACCGACCTAGGGAGTACATCATCACCATGCCGCTCGACATATCCATACCCACGACCAGCGTCTCGAGCAGCGCAAAGCCCTTCACCATCTACACGGTTTCCATCCGCCAGCCGCTGCGCACCACGACCATCAACAAGCGCTACTCGGACTTTGAAGCGCTGCACACGGCGCTTACCTCGTCGGTCAACGAGCCGCCGCCGGCGTCGCTGCCAGGGAAGCACTGGTTCTCGAGTACGGTGAACAACCCAACTCTGACGGAGCACCGACGGCGTGAGCTGGAAGCGTACCTCACCGCCATCGAGACGGACTCGGACGCGCGGTGGCGGCACACGAGCGCTTGGCGTAGTTTCTTGGACTTGGGCGCTACGCAGCGTGGCAGCAGCAGCGGAACCAAGGAACCCGGACGCGGAGGACTGGGCATCAAAGATGCGGGGGCCTGGCTCACGGTGCACCAAGACCTCAAGAGTCAGCTACACCAAGCTCGACTGGCTCTGACGCGACGCGAGCAAGCGCAGACGGCCCAAGCGCAGCACGAGGCTGGCGCGACAGCAAAGAAATTCCTCGTGCTAGCGGGCACACTTATCGTTGCGCTGGAAGAGGGCCTGAAAACGTTGGGTGGCGGCAGCAACGGTGAGAAGAGCAATGGCACAGGGCGGAAGGGCACGTCCAAGAGCGGACGGAGCCAATCCCAAGACGAGGACGAAGACGACTTCACCGGCGAGAAGCTAGGCGATGGCGAGCTCCGGCGGCGCCGGGACCTGATCACGGGCGCGCGCAAAGAAAAAGAAGGGCTCGAGGGCATTCTCAACGCCATGGCGGTCAAGACGGCCGTTGGTGCCAGCACGTCGTCGCTCGGCGCGAATTCGGGCACGGCGACGCCACTCGACAAGGCTGGCCTGTTCAGCCGCGGCGCGCGGACAAGCTCCAAGAACACGACCAACATCGCCGACGTCTTTGCGGACCCGCCGGTGCCCGGCATCTCGCGCACCCCGACGTCGCGCCGCACCCTGGGCGGCCCGGCCCCCGAGACGCAGCGCACCCGCGAGCTCGACAACTCGGGCGTCTTGCAGCTGCAGCAGCAGATGATGCGCGAGCAGGACGAGGACGTCACCGACCTCACCAAGGCCGTGCGCCGCATGCGCGAGATGGGCGTCCAAATTGCCGATGAGCTCGAGCTGCAGAACACCATGCTCGGCATGCTGGACGAGGACGTCGACCGTGTCGGCGGCAAGATCGACGTCGCCAAGAAGCGTATTGCCCGGATCCGATAGACGAGAGACGTCTAGATGGTTGTTGGAGTTGGACCACTGGTGGCGAGAAGAAGACACGATGCGCGCGTGTGTAATTAATACTTCACCTTTCTTTCGGTTTTGTTGTTGCGTTAGTATGATACCTTCTAGGAGCGGTCGCTTTTGGCATTTGCCACGGCTTAGACATTGGCGTTTGGCTGTTTTAATGGGTATACAGACAGAATGGGTTATGAGCAGACATGTTTGTATAACAAAGAGAATGTAAACCTCGCAAGCGTAGTCCTTTGCCGAGCCAGCTCCAGCGCAGTGACAGAAACCGAAAAACCATATGACCAGTTTAGCAGACGAAGGAAATCTACCAATGTTCAAGACAATTTCCTCTTCCGTTCTTTTTATCTCAACAAACAATGCTCTACCACAGAAAAGGAAAATCTCTTGTAAAGTAACCCCACCTCAACCCAGTATTTCGCGCCCATATTTCATATTCCAAAACCAACAACTGCTTTTAATCATCCTTCTCCTCTTCATCCTCTGGCCCAGGACCAGCTCCACCCTCCACCTCCATCGTAACGTCTCCATTAACCCTGCCCTTGTAGTCATGAGTAGTAACCTTGTACTTGCCGCCATTCCAGAGATCCTTGATCGTAAGCTCGCGAGTACGACCAAGACTCTCGATAGCGCCAATGCGGTCGAGCGTGTCTTCAAGGTGCTGATCGAAGCCAGGCTGGGAGCAAATTTCACGGAAGGCGTTTTGCATGGGGACCGAGTCTAAGCAAAGTCAGATAAACACGCCGCGAGAATGGTCGGACTTGGGGGTGCCCGAAGAAAATGAGACGCACCAGCTCGCACTACGGCCCAAGGGCGGTCGTGAGAGGGGGGCGTAGAAGAAATGTTTGACTCACCGGCTCGGACCATGGCTCTGGAGTCGATGGTGAAGATGTTGACGTGGTCGTAGTCCTTGATGAAGTCGGCTCGGGTCATGATCTCGCGCGCCTTGTGCAGTGGGATTTCGGGGAGTATGTGGCCCCTTTCCGTATCATAGATCTGCTCCATTTCCTTCTCCTTGTCGTAGAGCGCCTTGGCCAAGACCATAGCCGCGGACTAGGCACGCATCAGCGATTGAGTACGTAGAGGAGCGTAGAAAATTGCACTTACAGCGTACTTCTGTTGGTCCATAACGTCATCATCCATGGGCTCACCGAGGATCCAACATTGGTTCAGGAACCACGTCTTTTCTGCTTCGCAAATCTTGTTGCAAAGCGCCTTCATGTCACTGGCCTTTGCAACACGGTTGAGGAAAGACAACCTGCCACCAACCCTGTTGTAAATATACTCGAGGTCCTCATCCGAAGGTGCTTGGCCAAAATATTTCATGCGGTAGAGCCTCAAGGCAGCCAGAGCTTTGAACTTCGGAAGATCCTTGACGGGTGTAACCTCCATCCGCGTCGCAAAGAGCTTCAGTCGTTCATATACCCAGTAATCGTCCGAATTGAAGACAACAGTAGCGAGATTGGAGGCTGCCCACTGCTCCGCACGTTGCTGCAGGAGCTCAATCAGGTCTTTGCCATCTTCGTCGTCACGGAGAAGATGGACGCTGTTGATGACAAGGACCAGCGGCCGGCCTATTTTCTCTCTCCGCTTCAGGGCAACCTTCTCCAGCTTGTTGAATGCTCGTTCAATGTCGAGCAGAGCCGAAGCATCCCGGGGGCCACGAATGGAGAAGAGGGAACCGATGTTGTCCTCGTGGTACTCAAAGTCCAGCGCTTTTCCTAGCCTGATGCGGAAGATTTCGGGGTCCGAGTGAGCTTCAAACATGGCGACGCCCTCGCCGTTGTTCTTGGACATGGCTTCAATAATCATGGATGTTTTGCCGGTGCCTTTTTCGCCGATGATCAGATGGTAATGGCCTCTGTCATCGCCCCGCATAATGGCGTCGAACTTTTCTTGCTCGTCTCTGTAGATCCAATCGCCTTCCTCTGCCTCTTTGGCACGAGGGAGTCCACCCTTAGCTATGGTAAGTACAGGGTCTCCTGGACTGAAGGCATTGTCCATCTTCTCAATGACCATTCTCTTGTAGTAGACGGTATAACTGTATCCTACGAGCCTATATTCGGGTCAACTAGGTGTTCTTACAAATGATATCATGGTTCCGGCGCGCTCGATTGGGGTGCTCTTTGCAAAGTACAGGACATGTCATGGCAGATGTCACAAAGTGAAAAATGTTGGACTGAACCACGAATCTCAAGCGATGACAGCTTTAACGAGCGCACTTCAAGCTTCAACCTACCCTAAGACCGAGATGGATGCAAAGGTTGTCATCGCACTCTCGAACATCTTCCACGCGGTCTCGCGCCATTCTCCATTCTTTTTGCTCTCCGCAAAAGTTTCGGCTTCAGTGGGATCAGGCTGGGGCTGCGGGGCCGGCGATCCTCCTGATACCCAGCGCCTGCCGACGGCAGCGACGCGGGCAGGCTGCACGAAGCGACAGTCAGCGCGGCGGGACGCGGCTGAGGCGGATCGAAGGCTATGCGCCCGGAACGCCGCCCGAAGCATGACCAATGGCGTCAAGGGGCGTTCTCGGAAAAGGAAAAGGACAGGACAGGGGGGCAAGAAAGCAGAACTCCGAGAAGAAGCCGATGAAAGAACGACGGGTTGAGGATTACAAAAAAGAGAGCAAGGAAGGGAAAATGGATGACGAGTTGAAACGAGCGACAGAGGAGAAAAGAAAAGGTTGGTGCCGTGCGTGTCTGCGCGGTGGCAGTGGCAGCGGGAAACTAGCTCCTGGGGAAGCTTGGCAGCGACTCACACAGCTGTCGCGTGGCAGGACGCGCAACCAAGATTCTGCGACAATACGGGGAGCCCGGGACTTAGCTCAGTGTGTTACTACAAGGCAGTGATGCTCTCTGCAAAGACCCGCGGGCTTGGGGCTGGACAAATGCCGAGGCGAGTGATGTACCGTTGGCGCGTGTCTGGAGGCCGCGCTGCTTCGGGCCGCTTCGGGATCATAGCAAAGAATTTGGCTACCCTCGAGAGGTTTGGATGCGCGCCGCAGACGACAGCTCCCTTCCTCCGCCACCACCTTGTACATTTAGATGCGCCTTCTCTATCTCGCTCTTTCATTCCCATCCACCTAGGCCCATTGTCCAGTCCCTTCAGCCTCCGCCTCACGCCTCCATCACCGTCCCCGCGCCAGAAAAATGGCTGCTTCCAATGACGCCTCGACGCCAGGTACGCCCCATCTCCAACCCTCCATCTCGCCCGTCGCGCCCAGTCGCACGTGCCCTCTTGCTGCTCGCAGTCCGCTAACCCATCCATTGGAGCAGTGAAAGCTGAGTCGACGGCCCCGGAGAAGCCAGTGAACGGAGAGGCTGCTCCTGCGGAGAACGGAGAGCAGACGGAAGAGGACGCCGGCAATGGCCAGCCCATTGACAGTAAGCTTGAGCCTGCACTCCGGTCCTCTAGAAACGGCTGAACCAACACAGTCTCGCAGACGTCTTCACTCTGACCGTCAAGTTGCCACACGAGCCATTCGAGACCCAAGTCATCGTCGGTACCCATCGTGCACCAAGCCACAGGCACGTGTAGCTAACAATTGCACAGGCCTCGACGCAAGAACAGGTCCAGGACCTCCGCCAATCCATCATTGACGCCCCGCACACCTTCCAATACTCCTGCTTCCACCTCGAGCACAACGGCGAGCGCATCAATGACTTCGTCGAGCTGTCGGAGGTCCCTGGCATTGGCCCGGAGTCGGAGCTGAAGCTGGTGGAGGACCCTTACACCGAGAAGGAGGCTAGGATGCACTTCATCAGGACAAGGGAGCTCATTGGCGCCTCCGGTGACCGGACAGACACTGCGCATGGTGCTCTGGCTGGCGTGTCGCTTCTGCATGACGTCTCGGCCAACATCGCTGCTGCTGAGGCCAAGGCCGCTGGCAAGCCCGAGAGCTCCGTGCTGGATAACTACAGCTTCGACTCGGCGGGTTCCGTCCAGACCTTGTTGCCTCTGCCGCAGGACTCCGCGCCCAAGACGGTCAAGGCCATCTCGTTGTCGCCGTGGAACCCCCCTCCCTACCACCTTCGCGCCAAGGGCCACCTGCTGTACCTGCAGGTGACCACGAACGAGGGCGAGCAGTACCAGATCACTTCGCACGTCTCTGGTTTCTTCGTGAACAAGTCGACCAACCAGAAGTTCGACCCGTTCCCCCGTTCGGCGCCCAAGGCCATCGCGGAGCACTCGCTGCTCACGCTCATCCAGAAGCTGTCGCCTTCGTTTGATGCTTCTTTCCAGGAGCTTCTCGAGTACAACAACGCCAAGGACCCTCTCGCCATGTTCCAGCTGTCCAACGCCATTCCCGCGAGCCCGTGGATGGTTCCCCCGCCGACCTCTGCCGTCAACTCCCACCAGGCCGACATTACCCGTACGCAGGAGAACTACCTCATCTCCGGCCTGGAGAGCGCGGACAACCTCCGTGACTGGAACGAGGAGTTCCAGTCCACCAGGGAGCTGCCCCGTGATTCCGTTCAGGACCGCGTCTTCCGTGAGCGCCTCACCTCCAAGCTGTTCGCCGACTACAACGAGGCGGCTGTGCGCGGTGCGGTGCTCGTCGCTCGTGGCGAGGTCGCTCCTCTGAACCCCACTGAGGGCAAGGATGCGCAGATCTTCGTCTGGAATAACATCTTCTTCTCTTTCGGTGCTGATGGCGTTGGTACCTTCGCCACTGACGGTGGCGATGAGGCTGCCCGCGTCGCGACCGGCAAGGACGTCATGGGTGTCAAGGCTGTTAACCAGCTCGACATCACCGGTCTTTTCACCCCCGGAACCGTCGTTGTTGACTACCTCGGTAAGCGTATTGTCGGTCAGAGCATCGTTCCGGGTATCTTCAAGCAGCGCGAGCCTGGCGAGCACCAGATCGACTACGGTGGTGTTGAAGGCAAGGACGTGGTTGCTGAGAACGAGGCGTTCGCCCCTCTTTTCGAGCAGCTGTCCAAGGCTATGCGTGTGAAGAAGCACACTGTTTGGGACAAGGAGAACAAGGCCCACGTTCTGGAGGGCTCCGTCGAGACGAAGGGTCTCCTCGGTACGGACGGCAGGAAGTACGCGCTTGACCTGTACAGGATCACCCCTCTGGATGTTGCTTGGTTGGAGCAGTACTGGCAGGAGCCTGAGGAGGGCAAGACTAAGGACAAGGAGCGGGATTACCCTCACCGCATGGCCGTTATGCGTACTGAGCTTGTCGAGTCCTACAACCGTCTCAAGCTTCGGGAGTACGTCAAGGCGGAGCTCACCAAGCGCCAGGAGGCCAAGGAGGCTGCCAAGAAGGAAGAGGAGGAGAAGAACAAGGAGAACGGCGAGGCCAAGACCGAGACTGAGGGCGAGGGCGAGAAGAAGGAGCCCGAGCAGGACCGCGTCGACATCTCCGGCTTCCAGTTCGCGCTCAACCCCGATGTTTTCTGCGGCCAAGTGCCCCAGACCGACGAGGAGAAGGAGGAGTACGCCAAGGACGAGGCTGAGGTCCGCGCCGCGTGCAACTACCTCAGCGACGAGGTCATTCCTCGCCTCATCCGTGACCTGCAGGAGGGAGATGTTGGATTCCCTATGGACGGCCAGTCTCTCACCAGCCTTCTCCACAAGCGTGGTATCAACATGAGGTACCTCGGCAAGATTGCCACCCTGGCCGACAAGGAGGACCCCAGGCTCAACGCCGTCAAGCGCCTTGCTGTCCAGGAGATGATTGCTCGTGGTTTCAAGCACGTTGCCAATGACAAGCTTCGCTACCTCCCTGCGCCTTTCTCTGGTGCTTGCGTTGCCCACTTGCTCAACTGCTTCCTCGGCACCGACCTGAACGCCGAGCCCAAGGCTGAGGTCGACACTTCCCTCAAGGCCTTGTTCGCTGAGGGTGACTACAGCTTTGAGTCGGTCACTCCCGAGAGCCTCAAGTCCGCCATTATCGGCGAGATTGCCCAGAGGTTCCGCTTCGACATCGGCGAGAACTGGTTTGAGTCTGGCAAGCAGCTCCAGATGCTCCGTGAGGTCTGCTTGAAGCTTGGTCTTCAGGTTGAGGCCAAGGAGTACGCTTTCACTAAGGAGCAAGCGTCCCAGGCTCCGGCTGCCGCCCCTGCGGTTGAGGCCAAGCCCCAGACCAACGGCAATGCTGCTGGTTCTGGCAAGAAGAACAAGAAGAAGGGTGGTGCGGACAAGGCCTCTCCTGCTCGTTCTGCTGCCCCTGCGACGCCCGCTCCGGCTGTCACATTCCGCCCTGACGACATTCAGAACATCGTTCCCCTTGTCAAGGAGGCGTCGCCCAAGGTAAGCAACTTTCTAACAAACTTGGTATATTCCGTGCTGACGAATACTATAGAGCGTGCTTGCTGAGGAGGCCCTCGAGGCTGGCCGCATCTCCATCGCCCAAGACCAGAAGGACCTGGGCCAGGAGCTCCTTCTGGAGTCCTTGTCCCTGCACGAGCAGATCTACGGTGTTCTCCACCCCGAGGTCGCTCGTGTCTACCACCAGCTTTCCACTCTTCTCTATGGCTTGGAGGAAAAGAACGCTGCCGTTGAGCTGGCCCACAAGGCTGTCATCGTCTCTGAGCGTACTCTTGGTGTCGACTCGTCCGAGACCGTCCTGGCGTACCTCAACCTCGGTCTGTTCGAGCATGCCAACGGCAACACCAAGGTCGCTCTTGGTTACGTCCGCCATGCTCTCGAGTTGTGGAAGGTCATCTACGGCAACAAGCACCCTGACTCGATCACCACGATCAACAACGCTGCCGTGATGCTCCAGACCATGAAGCACTACCACGATTCTCGTCTGTGGTTCGAAGCCTGCCTTGCCATCAGCGAGGAAGTCTCGGGCAAGCAGTCGATCAACACCGCCACGCTGCTCTTCCAGCTGTCGCAGGCCCTGGCCCTCGACAAGGACATGCACGCTGCTGTCAACCGCATGCGCGAGTCCTTCAACATCTTCAACGCCATCCTTGGCCCCAACGACCGCAACACCAAGGAGGCCGAGTCTTGGCTTGAGCAGCTCACGCAGAGCGCCGTCGTTCACGCCAAGCAGATCCGCGACGTCCAGGCCGGTCGCATTCGCCGCATCCCGCTCACGCCGCGCCAGAACCTGCGCCCGCAGCCGCGCGTCGGCCAGACGGTCAGCGAGGCCGTCGGCGGCCGTGCTCCCAACTCGAGCGCCAGCGGAGACATGCAGCAGCGCAGCATCGAGGAGCTCGTTCGCTACATTGAGGGCGAGCCGCAGAAGAAGAGCGGCGCGAGCAAGAAGAAGCAGCAGCAGAAGCCGAGGAGGCCCGGTCGCGCGGGCGGTAACTAAGGTCGCATAGCCCTGCTTTCTGCACGCATTGGGTTTTGGTTTGGATGGGCGGAGGCCAAAAAAGTCACTTGTCTTGTTTTATATCAATCCCTTCTGTTCTGTCTTGCGGTAAAAGCTTGTATGCGTACATAACTGGCCCGGTGGTTTGTGCAGAGCATGGAAGGCAGCATTGTGGGCCGCCGGGTACATTTTGGCGTCTTGTCATTACCTGTAGGTTGAAATCGCCGCTCTGAGAGGACGCATAGGTCCTCGCCGTGTATGATATTTCTGTGTAGCGCTCTGCTGTACCTACGAGTAGAATCGAGAGTGGTGATGCGCCAAGGCGGCTTGCGGGATGACGAAATCATTTTCGCGCGACAAACAGCTCGAGCTTCCAACGCGCTCGCCGTCCCACACAAAAACCATTCCCCACTCACATCCTTCCCTCAGCTCTCAACGCAGCACCCCTCCATCACCTGCGTTTCGCGACAATGGTCTCGTACAACGAAATGGCACGCGACAATGCCGTGCCGATGGCGACAAGGCCCGCTCCGGTCCCCACGTCCAAGCTGCCCGCGTTTCTGCGCTTCCCGCTGCTCGTCGTCCTTGGTTTCGCCACGTCCATGGCTCTGTACTCCGGCGCGAGCGAGTTCATCGACCCGCAGCTGAGGGCCGTGTGTAGAAGCTCCAACGAGGACTACAAGGTCGCGTCGAGCATCGCGTGGAGGCTGGCCGAGATGGGGCTTGGCTGGTTTGCCAGTTACGATGGTGAGTAAATGGCGGCGCAGATGGAGGACGCATTGCCAGAGGTGGAAGCTGATTTTTCATCAGATATTGATCTCATCTCTTTCTCTCTCCTCACCCACTCGCCCTGGTACTACCTTCTCTACACCTTCTATGACGTCCAGCCCGCGACCATCGCCATATGCTTGAGCATCGACGCCGCCTCGCTGGCCATCCCCACGCGCCTGCTCCGCCCGCGCGCCCCGGCCCATAACCCGCGCGCCGCCCCTGAGGCCGTTCCCAACCGTAGCATCATCAACGACTTCCAGACGGTGACCGCGACGTCGCTCCTCGGGTCGGCCATCTACAGCGTCGTCCTGTCGGCTGCGTTCCTGACCTTCCTCCCCAGCTTCATGGTGGTGCACTTCGAGGGGCTCGTCTCGCTGGTCCGCGCCCACGCTGCCTCACTCGTGACGCTCTTCATCACGCTCGCCCCGCTCGGCTACGCCGCGCGTGAGTTCCTTCTCACTCCCAGCCTTAGCGCGCAGACGCACCGCGGCGACGCTGAGCACGAGGCGTTCAACCCTGAGACGGCGGGCCTGGTCGAGCACCTCATGCACAACTTCTGGTGGGGCAGCAAGAAGACGCGCGTGCTCATCAAGCGCACCGCGACGCTCGTCGTGTTTTCGTGGATGCACTCGTTTGCGCACGCCGCTGGCGTCCTCGAGGGCGGCGATGTCGTGGGCGCGGCGGGATACTCTGGCGTCTGGGCGGCGGGGTCGCTGCTGAGCGGTCTGATCTTCAGATGGGTCGAGAATGTGTGAGAACAGGCGCTTGTGCGTATTGATCGTTATCTCACAGAAGATCGAGCGAGGCACGACTGACGTGCAGCATTTGCACGGTGTTTGTTGTTGTCATCATCATTGCCATCGCCATGGCCGTTTTCATCATCTAAACCATCACACAAAGGTAAGGTTTTAGCAGACCAGCCAGAAATTCTGCATTACTTGGAGTGAAGCGGGGGACATTCAGGGAGGGAAGGGAGGGGCAAAAACGGGAGTCAGGTCCAGGTGGTCCCTACTTTTGGTCGAATCGCTGGTTTGCGAGTTCCAATTTCTTTTTTTGTTAGCCTCTGCGCACGTCAGGGTACTTTTTCATTTTCCTTGTCGTTCGTCTTTGTTCCTCTCATGTTGTCTTGCCATTGTATTTTATTTTGGTGTGTGTTTTTACCGACCGTTGCAGTTTTCCACCGGCTCCGCTGCCGTTCGGAATTGGAGCGTGCGTTGCGGGGCGAGCTAAGTTTAGATCCCTCGCACGTCCGAGCCGATTCGGATTGGGGTCTCACGTCCGGCGTTAGGAATCTAGGTACGAGTATCAAAGCGCTTCAAAGAACCACCACCACCTTTCCAGTCAAACCAACATCTCGAACCAGCTCGTTCCGACTAGGCCCCCAAACCCTTAATTATCTTTCTCCAACTCCAACAGCCTTGCCATCTCCTCTGCCACATCCACCGCGAATCCTTCGTCGTTGATTGCCCTCTCATCTTCCACAACATCGATCCCACTGTCCGCCAGCCCCTCATTGACAGCCCGAAATAGCGCCTCGTCGGCCTGACTATCCGCAAACGGGCCGTCGGGCACGGCCAGCGCGCTCACCCCGCCCCGCGGCACCCACACCTGGACGCGCTGCGGCGCCTTCGCGCACCTCAACTTCCTTGCCACAAACTCACCCACGGCGCGACACTCGTCGACGTTAGTGCGCATGAGGGTAACGCTAGAGTTGTGCTCGAACAAGCGGCGCGCAGCATACCGTTCGGGCACGGTGTCGCGCGGGCCAAAGTTGACCATGTCGCAGGCGCCGAGGCTGAGGATGCAGGGCAAGGCGGCGGTGGCAGCGGCGTCGAGGCGCGCCGGCGTCGCGGCCATGGCACCTCCGGCGTACAGGTCGCAGAGCTCGGTCGTGGTGAGGTCGAGCACGCCGTCTAGCCCATTGCGCGCGATCAGGGCCTCCATGGCTCGCCCGCCGTGGCCCGTCGCGTGGAAGACGTAGGGCGGGCTGATGCTGCCTGAGTAGTGCGCTGCGTAGTGCTTGAGAATGCGCTCCACGCAGGGCGTCGTCACGCCGAACATTGTGATCCCGATGCGGGCTTTGCGGGGGGCTGGCGGCTGGGAAGCTGTCTGCTGCTGTTGCTGCTGTTTTTGTTGTTCTGCTTGCTTTTTCTCTCGCTCACATCTGACAGCATATGCGGCGGCCATGCCTGCAATAGCGCCTGCTGCATTGTCAAGCACGGACTGCAGCAGGTCGTTCAGCCCCGCGACGTCAACCACGCTGTACATCAGCGTGATGTCTGCCTCACCGACGACGGGCCCCGTGTCGCCGCTGGCAATGGTGCTGACAATCAGCTTGGGGAAGCCGAGCGGGAGAGCGGTGTGCATGGCTGCGGCGGCGAGGGACGTCCCGCCGCTGCCGCCGAGGCTGATGATGCCGTGGATGGGCGGGCTGTCGGCGGCGCGCAGTGCGTGCTTGAGGTAGTTTGCGGCGCACGCGGCCATGTGCTTGTTGAGGGCGCCGCGCGAGAGCGTGCTGGCATCTGCTGCTGGCGCGTCGGCGGGTGCATGTTGGGTTAGTAGTTGGGACTGCGGGATTGTGATGGCTTCGTGGGCGGTGGGCGTGCGGCCTGCGTCGATGAGCTCTACGGTTGTGTTGGGGTGCGAGAGGATGCGGGCGCGGGTGTAGAGTAGCTCGTCGAGCTTGGTGTCGCAGGTGCCGAGGAGGACGACGCGCGGCATGGTGGGTCACGATTTATAGGGACAGAGGTTGTGTAGGTAGACATGGCTCGCCTACCCTCGAGCATCACAAACTGATGTCAAGTCTCGTTTGGCGGCGGCACCAACGGGACAGGGTTCGCTCGTTCGCCAGGGAGATCGACGGTGCGGGGAGGCGGCGTGACGCAACCACGCAGCTTAAATCTTTGCCCAGCGAGCCAGCAAGCAACCGCTCCCGGCGCGGCTACTCTCCTCCCTGAAGCAGAAGCACATCCCATCCCGACGTCTGGAAACAATGGCGCCGCCCACGAACCGGAAAGAAATCCTCGACCACCTGCGCTCCAAAGCCGCCCGCGGCGAATCCATCGTCGGAGCTGGCGCCGGTAAGCGGCCTCCCCCAGGCTCCCGTCCTCCAGGCTCCCGCCCAACGGCGCCGCTGCTGACTGTGCCCTTCCAGGCATTGGCCTCTCGGCCAAGTTTGTGGAGAAGGGCGGCGGTGACTTAATCATCATTTACAACTCGGGCAGGTTCCGCATGGCAGGCAGGGGCTCGGTGTGTTGTCTTATCCGCTGGGCCAATGGCATTTGCTGACGGTTGCAGCTTGCGGGCCTGATGCCCTACGGAAACGCCAACGATGTGGTTCTCGACATGGTATGTTGCAAAAAAATGCAAAAATAAAAAGTGCCACCCTGCCGAGTGGACGAATGGTTGATGTGGCTGGGGCCAGGCCAACGAAGTGCTCCCCATTGTCGAGCACACGCCAGTGATCGCGGGCGTGTGCGCGACTGATCCGTTTCGGACGATTCCCTCGTTCCTCAAGCAGCTGAAGGAGCTAGGGTTTGCCGGTGTGCAGAACTTTCCCACGGCAAGTCATACGCAATAGAGCTAGTGACCGGTCAGGCGGATCCTGGTGGCTGACGGGGCGGCGCAGGTCGGGCTGATTGACGGGCAGTTCCGGGCGAACCTGGAGGAGACGGGCATGGGGTTTGAGGCGGAGGTTCAGATGGTCAAGGCCGCGCGCGAGCTGGAGCTGTTGACGACGCCGTACGCCTTCAACGTCGACGAGGCGGAGCGCATGGCACGGGCGGGGGCAGACGTGTTGGTTGCGCACATGGGCCTGACAACGTCTGGCTCGATCGGCGCCACGAGCGGGAAGAGGCTCGACGATTGCGTGCGGCTGATCCAGGAGATGCGGGATGCGGCGGCCAAGATCAACCCAGACGTTGTCGTGTTGTGCCACGGGGGCCCGATCGCAAAGCCCACGGACGCGGCGTACGTGCTGAGCCGGGTCAAGGGGCTGCACGGCTTCTACGGAGCCAGCAGCATGGAGAGGCTGCCGGTCGAGGAGGCCATAACGGCCATCACGCGCGAGTTCAAAGGGATCAGATTGATTAGCTAGGAGCAAACTTGCACATGCATTGAATGGCGCAGAACTGGCTTGGACCCTCCCGCAGCTAGCTTGTCTGGTGCGCTGTAAAAAGACTGGGCCCGCGGCGTCACGGGTTGGCCCAGGCAGAGTTTGGGTCAAGCGCGCGGGCGCATCAATCATCTCTCGCTCGCTCGCTCGCTCTGCCCTCCCTCACATCCAGACTTCCACCCCATCCCGCCAGCCAGCCCTACCCGGGCCACCAGCAAGCCCTCCGCCTGCATGCTTGCTGACCCCGACAAGGCGAGCGACAAGGCTGCTGTTGTAAACTGAACCTCTACCTACTGAAAGCCTCGACTCGACCAACGACGCTGCCGCCGACACTCGACCGACCGACCGACCGACACACACACACACACCCACCCGCACCCCGGCTGGCTGGGGACCCTTCCCGCACAATGAATCCAGCAACCTTCCAGAACCCCATGGGCATGATGCCGCAGCAGCAGCCCGCCCACGTCCAGCTCAAGGGTCAGGTCCTGGCTCGCATGCGGCAACACAGTTCGACCTTGACCGGCTGGCAGAGCACCCTGGGGGCCGACGCGCGCACAAACGCCGTCTGGCAACTGTAAGTCGAGGCGCTGCCCCGTGCCCCGACCGTTTGTACATCGCACTCACTCTCGTCCACAGCTACAGCTTGTTGCGCCTCGCAAGGCCGGGCGTCCCCGACAGCGCTCTCCTCAACCAGGCCATGCAGCACGAGTCGGGCATGCTGAGCACGTCGCAGTCCAAGGTATGCCGCCTCACTCCACGCCCTCGCCTGTCCGAACTAACCACTGCACATACAGGAAGAGTACCTCACCAAATTCAAGGCCGCGTCGCAGCGGCTGACCGAACTGCGAGCCAAAAATGCCGACCAAGCCTCCATGGCCATGCAGCCTAACAACTCCATGGCAGCTTCACAAATGGGCATGATGCACCAGACGCCCATGCAAGCCACCGGCTCGAACCAGGGACAGAACGCTTTCCACCAGCCCTACCCGGCTCACTTGCAGCACCAGATGCAGGCCTCACCTCTGCCCATGACCCAGAACCCGTCCTCGACCGGCATGGACAACTCCAACATCCCGTCGCAGGTCCAGCAGCAAGGCATGCAGCAACCTCAACCAAATCTCCAGTTCGGGCCCGAAGACCAGCAGAAAATCACCGAAATCACTCGTCAGCTACGCCAACGCTTACGACCTGAGGATGAGAATAGGATCAGGACCGAGCTCCAAAGCATGCCCATAGAGAAACGTCAGGCACTCGAGCAGCGCAACATCGACCCCATAATGTGGCGTCTACGTCAGAATGCCATGCGACTCTACGCCGCGCAGAAGCGTGCGGCCCAGACTGGTGGTCAAATGGGTCAGCAACCAAACCAAGGCCCGGGCATGGCTGGCAGAGGAATGCCGAATCCGATGATGCAGCGCACTCCGCAAATGGGAAACACAACACCGCAGCAGAACGGCATGGGAGGCGGCGCCGAGTTTGATTACGCTCAGCTCACGAGTCAGCAAGCTGATGCGGTGCGCTCTGCGCAAGCTGGCCATGACGTGGTCCCTGCCAGCAACAACCCTGGCATGGGCCAAATGGGCGGTTTCAACGCCATGGCCGGTGGCCAACCAGGACAAATGGGCGCACAAGGCAGGAATCCGGCTCAGCAACCCCCAGGCTTCAACATCCACCAGGCCCAGCGAGATAACGCCATCCGGCAAATCCAGGCACAAGCTCAAGCTCAGGCGCAGGCAGCCCGGGCCCAGGGAATGACCCCACAACAGCTTGCTCTCATGGGCCAGAGGCCTGGCTTCAACATGCCTCCGGGCGGTCCACAGAACACTGCTGGCATGTCATTGCTGACACGGCCTATGATGCCTCCCGGTCCTGGAGGTAATGGCACCCCGCAGCCAAGGCCTCCGCAAGCTGGCGGTCAAATGCCACCCCAGAATTTCGGACAAGGAGCACCAGGGATGAGCCAGGCCGCACGAGCACTCCAGGAAGCGCACATGAGGGCAGCAGCAGCTCAGACCCAGTTGCCTGGCGGCCCAATCACTGCACGAGCAAGCCTCATACCCGCCAACGTACCCGGCCCAGTCCGACAAAAGATGCTGGAGGTGCCCGAGGATCAATTCAGAGCGCTTCTGACGAAGTGGTTCAACGCTAATGGCAACCGGCCTCCGTTCGGACCCAACGCCAACATGTCGCAACCTGGCGCGCAGATGGGCCCTCAGCAGGGTAATCCAGGCGGAATGTCCATGATGGGTCCCAATGCTAATATGCCACCGTTCATGCAACAAGGCCAAATGCAGAATGGAATGAACAACCCCCAGATGCAGCAAGTATTCCAGCATGAGATGATGGCTCGCCCACAAAATGATGTTCCGCTCAACCCTCAAATCGTGCAGCAAATGGACACACTGCCATACCCGCCGCCGATTGCCGACGCTGTAAGACAATCGATGCCAGAAAACATCAGGTCATGGGGTCAACTGAAGGAATGGGTCTCAAGGAACCCTAACCCGATGCTGCCCATGGAGAAGCTGACTCGGGTACAACGCATTCATTACGAGAAGCTTTCCGGTCAGCAACAAAACAATGCTGCGAACCTCGGAATGCCGAACGGTCATCCGAATGGTCCAGGGCAGCTTGGACCTGGTCATCCAAATGGCCAAGCACCTCAGGCTCCCATGATGCCCGCTGGCGGTACTCCGAATCCGGGAATGCAGCAGCGCATGGCTGCCATGCAAGCAGCTCAACGCCAGCGCTTGATGATGGCTATACAGCAAGTGTCTGCTGCTGACATTCAGCGCGTCAGGCAGCAATACGGTCCAAGGGTAGCTAATGCGAGCGACGATCACCTGAGGCAACAGATTGCCACTATGCGGTTGCAGCAACAGCAGAAGGCGATGGGACAACCGAACATGCCAGGCATGCCACCACAACCACCAAACATGGGTATGCCACAAGGCCCGAACATGCAGCAGCCACCGCGGGTGCCTCAGCCTGGCCAACCTCAACCAGCTCCTCAAATGAGTGGTCAGCAACCTCAGGGCCAAGCGAAGCAAGCACCTCAACCGAAGCAGCCTGGCAATGCGACGCCCAAGGTCCAACCCCAACAGGGCTTGAAGAGGCCGTCGAGCGATGATGTCGTGGAAGTCGCCGACCCGAGCAAGCCACAGGCGCCTCCGATGCAGCCGTCACAATCCCAGCAACGTCCTCTGGGGATGACGCAAGCGCAGTTCGAAAAATTGACTCCCCAGCAGCAGCAGGTCTTGCGGCAAAAGCAGATGGCCATTCAGGCGGCTCAAGCTCAAACTCAAAATCAAGGCCAGGGCGCTGCTGTCCAGGGCGCCGCTACCCAGAGCGGGCAGGAAATTTCGACCGCCGAGAGAAATGAATTGACCAAGAAATTCATGATGCTGTTGACTGAGGTCAGCCAGAGCGTGGGCCAGCGACCAGTCATCGAGGTCCCTCCGGAGGCCAAGGCGGCCATGGCACAGAAGCTCCGTGCTCAAGGCAACATCATCCAGGGCATCGACAAGTTCATGCTGGCAGATTATGTGAGGCATCGTGACGACAAACGGACAAAGAATATCATCATGGTGGTAAGTGATTGCCTTTGATAATCAACAAACGGCATGTACTGACTTGCGAATTAGCGACACCTCCTCTTTTCGCAGCTGGACGGCCAGCGACAACTCCGCGAACAGGTCACCATCGAGCCGGCGAATTTCGAGAAGCTTCTGCATAACATCGACGTGTTCATGCGCCAGGTCGCAAAGGAGGCGCAGAACGACAAGAACGAGAAGAACGAAAAGAAGAGTAAGGCGGCCGAGACAGCTCAGGCTGACGGCGCACAGCCACAAGCTCAGCCATCAGCAAATGCTACTCAAGGACCCCAGTCGAAACTCAGCCACGCTAACCTTCAAGCGTTCCAAGACCACCAAGCAGCGATCCTTCGCCGTCCGCAATCTGGCAGCAAGCCTCCCGCAGCTCCGACTTCTTCGCAACCGCCGTTCTCCTTCTCCTCTCCTCATGGCACTCCCGTCTACCCGCCCAACAGGCAGTCCGAACTTACGCCCGAGAAGCTTAAGTTGCCGGCCAAGAAGAAACAAAGGACGAGCGCCGACTCTACACCGGCCCAGGGAACGCCTATCGCGACTTCCTCGCCACAAATCGGCAAACTCAGTCCCGAATTGCGCCGCGATGCCAGCCAGCCGGGTCTGCCCGCCAAGCCGCGCTTCTCCTGCCCTCACCAAATCTGCGACTTCAGTGCGCGGGGCTTTGAGACGAAGGAGGAACTTGATGGACACATGAAGGAGCAACATGCGAAGATTGAGGATCCTCTTCAGTTTGCTGTCGATAGCGTCGCCGAAGGTCTGGGCCTCAATGCCGATGGAAGCAGCAAAGCACCCAAGGTCGATGCTGCCGCGGCCAACCGTAGCAAGCCTATGTCAGTCGCGAAAGCACCAGCTCTCGCAGCGGCCAAGACCGGTCAGACTCCGATTGTCAAGGCCGAGGCCGCAACTCCTGTCCCTGGCGGTGCAGCCGCAACCCCGATGAATCGGGTCCCGACTCAGACGGGTATCAAGAGTTCTCCATCGGCAAATTTCAAGACGCCGCAGGCTGCAGGTATCAAGACGCAAACTCCCGGCTCGGGTTCCGGTGCTATTCCGATGCACCGCACTCCCAGCAAGCTCGGCGTCTCCAAGGACATTGCTGGCAAGCCCGTTGATGGCACTTTGCCTGCCGGCGCCGTTGATGGCCTTTTGAGCCCGCCGAAGGATGCAACTGCTGCTGATCCTTGGCGTAACTGCCCCCTTTCTCCAAAGGAGCTCAGCAACTTGTTTGACTTCGAGGAAGACATTCTGGGTGAAGTTTGCTCCATGCCCGCTGAGCAGTTTGTCTTCCAGCATGACGGCCTCACTCCGACGACGACTCCGAGCCCCGCCGACACAGACAAGAGCGCCACGACGGCTACGAGCGACATCTCGGAGAACGACAAGCTGAACATCAAGATCAGCGCCGAGGATGGTCTCAGCTTCGACCAATGGAAGCTGGAGTCTGATATGGATTTCAGTCGGCAGATGGACAAGCTGTTCATGTTCGATGAGGCGAGCGACGGCACGACGGGCTTGCCTGAGATGAGCATGGATATGGGCCCCAGCAACGACTTCTGGAGAGACAGGATGGGCGATCAGAAGAAGATTCCCGGATGGTCTTCGGAAGAGCTGGAGCCGCCATTTGACTTTTTGAACGCGCCTATCTACGACGAGGCGAGGGATGTGCTGTTCGGACTTGACACGGCCATGATCGACGCTTCATGACTATTTTGAGGGTCTGCTCGTCTAAGTCGTTATTTTTCTTTTATCTTGGTTATCTTTTTCTGGGATTTTTCTTCGACCACGCACGCGTGGCCCGACGACATGTTATATAGTTGCGGACGGAAGAAGTGATTTCTTCTCTTATCCTTGAGCTTTTTTGCCTATTTTCTAGCTGGTTTGCTTTCAAGCGCTTTCTAGTTTTTGGTTCTTATAAGCGACAGCGGTTATATGGGTTTGGGAATGAAAGACTGGCTGGCGGCTAGGACTGGACTGGACTGGACTGGATGGTACAGGACACAGGCGCACATCGTTATCGGTCTCGAGTAATCTCGCATTTAAAACGGCCGCTTTCCCTTTGCACGTTTATTTTTTTCTATTTGGTTTTGCCTTTAGTCGCCTCGGCGGCATATTTTGTGGATGGTATGGAGGCGCTTCGGGACTTGACTTTTTTTTTTTTTTCCTTACTTTTTTATATCTTTTCGTTTCTTCTTTCTTTCGTCTCTTACCACTTCATCTGGCGCTGCTGTTTCCTTCATCGCTATCGTTGGGGGTTTGCGTTTTTCTGGAGGTATTCGCTGGATCGTCGTCGTCGTCGTCTCTTTCCCTTGTGTGTGTGTTTGGAATGGCAGGCCTCGCGCCACGTTGCGTCGTCGAGTCTGGTGGCGTTTCTGGTGCCGGTGCTGGTTTCCTTCGGTTTTTCATGCATGGGCTCGCTGCCCTGTTTCGCTCCTCTCCTCCTCTCTTCCTCTCCTCCTACTCCTCGTCCTCTCTTCGCCAGATTTTTTTTTTTTTTTTTTTTTACACCGTTGCGTTTGTCTCCCTTTTTGTTCGTTTGTTTGCCTCCTGCTCGGTCGGCCTCGTGTTATACCCCTTGGTCCTGATTCTTACTCGTTTTATTGGGTTTCTATGCGTCTGCGAGTGCGCTCCGTTTTGCTGATTGCGGTTGCTGCTGCTGCTATGCGTGTGTGGTGCGTTGCGTGCGTTGTGTGCGTTGCGTGCGTGCGGTGCAGTCCGTACTTTTGTTGGTGCCTCTTGCTGGGCGCCCAGGGGCCTCAGGCGGTCCGGATGGGTCGGGCTCCGTCTGCTTGGGTTGGTTGGGTCTGGTCTGGTCTTCTCGTTCGGGTCGGAATGGATGGATGGATGGATGGATGGGAAATTAGAGGTATCAACAACTATTTTTTCTTGCTGCCTCTGCTTCTTCGTCGCCACTTTTGGGTGTGCTTGTCTTGTGTGTGTCTGTGTGCGTGAGTGATGATGTACTGATTGAATGTGCTTGCTTGCTTGGGTGACTTGGCCTTCTCTTTTGCGGACGTACGTGTGGCTTCTCGTCCTTGGAGTCCTGGCTAGGAGGATCACTCTCTCCATACAAGCGCCCCTCTTTTCTAGAGCCACCTGGTTAAACCAGCTCTTGGTCTACATCTGTTGCCGAAACAGCGTGGACAGTGTCTAGACTGCCCTTTGGTTGCTAAGTCCCTCCTTCTCCAGTGGTGGTGGTGGTGGTGGAGGTGGATGCGTAGACGCTTGCGTTTGAAGCCCTGGCTGGCTTGGATTGGCGTGGGATTTCACCGGTGGATGTATAATGTATACCGTATTGTGTGGAAGTCCCTTTGTCTTTTATTGAAACTGAGTGTGCGTACAGATATGAATATATGCATAGGTATACGGAGGGACATGGCACGTCGTGATTAAGAGGTCTTTGTCAAGCCATAGATACTTTCATGATGTGGATACATACACATACACATACACATACACATATTCCTACTCGTCTAACCGACAAACCTAGATACATAAAACATAAGGCTTTTTCGAGCAAGGCATGTCTCGTCGCAGCCTACAGACAAGAACGTTTATACCAATACCGCCCAGCCAGCGACGTCTAGCCTCAACGCCCCATCTGGCGTCCCCCCACGTACATGTCCTCATTTCATCATTTCCATTCACACCGGCCGCCCTACTTACTGCTCATAAACCCCAAACAACGGCACCGCGCTATCGTTGATCCCTTGCACCGTCGTCAGCATCCCCCCATCCCCTGGCGCGCCTCCAAGCCTCGGGCTGCCCGTTCCACTCGCCGCGTTGGTCGGCCACGACCACAGCGCATCAAAGTCTATCAGCTCTTCGCCGACAGACTCGTCACTGCGCAGCGACGGCGCACCGCCACCCCCGCCCCCGCTACCAGTCACGACGCCGTCGAGCGCGCTCAGGTCCAGCAGGTTCGACAGCGACAGGTTGCGGCTCAGCGCGGGGCGGCCTGTGCTCGTGGTGGGCGACGATATTGACGCTGACGCGGCATACGCCGCCGCGGCCGGTGACAGCATCGGCTGCGTTGAGTGCGCCAGCGGCGAGGCGCCCGGCCCGGTCCCGATGGGTGTGCCGGCCGCGGCGGTGGCGCTCGGGCTGAGCATTGCGGTCCCCGGAGGCGGCGGTGGCAGCTCTGTGGCGGCCTGCGGCGTTGTGGCGCTCTGCATCGGCGTGCCGAGGCCCTGCTGGAAGCTCTGCTCGCGGTAGGCCGTATGCGCATCTTGCTGTTGCGGCATGATGCTGGGGTACTGCTGCGGTGTGGCGCGATTGGTCATGCTGCCAACCATCTGTTGGAGCTGTGGCTGTTGCGACCGGCGGCGCCGCTCGCGCTGCTGCTGAACAACGTCTCGGAATGCCTCCAGGATGTTGTAGAGCCGTGCGGCTTGGAGATCGCTCTCAGAGCAGTACGTCATGACTCTAATAGCGTTCTGTATGCACTGGTCGGCCGAAGTGTTGGTGTACAGAACTGCAAACTCATTTGCAAGCAAAACGAGTGTCGCAGCGAAGAGGAAATATATGACCGCAGGGTTCCGCCGTGGCAAGTAACCGGCTTCGAACGCATTCTGCACTAGCACGATGCTATGTGTCGACGCGATCACGCAAGCTTCACTGAATTTCTCCATGCGCGAATACTTGTGGCGCGGCTGAAAGCTTGCTCCGTTCTGGGCAAACTCTTTCTGCGTCTCTGCATTCATGATGTAGAGGAAGAAAGGCCGAGTCAAGAGGATAATAGAATGGCAATAAAAGAGATTGACATGCAAAATGGCGATTCCCTGGTCGGGACATGCTGCGGCTGCCTGACGCCAGTGAAGCTGAGGCGCAAGCGCTTTCGGCCATAGTTTGCAAATGTCTGCAATCTCCTGCGCCATTCGAGTGCTTATCTTCCGCTGTTGGTAGACTTCTTTGAGGATTCGCCCTATGACCGAGCAACTGCGTACTGCAGCCTCCAGGGCTCCTGCGTTTGTCTGAGAACGATTTGCTGTCGTCTGGAATGCCGAATCAAACCCAAACGCATCATGTTCATCGGGTTGGGCCGGTCGAAGTGTATCGCCACTGCAATCGTCTTCGGATATCGCCACGGGTCTCCCAAGAGAAAATGAAAGGAAGCGGTCCATGACAAACAGTGAACGCCATAAGTTCCGCCGGGCAGTTTGCTCCGCCGGATTGAAGATGATAAGCGTCTCTTCACGGTGAAGACCTAATGCGTACGCAGAACGAACAGCCATACCTAGAGTAGGTGATAAGAGTCAGTACTCGTGCATGTGTTGAGCTGATATGATGGTTTCCACCTACCAAGGAGAGCAAAAGCTGTGTTCCGTTTTGATTTGACCAGCATGTAATAGGACATCAACAGCAGGGCTTGGACGGACCAAAAATCCGCATCTTCGAAGCCATTCAATGGATCATTAAGACTCTTTGCGTTCATGTAAAAGACCTCAGCGCGGTCTGCATGTTGATTGATCAGTTTGTCAATTATAAGCGCATCAGCGGTGCCCCGTCGAGGAGTCGCCAGCATGAGACCAATTGCAAAGACCAAATTCAACAGGCACAACCAAGAGGGCTCCGTAACCAGAGGATCCGAATAGCAGTTTTCTACAGCATTGAGAAAAACCTGTCGATCGAAAATTTGTAGAAATCCGTGAGTGTTGATGAAGAACGCATCCACAAGCACATAGGCGGTCCTCTTGTCTGGAAGCAAGTGTGTGTGTCGTGCCGTAGGCGGAAGAGAAAAAGGCATCTCTGTAATCTTATGCCGTCTCGGGTCTGTAGTGAACGCGGACGGCCCGGCAACATTCTCTACCATCATCCGCAGTAATTGGAGAAAAGACAAAGATGCCGAATCACCTACATATAACAGTCGTCCCGTCGGATCCTGAAGCATCCTCATTTGTGAGTAGACGACGGCTTCTTCATCGTTACCATCTGTACTATTGGAACCAGATGCAGTTTGATGCTTTGGTTGATCTTCTATCCTTGTTGCAAACTGCTGCAGTGATCGTGCAGCAGCCTCTGCAGCCTCTATGGCATCTGGCTCGGCCGTTGCCGATAGTGGGTTCTCTTGCTTCAACTCGGGACGTCCATGCTGTCCAATCATATGAAGGTTGCTTGGTTTACGCTGGGGCGAGGGAATCGTTTGTTGCGTTGCACTTGGGGAACCGGCGAAGTTGCCGTTGGCGGTGCTACCGGCATGACCAGCAGAACTGGCTGCATTAGGGGATGCGGCAGGCGCCGGTGCGCCACCCTCGACCTGAATCTTCTTGGCTGGTGGGCCATCGCCCGGAGAGTCACCGCCCTCGCGATATGTGCAGGTGAATTTACGCTGCCGATCCAGAATGAGTTATACATTCCCGTCTCAGAAGCCGACCCGATTACCTTTTCGCAAGTATTGCAAGGGTACAACCCGTTACACTTTCGACGTCAGTCAGTGAGTGCTCTTGCGATCTCGCCGACGCTTCAAGGCGTCCAGAGGTTGGGGATATGATGACAAACAGGTGGTCAACCCGCAGACGTGGTGTATAATGTCATCATTAAAACCATGCTTTGCAGTCACGGGGATGTGGATGAATTGAAGAGGGCAGGCAGGGGACGAAGGTAGAAGCGCATCACGCCACCAAGGTGTTCTACGACAACAATCCGACGCGGGTTATAACGGCATGGTGTGTTGGCAACATGTACGCGGTAGTTTGTGCAGTTGGCAGTGTGGTGGAAAAAGGGCATTGGGTGAGAAAGGCGTGAGAATGGAGATGGACCTGACAGGGTGAAACAGACGCAAGGGACAACAAGATGGCTCACCTTCTGCTTCCGGCGTTTGCAGACCTCACACGCTTGGGCAGTCCTCTGCCGTTGCTCGGGAGGCACCTTGGGGCGTGTCATATCGGGATAAGACTGGGTGGAAGTCGGGCTGCGGGTGGTGGTGGATCGTCGGAAGGGAGCAGGTGAGGAGCAAGATCGGATGTCGCCCGCGCGGGACGAAGAGGGCCGCTGGGTCCTTAACAAGTACTGAGACGAACAGAAAACGACGCGCTTTCCGGGCCGTGGAACGGTAGCCACAGAACGATGCTCTCCGTCAAATCCCGGGGTTTGGAGACGCGACTGGTGATGCTGTTGGGTCTTGGCATCGTCGGAAACCGCACTGCTTCAGGCCGCGGCTGTTCAGCCCTACCCGCCAGCGCCCTCACTCGTCCGCCTCGTGCCTTCAGCTTTGCCCGGTCGGCTGCCGGCTCCGCGCTGCTATAGATACCATCATGGCGGGCAATCGCCTCCTCAGCTTAGCGCTTGCGATTCCCCCTCCTTCCAAACCACCGCCTCCCCCCACCTGAACGATATGGTCGCCTCCAATGGCTCCAATGGCTCCTCCTTCGAGGCCTACTCCATGGCCGACGAGACCCGTAGGACCCTCGACAACCTGCTGCACCTCGCGAAGAGCCAGATCCCCTCGGAATGCCGCGACATCATAGCTCGCACCACCTTCCACACCGACAACACCGGGAGCCCGTACTTCCCATGTCCTTTCAAAGAAACCGAGGCTACCTCGGCACTGAAAGCCGTCGAGGCTGGTATGGCAGCGGCCATTGCGGACCTGGTGTATGGGGAGCAGGACAGGAAGATCACCGTGGATGTGGATAGGGCCTCGGCTTTCTTGTTCTCGGCATACCTGTCCACCGTCGGTGGCATGAACAAGTCCCACCCCAATGTCAAGTCACTCTTGAAGGGTCCGTGAAGTTGGGTACTAGCTACTACCAGTCGCTGATGGCTTCCAGATACCGACCTCCTTCAGGCACAGTCGATCCTCTACCGAAGGTTGTCCGCCAACTTGTATGAAACCAAGAATCCTGGCCAATACTTCCACCTGCATGGCTCCCTCGAAGCGACAACTGCTTTGAACATGGTTGGATTGGAAGGCTATAGGCCGGATATGACAGACTACCACGAGTGCATAAAGCTCATCGAGAGTCACGTCAAGCAATTTACGGCAGAGGAGCTCGAGAAGATGAATGCTGAGCGCAGGCAGGCGGGTGTGACCGCCATGAAGTGGGAGGACTTCAAGGAGACCAACCACGTCAGAAACCTCCCTCTACATCATACAACGTTCACGTGCTGACTGTCTCCCAGGGTAAGACTTTGATCCAAGAGCCACCCTGGAGGGTTGACACAATCGAGTCCACTACTCCTCCTGTGCCTTTCCCCGGCTTGAAGACTGCTGCGCCGAAGCCACAGGTCCTGGCAGGTGTCAGAGTGCTGGAACTCTGCAGGATCATCGCAGGTCCCGCAATGGGACGAGGCCTGGCCGAGTATGGCGCCGATGTTATCAAGATCACAGCGTCCAACCTTAGTGATGTGCCCTTCTTTCAGGTCGACGGTAACCTGGGCAAGCACACGGCCGATCTCAACCTCAAGTCGCCTGAGGGTCGCAAGATCTTCGAGGAGCTACTACAGTCTGCCGATGTGATCCTCGACGGATATCGGCCCGGCTCTCTGGAGCGCCTGGGGTACGGACCGAAGCAACTTGTCGAACTGACTAAGCACCGGAACCGGGGCATCGTCTACGTCGCTGAAGACTGCTTTGGCCACGTCGGAGAGTGGGCGGGAAGACCCGGTTGGCAACAGATTGCCGATTGCGTGACCGGAATAGCTTGGGCCCAGGGCGAGAGCATGGGTTTGAACGAGCCCGTCGTCCCTCCGTTCCCAATGAGTGACTATGGCACCGGCTGTATGGGCACCATTGCTGCCCTGGTCGGACTGTACAAGCGGGCGAAGTTCGGTGGATCCTATCACGGCACGACGTCTCTGTGCCAGTACGACATCTACCTGTTGCAGCAGGGCCTTTACTCCAAGGAGATGATGGAGAAGCTGAGGCAGGTGCACGACCCGGAGTTCTACGAGCTCCGCCACTACGACTCGGTCGATGAGGTGGGCAAGCGGGCACTCAAGACGATGCGGCGGACGCACCCAGAGCTGTTTGAGGACAAGAATCTGTTTGAGAGTTATAGCAAAGGCTTCAAAGCGCCGGTCAAATTTGTCCGCCCGGTTGCCGAAGTCGAGGGTATGTGGAGTGGGTTCATTCGGAGCTCGAGGCCCAACGGCTTCGACGCTCCCACATGGGATGGCTGGGAGGTTGACGAAGACATGTTGAAGTGCTGATCGGGGTGGATAATTGATGAGGTCATATGAAGGCGCAAACAGCGGCATTCAAGTACGCACTATGTAGTATTCTACTTTTTGAACATGGGTGTACGTCAGTCAAGAGGTCGGGTGGAGGCCCAGGCGAATTAATCGTGGCCGAAGTGTGAAGCTCTGAATGCAACTAGTAATACCTTCTTTGCTTCTACCTCCGGACACGACTAAATTAACTGGGGCTCTCGGTCTGTTGTTCCGTGGGCCCTGCGCGCCTTAGCGGCGATCTCCAGCAATTGCCAGCAACCCAACTTGATACCTACCAACGCTGCCCCGCGCCTTCTGACCTTTCGATCTCTCCCTGGCTTAAAGGCTGCTTTCGCTAGGTAGAATGGCCTCCACCCCTTTGCGCAGCTTCAACTCCTTGTGATCGGCCACACCACTGCTCCCACCTAGGTATGGACGCCTCGGAGTCTCTTTCCGCGGCCCACTGCGTCCTGCTCGCGACGCGCTATGCCGCTGAGTCCAACATTGATGCGCTTCGATCCCTGACGCTCGAGAGGCCCGATGCCTTCGATCCCAAGCTCATCCTGCGAATCATCCTCTCCTTCCTCCCCGAGAGCACCGAGCCGTCGATCTATGCCACCTATGCCCAAGAGGTCGCGACACGCCTATACCTTGAGCAGCGCGCAAAAGTCCCTGTCGATCCTACCCCAGTAAAAGACCTTTCCAACGCGCAGGCAGACAAACGGGTGCGCAAGCTGGAGTTACTTCCTTTGGCGCACTCCTCGTGTCCTGAGAAAGATGCCGATCTGGATATTCTTACTCTTTTTCTTATCCACCGGGCATATCGCATAGATGCCGAAACAGGATTGCTGGCCCTCATTCCTCCTCTCGTCGACCCTTTCCTTGACGAACACGAGTACCTGCGCACGTGGTTCGTCTCTACCGTCCTCCCCCTCCTTCGCCTGGACTTCGAATACTACCCTCAATGCGGAGCGACAACATCCCTAGAAAAGTTCGGAAACATACACGGTGCAAAGGGGGTGGAATTGTTACTTGAGAAGGCAAAATCATCGCAAAACAGTGTGTCTCAGGAGGAGTCTGACTCTGGAGAGAGCGCATTAGCAAGGGATATGAAAGGTGTCGTCGGGCCGTGGATGTATGGATATGGGCAAAGAAAACGGCGCAATTATCACGATTCTCGTCGAAGCTCGGCAGATGCCCTAACGCACGACCAAAACTCGAAGCCTGGAGATTTGAAAGACCGCCATGATTGGGAATACGTCCTCTCGTGGATGGTCCACAGCGCCTCGGACCACTTCGATCTCATCAGCAATGCCATTGAACACTGGGATGGGCCCAACGACGTCGACCTTGGTGGTTACGCGAATGTCAATAAAGTCTATGGAGAGGAGCTGCAAGACCACTTGAGGCTCCGCTATTGCCAGGCTGCCTTTGGTTCCGTGTACGCAGTAAACGAGCATACCCGAGCCACTATAGAAGCCGCGCATGGTGTGCTGGTACGCTTAGCACAGATCATGGACTTTGACCCACCACCGGACCTGGCGAGCAGCCTTGACATGCTGCCAAAAATTGAGGACCACGCGAACCTCCTTGAGGATTCCGATACTGCGGTTCTGCAGCCGGATGTCCTAATGAAAGAAAATAATGCCCTCACGATTCCAAAGCTCGAAACATTTGCCCTGCTTCAAATATTTGTCTACTCGGCATATCTGTTGGCAGATCTTGGCTACCCTATTTCTCTAAACGGGGTAGCTAAATTCCGATTCCATGCAGAGGAGAGTGACCAACTGAAAGTTGCTCAAAAGATCTTGCACGGGATTGCCAACGGGCCACAAAAGAATGATAAAAACAAGTGGGAAGCGACCAGAGACAAATTGCTCTGGCTTTGGCACTGGGGTATGGATGCTGCTGATGAGCACGCTTTGTTTGGTTCTGGAATCTTTGGAAAGATTGATCGGCAAGTGTTCGAGAGAGAAATCATCAACGCTTTCTTGACCTCTTTCCAATTTCAGTTGATCCAAGAAGTATACCTCCCAAAGTCAGGACAGCGAGATCACCTCGATGCGGAAGACGTCGAAGAGGTTGTTCACAAGCATGTCATGGAACACTACGACAATGCCACAAACGGAAACGTCACTAGGGGTAGAATGCAGAAGGCCATGGACATTATGACCGAGTTCCAGCCTTACTTTTCACATTCTCCCGAGTTCCTTCGTACGGAAGCTCTGCTTGCTGCTACCCATTCCTTGTCATTTTATTCGTTGACGCTGCAACACGGTGTTCCATTCAAGCCCGTTAACATCAGGATCAGTGACGACCCCATTGGCCTTATCGGCAAAGTCCTTGATCAGAACTTAAGGAGTTATACAAAATTGGACGACTTGATCAACATTGCCCAGAATCTCGTGTCTGCGAGAATCCTGGAGAGATGTGGCCCGGTTTTTGACCAGTCCGATGCCGATCAAGAAGAGCAAATGAAAATGGCCCAGCGTCGCGTTATCGGTATGGCTGTTGAGGCAGCACTTGCAGAAGATGACTTTGAAACCGCGTACTCGTTCGTCATCAATCGACTCAACCCCTCATTCGACTCAGTTATTCCCAAGGAGGAATCAGAACGTCTAGGAAAGGGTGGTCCAGCTACGGCAACGACCCTTATTCAGAGAAAGAAGGCGGATGACGTCTCGTGGAGGGCTGCATATCTAGCTGGACGCCACCGCAGTCCCAACACATCACTAACATCTTCATACAACGCGGCCAATGTTCAGGGCTCTCCAGCATTGCGCCGACTGGATCAGCGCATGGAACTACTCTCACAAGCTCTCTTGCTTGCACCGCCGTCTGCACTGCCAGAGGTTCTCACCGCCTGGCGAAGGTGTGAAGAAGAAATGACAGCGCTGTTAGCGCAGGAAACAGAAGCAGAGGAGCGTTTCAACGACCAAGCTGATCGCAGGGTTCCCGGTGCCTTCTCAAACCAGGCCATCACAATTCAGCCGCGAAGAGAAGTTGGCCGTGGAGCGGCGGAGGAAGCACCTATGGGCCTCTTTGACGTGGCACGTGGTGCGGCTGCTGCCTTTAGCAGAACTGCATTCCCTCTACGTGGTTCATCTGGTGAGAACGAGAGCGCCAGGGTCTCTCAAGAACACACCAGAACCTTTTCGATGGCCGGCAGCGAGACGGGAAGTGTTGGTGCTGCTGGAAGTGGCGAAGACGGTGACCGCGTTAGGAAGAGAGATATGGTTGCCAACGCTGTCACGGGTGGGTTGGCGTCTGGTATTGGTTGGGTGCTGGGTAAGTACACGCGAAATCCTGACTACTTCTGGGGCGATCAACTGATATTAAATAGGCGCTCAGCCAACGAACCAGCAACGGGAGGAGAAGTAACCTATATTTTCAATGAAACAAATCAATCACGACTCTTAATTCCTTTTTTCACTGACCAATTGTGTATGATGTGTTGAAGTCACCAGAATCAAGTCTCCTATTCTTTGATAGAATCATTTGTATCCTACTTCCCACACAAGTTTAAGAGTATTGTCTTGGCGTGAACAAAAAGCTACCGAACTAGAGCATCACAAATAGTGTAGTAAGCTGTCTTTGATCTACCTACGTCTTAAACAGCAATCCCCCAACCCATATTTCCCAGGCTGATACCATGAATTGGTCGGATGCGGGTCGTCCCGCAGCCGACAGATATCGGAAGCTGACTAACGGAGACCCTCATTTGAGGCTTGACATGACGTCTTGACAGCTCCGACATTGTACTCGTAGCCTGCGATATTAGGTAGTCTCCTAGTGTACCTGCAAGGCCGTCATCACGACACAAACATACTTTCAGCATGTCCGCCTACGCTTCCGAGTACCCTAATCTCGCCTTCGACCCGGCGTACAAGAAGTTCTTTGAGGACTTCTACGCTACCTCAGACACTCCTGATGCGCACGACAAATACGTTACGAATTTCACCAAAGATGCCACTTTGATAATGGCCTCGAAGCGTGCCAAGGGCACCGATGGTGCGTCACTCAACGTTCATCTCAGGCGTTGAGATCCCCCTGGTCGACATTAAAATATCATGCTAATTTGTAAAAAAGAAATTCTTGCCGTGCGCAAGGGCATGTGGGAAAAGGTTGCCAGCAGGAAGCATCAACCGCTGAAGATTTTCCCGGCCGGCAACAATGCCGACGAGGTTATGTTGTATGGAATTGTCGACTATGTGCTCAAGGACGGCAAGAAGGCGTCGGTGGACTGGGGCGCGAGAGCTCACTTGGTCAAGGAGGAGGACAATGTTAAGATGGATTTCTACCAAGTCTACCTTGTAAGTGTTCAATTTGGTTTCTAGGATGATATTATATGCTTACGAGAGAATAGGATACGGCTGCACAGAGTGCTGCCAAATAAGGAAACTAAGCGGTGTTAGTTGAGTGTTTCTTGACCGGAATTTAGTTTTCCTACACAACTTTCCTAGCTCAATGGTGAGGAGACCTACAACAAACAACAAACAAACGATTTCATCAACGTTTGACCTACATGTCTGCCATGTCCTTTAACAAACTCTACCAACACCACCAAGTCAGCATCCCATCTCGCATTCCTGCCCGTCCCGCAAGATGCCTCGGCGTTGGTCTGGCACCACCGACACGCCTTGGGTCACTGGCCTCAGTGCCGGGCTCTTTCTGGTCAGCATAGCTATTATCAAAGGAGCAAATGTCTTTGGTCAGCAAGTCGCAGAGATGATTCCAACTGCTTACAACCGTTCTTGCCATAATGATCCTGACACTTTCCCCACTGCTACCCTCAGCGCAAGTCCTGGCGCAGTGCCCCAACCCGACCATGTCTTCCTAAGCACCACCACAGTCAGCACGCCCTTAAACATGACGCACAGCGCATCCCCTCTTCCCACACGTCAAGGACATAGAGCCGCCAAGTCAACCCCAGCTGAAAACAGTGTAAACTGGATCGACCACCTCAGCGCCATCGCTGTAGACAGCGACATCGAAGAATACGTCACTCTAATCGGCAACATCCTCCACCACCTCCAACCCCGCTACGGTCGCTTCTTTGTCTTTGCGTCTGTGTCCATCTTGTCCATCACTGCACAGCGCATCGTCTTGTCCCTCCACCATCTTATCCGCTCTGCTATGGACGAGATAGCCGATAGATTTGCAGCAGCTCCCGCAGGTGAGGCCACTCATACGAAAACGAAAACCACGTTTGCTAATAGGAATAGATGTAAAAGAGGACGTCCGTCTCGCACTAGGTCTTTTGCTAGCATTCTTCTACGCGCGACCAGAAGTCGAAAGAAACCTCACTGACCTGGCGATCCACGATGGCTGGGCACAGATGATGGCGGGCCAGGTGCGCGAAGTGCTCCGTTCCTGCACTGGAGTTTGCGGGTTTCCGTGCCTTGCATTCGGTGGTACGGCACTCTTGCTGATTCGGTGATGTGAACACTCGTGCGTTGCGGGCAGATTCAGGCATGCTCGAGCAGGAATGGCTTGTGGGAACGATTGCGAAAGCTCTGTAGCACTCAAAGGCGCATGGCACACGGCTCTCACTATCACCAGAAGACATAACTGTCTTTGCAACAAACAGCACTCTCGCTTTCATGCGCGGGCTTTCAGAATTAACGCCGATTCTTTCAGTACGCAGTAAAAATAAGATCAATTTAGCGGGGGTTTGCAAAACAATTAGCATTGGCAAATTCCATCAACAGTGGTAGGGCGTAAAAATCACTAAGTTTGACACAAAGGTATGATGGCGATTGATGATATATGTTGTAAAGAGATCCAGTATAGACTGTTAGCTAAAGTGAAGATTCGACCGCGACGATGAAGCCAGTCTCTATGAAAAAAGAAAATAAGCCGTATGGCCCAGAGAAACTTCTACCCATCTTTGCAGAACGCCGCAAATGTAGCTATACGAAATGAGTTGGAAGTAAAGTATTGGGGTATCTTGCACGAAGCACAAAACCGACGGGTATAACCAAACCCTCGACGCGCAAAGCAAGAACTGCGCTGCCAACTGAAGGACGCATAATATGCTAGGATGCCTTACAGCAAGACGTAAAGGGCGCACATCATGGACAGGCCCAGAATCATGGAACACCAGAAAAGGATGTTGTTGAGGAGTGTCCTGCCCCTGACCCACTTGCTTCGTTGCACCATGACAATTGGTATTTGGAGCATCAAGGCGAAGGCTCCGTAGCCACGAAGCTTCTTGGTGATACAGCCCATGACAAGCTCATGCCCCAGAGCACTGATGAAGAAAGTGATGAAGGTAGCCGTAGAACGAGAGAACTGGCCACGAGAAGCAGAGTAGACGTGACGACGGAAGAAGTGGTGAACGGGAATGTTCCATTCACGAGAGAACTCGAGCCAATCGCAGCTGTTCCACCAATCAGCGTAGAAATGACGGTCGGCAAAACCTGAAACATGTCAATATATGAATCAATTAAAGTACCCAAGGGGAAAAACTTACAGGTGATCTCGGCAAAAGCTCCCAAGACATACTCGAAAATGACGAGGAAAACCAGAAGGAAAATGAACATGAAAGGATACAGGAGCTTGCTGATAGTCTCTGCTATGATCAGGGCGCACTCGGAAAAGGTTGCCGTGGCCTGCAGGCTGTCCGCCGAGGCGTCCAAGACTGGCATGACGAACTGCTCGGCCATGAAGGTGAGAAGGAAAATGCAACCGAAGACTGCGAGTGTCTTGTAGAAAAGCTCAAGCCAGTTTCTGTTCGCAGTTCTTGGGTACTCAAGCTCGTAGCAGAGAGTTGGACAAAAGAGAAAATCGATGTAGTTAAGCACAGTCAGGTTGTTCGGATAGCTGACGTTGCCAAGTGGGGAGATGAGTTCATAAGCAAGGTCCTCTCTCAGCTGTCTGAGGGTTTCGCCATGGTCGAGAGCATCTTGCTTTTCTTCTTCAGGAGTGCGGTCTGACAGAGGCCTGTCCGGGCTTGGGTACTTAACAGCAGCTTCAGTGGATGCCGTCTCCGGCGTATCGAGCTCGTCGAGGCGATGCTTAGTCTCGCTCAAATGACCGTTGTAGAAGGAATAAGAGTGCATCTTCATCAGCATCACAAGGAAGTGGAGGGTGAAGAAGACCTGGGCCGTCCACGTCCAGCTGCGAATAAAGGGCCAGCAAGTCCAGAACAGTAACCAGACTGCCTGATAGGCACTTTGGATAATCATTCCGGATTTCTTCCAGCGGAGATCACCTTTGCTGCTGTCGAACAACTTGTGCAGCGGGAGGCTGACAGCTGTGCTTGCGACCATGGCCAGGTCACTTATGCCCATTTCCCAGATGTTTGCGGTGAAGAGATCCCATTGGCGAATTTTGAAGGGGTAGCCAGTCTCCCTGAGGTTGCGCAACATGGTCGTGATGACGCCAATGGCTAGGCCGATCCAGAAGAGAACGAAGAAGCCGCGAAAGTCATGGTGGTCACTGTGCGGGTCGAAGTGGGAAACACGAGAAGTGTACTCAATGGTAGGAAACAAACGGCGCTTTTGCTGCGCACGAATTTGTTTCTTCGCATCGTGCTGAGCTTGGAGAGATGGCGGGGCATCGGGCGGCAGGGGAGTTGAGCGGCCACTAGGAGTAGCCCATGTAAGTAAGCTTACCAGATACGGAAGGCAATGGACAGATACGTACCTCGAAAGTCCGGAAGCCGGCGGGTCTTCGTTGGCAGCGCGCAATACCTGGGGATTTCCAGGCTTTCTGGCTCTAGGCTGGGCGATGTCCGGTTCGTAACCGTTGGCCTGAGGCATAGGCTCGGCGGAAGTGGTGAAGGAGGACATCACGGTGTCGGGGTTCCGCAATGTCCAGTTGAGAGAGTGGCTTTTTTTCCCCAACTGAGAGGAGGATGGCGGAAAGTATGTACAGGTGGTCGGAGGAGCACAGGCAAACAACGAGGCTTTGTATGCCAGGTAAAATGAAAAAGGAGAGAGCTGAACGGCCACCTGTAGGTATGCACGCGGCCTGGGCGTGCGTCAGATCCGATGAAGCTAGTTAGGGGCATCTAAGGTTATCGTATCTGATGCGTTTCCCGGAAGCGGCATGGCGCCGAGCGGAGCGCCAAGCGTGCCCGTACGGGAGGCCAACATACACGGAGCCATCCATGCTTCGCTGATGAAGCTCTCGCTCGCACGTTGATCGACTCAACCCGACTCGCTTGTCCTCGCCCTGCCCTCTCGCCCAGACTTCGCCATCCTCTGCCCTCGACCCCGCCGCGCCACCTGGGGTCCCCGAGACCGACGCTATGAGCTCCCGTACGTCCTCGCCAGGCTCCATCCCGCGCCGCGCCCGCCCTCCTACTGACCTGTGTGTCCCGCCTTTCAGTCAAGCAGTTCATCCGCAACGTGCGGGCCGCCAAAACCATCGCGGATGAGCGAGCCGTCGTCCAGAAGGAAAGCGCTGCAATTCGTGCCAGCTTCAGGGAGGAGAGCCACAACCCCAATACTCGGTTCGTCCACACCGCCGCGACACGCACGCCGCCTGCTGGGTACTGACGCCTCTCCAGCCGAAACAACGTCGCAAAGCTACTTTATCTCTTTACCCTCGGAGAGCGTACGCATTTCGGCCAGATAGAATGTCTCAAGCTCCTGGCTTCCCCGCGCTTCGCCGACAAGCGATTAGGCTACCTGGGAACCATGCTTCTGCTGGACGAGAACCAGGAAGTTTTGACTCTGGTCACCAATTCTCTGAAGAAGTGCGTTCGCGCCCCCGCTGGCAGTATGGGTGTATGCTGATTGACTGCCCCAGTGACTTAAACCATCCCAACCAATACATTGTCGGCCTTGCGCTCTGCACGCTGGGCAACATTGCCTCAGTCGAGATGTCGCGAGACTTGTTCCCCGAGATCGAAACGATTCTCTCTAGCGCCAATCCCTACATCCGTCGCAAGGCCGCTCTTTGCGCCATGAAGATATGCCGGAAGGTGCCCGATCTGCAGGAACACTTCTTCGAAAAAGCCAAGTTGCTTCTCTCTGACAGAAACCACGGCGTCTTGCTCTGTGGTATTACGTTGGTGACGAGCATGTGCGAGGCGGACGAGGCGGAGGGCGATGAGCTGGGCGTTACGGAAATGTTCAGGCCGCTGACGCCTTCCTTGGTCAAAATATTGAAGAGTCTTGCTAGCTCCGGATACGCGCCTGAGCATGATGTTACTGGCATTACGGACCCCTTCTTGCAAGTCAAAATTCTCGGACTGTTACGCGTTTTTGCTCGCGGTGATCCCCAGACGAGCGAGCAAATCAACGACATCTTGGCCCAGGTAAAGATCGCGCTACAAAGAGTTGAACATCCGCTGATAGAGCCAGGTCGCTACGAACACGGACTCGACCAAGAACGTTGGCAACTCCATATTGTACGAAGCTGTCCTTACGATCCTCGATATTGAAGCCGATTCGGGCTTGCGCGTCCTTGGTGTTAACATCCTCGGAAAATTCCTGTCAAACCGTGATAACAACATCAGATACGTCGCGCTTAACACTTTGATCAAGGTCGTGGCGGTAGAACCAAATGCTGTGCAGCGGCATCGCAACACCATCCTGGATTGTCTGCGGGACCCGGACATCAGCATCAGAAGAAGAGCGCTCGATCTCAGCTTTACTCTGATTAACGAGAGTAACGTCCGCGTACTTATCCGGGAGTTGCTGTCTTTCTTGGAGGTTGCCGACAATGAGTTCAAGCCTATCATGACAACCCAGATTGGTATTGCGGCGGATCGCTTCGCACCTAACAAAAGATGGCACATCGACACTATGCTCAGGGTGCTTAAGCTGGTAAGGTTCCCAGATCTCTCAGGTCTTCTCTGTTCTGACACCGTGTGCAGGCTGGCAACTACGTAAAGGAACAGATTCTCTCTTCGTTCGTCCGTCTTGTCGCAAACACTCCTGACCTGCAGACCTACTCGGTCCAAAAACTGTACGCCAGTCTCAAGGATGACATTACCCAAGAAGGCCTTACGCTGGCTGGTTCCTGGGCTATTGGGGAATACGGTGATGCTCTTCTGCGTGGCGGACAATATGAAGAGGAGGAGCTGGTGAAGGAAGTTAAAGAAAGTGACATTGTGGATGTTTTCACGACGATCCTCAACAGCAATTACGCAGGTCTCATCGTGACCGAGTACATCATAACGGCCGCGATGAAATTGACTACGAGACTTTCCGACCCCGCTCAGCTTGACCGCCTGCGGCGCTTGATGCTCGCTCATCAGACTCATCTTGATGTAGAGGTTCAACAACGCTCTCTGGAATACGGAAATCTCTTTGGCTACGACCAGATCAGGAGAGGCGTTTTGGAAAAGATGCCTCCACCAGAAATCCGGGAGTCGCAGAGAGTGCTAGGAGAGGCAACGAGCAAGAAACGGAACTCCAAGATCGCAGCCAAAAAGAAGCCCAGTCAAGTTACGGAGCAGGACATGCTCTTGGACCTCATGGGTGGCTCGGATGTCCCAGGACCAGATATCAGCAGTACAGTCAACGCGGGCCAAAACAACGCCGATCTACTCGCAGACATCCTTGGTGGCGGTGCCTCGGTGTCTTCTCCCCCTCCTCAAACCACTTCTCCTCCACCTGCTGGACAGTCAAACGTCAGCTCCATCATGGATCTCTTCAACACTCCCAGCACTACGCCCCAGCCGCAGGTTGCAAAGACCGCCGCATCTGCAGATCTCTTCAGTGGCATGGCGACACCCCCACCAGTTGCTGCCACGCCGCCACCTAGTGGCGCTCCGGCACATATGGCTTACGGCAAGAACGACCTCCAGATCACCTTCCAAATCCAGAGGAGTGGCAACACTGCACAAATTCTGGCACGATTCCGCAACAACAGCAATGTCGAACATATGAGCAATGTCAACCTGCAGGCTGCTGTCCCCAAGAGCCAAAAGTTGCAATTGCAGGCAATCAGCAACGGGGAACTTGATGGCGGCCAAGAAGCAACGCAGCAAATGAGGATAGCCGCTGTCACTGGGGTAAGTTAACATATTCTGGAACACTCAAGGTCATGACTAACGGTCCAACTAGGCTCTACCCGCCAAACTTCGCCTGAGGTTGAAGGTTGGGTACACCAAGGGCGGTGATGCCGTCATGGAGCAGGTGGATTGGTCCGAGCCTACATAAGCAGCCCATAGTAAGATTGGCGGCGGCGGCACTGCATTCGGACATGAAGTACGAGATTTTCCATACCTCAGCGTGAATTGACTTTGCCATGCAGCATTAGAAGGGCATTGGCACGAAAGGGTTTTTACAATTATCCGCGAGACAGTTGCAACTAATGAAGAATAAGCATAAACCATGTTTTCTGGACCACAAGTATCATCAGCCTACATCCAAGTGAGATTAATGGGAAGGTCGCATTTAGCCTGTATGGAGACGGTTCAGCCGCCGGACAATCCTAACAGTGCCACAACTCGCCATAGCAACGCTTCTTGAGACCCCGTCCCCAGTTAGACGGAATTGTTTAAGTCCAGGAATCATTTGTGGGATATGCGGACTATGCCTTACCTTTACCCGATGTTCTGGGCATCATCACAACCAGCTTGATATTCTCAGAGTATTAGCTGCGCATTTGTATACACTATCACAAAGATGTCCAACACCCTAGCTTATAGAGATTGCCTACTACCGTTACTGACTATCTTTCTGCACCAACATGTCTCACCACAAACAGAACTTTGTGATAACACGTAGTTCGTCATAGCTTCGTCCGATCATGCTTTTCCCATCGACCTCTGGCGCTTTTTAAGACATTGAAAAACGGGAGGAAGATTTGATATAAAGATAAATATGCCAGCTGTAAAGCATGTCAATGCATGTGCTGGAGTTACTGTCTAGGATCTTTATGGTCTGTATTGCTGGTGAAAGCGGCGAGGATCTTTGGTCAAATGTGCTAAAAAGACGGCATATCACAGTGGCTAGCCATGCAAAATTTGGACGGAACATTCTTATATACAAAAGGAGATTCGTTATATAGGACTGTCTGTACTCATGGTCTAGTATCCCACCAGTCTGCAGTCAGGGGTGGGATGGGAGAGGATTTCTCTGCCTCACATAAGGCTTTGTCAATCAATTCCCAAAATGCTGCAACATTAAGGCTACGCGGGATCCGAATTCCAGATTGGCCTTCCTCCAACTTCGTAACCAGTATTCGTCCAAGTTGGCCTACGCCCTCTGCGTCTGCTCGATGCAGCAGGTCCGGCTTGTGGATGCCCTCAGTGACAACCTCCACGGCGAACCTCTCCCCGTGGTCATGAAAGAGGCCAGGTTCGAAACAAGCGGCAACTGACAGTGGGTCATGTAGTGGTGGTCCTTCTACAAGACCAAATTCATCGGCGTAAGCCTTTGCAAAGAAAGTCAAAATTTCGTAATAGAGAGCACGGATGGAGGATGGAAGAAGCCTTTCAGCTTTGCTGGCTGATAGTTCACCATCAAGTCCAAGAAGCTTTTTCTGAACCGATGTGTTGCCTAGGACTTGATGGGTCACATCCAAAGGCATGATGGTGGTCTTAGGAGCCATAACCGGATGTGTAAGAAGGAACTGCGCGGCTTCTGGGTCACACTGTGGTATTGTTAGACCCTTATCGCATACCTTTGCTATCGTTTCAACTCCTTGATATAGTTGAGGGTTCACTTACGTATATCTGTCGGGTTGTTAGCAAGCCGTATAGACATTTAGAGTAGGCACCATACATTAAACTCGGCAACGGGTGTCCAATTACCAAACCTTTCACCTTCCCCGTGGACTCTTCCCATGGGTGCATTGGTGAAGCCTCCACCGACAGCCCCGCCCATGATGCTGAAGCCTGCCAAATGATCTGCCAAGTCCGGATGAGCTTGGATCACGCGAGCGGCGTTGGTCAAGCAGCCGGTTGCTACAAGCCAAGCTGATTTGGGGCGAGTAGCAATCAGAGCCTTGTACGTTGCCTCTACGTGATCAACTTCTCGTACAGCAGAATGTATGGGCTTGGGCAATAGTGTCGTTCCGTCTAGCCCAGATTCGCCTGTGACATCTCAGCAGACCCGCCTCGCATGGTCGGTCATGGAGTTCAAAGGATACCGTGGATGCTGGCCGCGTGCACGGCATCGCGGACCAAAGGCTTGGAGGCTCCGGGATATACCGGGATCCCTCGACGTCCTATGGCTTGCAAAATGCTCAGGCTGTTTTGGGTTGTGTGATGCAGTGAAGCATTGCCATGCACAGTGCTAACTCCAAGTAGCTCGGTCTTGGGACTATGAGCGGCAAGAAGGAGGGCGAAGGCATCCTGGGAAAGGTTAGGAGGGGTAGAGGAACGTGGGGCGCGGGGCGTACATCGTGGCCTAGGAGAGGTTAGCTTTGGCATAGGGAGAGACAGGAGTGAATATACCGGGATCGACGTCGAGCCATAGGGGAACAACGGGCAAAGTCTGAGACATGACGACCGTCGTGGAACGTTGCGGGGAGGAAATCATAACAACGGCGGGGATAAGCAGCGGGGTCCTCCCAGACACGCCAGGGTCCGCTCGCTTACATAGATACCGACGATCTCGGCTCGGGATCGTGGGGACGTGTTGAACGACTCCCTCACCAGGACTTGGTCGCCGCCATGCTGGGCTACAGCTTCGTCACGCTCGACGACGAGCAAAAGGCCACCAGGCGCCATCTCCTGGATCAATACGCCATCGTAGCCCAGTGGTCTGTCCTTGTTCCTCTTCTCCTACCCCAGCTGGCTTTCCTTGCGCGATGGGCATTCCGAAACTGTACTCCGGAGCGACCTCGTTCTCCGCACCCACAAGCGACCAGCCGCAATCCAAAAACTTGCATCGCGCGGGTGGAGCAAGCCTACAACCAGTTACGATGGTGGGCAGATGAGCCCATACGTCGAGGATGGTTCACCAAAGGTGAAACTCTTCTAGGGCTGATGTGGACCGCTTGGCTTTTCTTCCTCTGCATTCACAAGACCGGCAATGATTATCTTCACCTTACCAAGCGCTTCGGCATCGTGGCGGCCTCCCAATTGCCACTGCACTATCTCCTTGCTATGCGTTCCTCTCATTCCCCTATTCAACTGCTGACCCGACTCTCCTACGAGCGTGTTATCATGTTGCATCAGATCTTTGGAAAGATTCTCACCTTCTTTTTTGCTTTGCATGCTGGTTTCTACTTCAACTTCTTCCTTCAGTCAGGACTTATCCAGAAGCGTATCCGGGAAGTGGATGTCATCACCGGACTTATTAGCTTCATAATGTTTTCCGTCATGAGCACCACCGCCCTCGGAGTCATACGGAAGTGGAACTACCGCGTCTTCTACACGATACATGTTTCAACGGCCATCATCGTAGTCGACGTGCTCATCTGGCACGTTCAGCACCTGCGCACTTATGTGTTCGAAGTGCTTGCCGTTTGCATACTCGCCGCCATTCTCAAAGGCCGCAAAATGCACCAATTTTCCGGGACCATTACCCTGATACCAGGAACTAATCTGGTCCAAGTCGCAATCCCAGTGCCATTTGAGAAGGATGCAAAAGAGTTGTCACCTGGCCAGCACGTCCATTTGAGCAGACCACCCTTAGGCCAGCTCTCCCTTAGCGCCGTGAATTCGCTTGTCATACGGCGTCGCACCAATCCCTTCACAATTGCCTCCTTGCCCTCCAAAGACAAACAACTGCTCTTGGTTGCGCGCACTCTCAACGGAAATACTAAGCGGCTCGTGGAACTTGCCAAATCGCTACGCGCACAGTCAGATGCCGGTGCCGCACCTGTGAGCATACCACTGACGATTGAAGGCCCGTATGGCGCATCGTCCCGCTTCCCCAATTTTCGCGAGTTCGACTACGTCTTGTTGGTTGCCGGTGGTGTCGGCGCGACCTTTACCATACCAATGTATCGTGCCATAGTCGAGGCAACGAATGTTGGGGAAAATGACCCTGTCATCAGAGCCCGAGTCAGGTTTGTGTGGGCTGTGAAACGGCTCGCAGAAACGCGATGGGCGTTTCCTAAGCACTCTGGTGCTGGTGTTGAAGTGTCGGATGATGAACATGAGCGCCCAAGAAAGTCGGTAGAGGTGTTTGTGACACGCAGTCCATCTGACGGGGAGCGCGATGATCAGGGTCTTCTGGACGACCTTGAGCTTGCGGATGGTGACACCTTGCTCCAGGAGGACACGGAAAAGGCGCACGGCATGGTCGTGGGACATGGACGCCCCGACCTGCGTGCTATTGTCGATGAGGCCTTCACTAGCTGCACCGGCAAAGTCGCAGTTCTTGCCTGTGGGCCTGAGAGCATTATCAAGGAGTTGCGGCAGTGCGTCAAACCTTGGGTCTTTAGGCAGAGAGATGTGTTTTGGCATCATGAATCATTTGGCTTATAGATGAGGTTTGAATGCATAGATTTTGTACAAACCAACCGAACCCGGCAGGCATGCTAGTAACCCGAGAGAACGTCTATGGATGGCAACAAGCATAAGGCCTCCCAAATGCATAATACTCTGGCCGATTATGGTATATGAAACAGTAGGGAAAGGGATGTTGACATGCATCTCATTTACAAGCTCTTCTCAACTTCCATGACCTCCTTGATACCTTGCTTGATTGCTTCAGTTTGCTCGGCGCTCAATCTCTTGAGTGGTTTTCTGGGGTAACCGCCGTAGCCGTAGTATGACTGGATGGCTGACTTTGTTCCAGGAATGGCCGACTTGGTGAGGACCCAGTCACCCTTGCTTAGCACCCTTTGCAGCTCAATGGCCTTGTCGAACTGGCCCTCTGCCCAGAGGTTCCAGACCTTGACGCAAGTCTTTGGCATGACGTTCGCACCGCCGGCGATGATGCCAGAGCCGCCACTAGCTGCGGTCTGCATGGTGAAGTCTGCCATGCCACCAAAGGCCATGTAGCCGCTTCCAGAGCTCTTGGCGGTTGTGGCAGTTGTGGCCAAAGCAACGCGCGTCAGCTTGCCCGTGTTGCCGCACGTAAACTTTGTGCCCATGATGTTCTTATGCTGGGCCAGCTTGATCAGAAAGTCACTGTCCATGTCGATGCCGGCGACGGCTCCGGGATAGTTGTAGATGATGACGGGCAGAGGCGAGCCGTCAGCCACGCTGGTGTAGTACTCGTACAGCGCGGCTTCATCCATGGCATAACGGTAGTAGCTAGGCGGGATGAGCAGCACGTACTCGCCGCCCGCAGCGCCCGCCTCTTTGCACAGTTCGATGGTGCCGCGGATGCTCTGCTCGCTGGCGCCAACGATGACGGGCACATCCGTAAAACCAGCCTCATCGAGGGCGTCTCGGGTTGCTCGCGTGACTGCCGACTTCTCGGCCCGAGTGAGGTGCACCGCTTCTCCATTGGATCCCATGGTGACGAGACCCACAAGGCCGGCCTCGGCCAGACGCACGGCGTGCTTCTTGATGATGGGGATGTCGAGGTCTTCCGTGTCGGGGTTGAAGAAGGTCATGGTGGGGGAGTAGATGCCATGACGGAGCGGCGTGCGCGCCTTTGCTGTGCCGTTTGCTGCCATGACGATGATGAGGAGGATGAGGAGGATGAGAATGGAAAGGGACGTGAGATTGACATATCTGGGGCACGGAAGGAGCAAGACTTATAAGCGTGAGCGTCGAAGAGCATTTTGGTGAGGCAGATGCGGCAGAGCAATGGCGTGGGGTTGAGGTCAGTCAGAAGCCGTCGGGGAATGAATTTCGCACCAATGGCAAAGCCGCGGCGAATGACGGCAGCTTGCCCCGCCCCCGCAGTGCATTTTTCCGCCGACTGCCCTTGACCCCAGCCCTACCTTCGTATGCCGCTTTCCCCGCGTCCTCCGTCGCCGACGCCGCCCATGGGTAGTTATGAGGTGCTGCCGCGCCGCCCTTTCTCTCTTGCTTTCCCTCCCTCAATTCTCTCCTGACCCAGGCTGACTCGCAATGGCTCCCCTCAATCTTCTCATGGTAACCCATTTCCCGCACCCCAGCCCCCGCAATGCCCGCTGATCACTCGCGCCCAGGTCGGCACCGGCGAGTACACCACTGGCTTTGTCGGTGGTGGCATGTCTGGCTCAGACAAGAAGGTTGGCGTCGTTGGGCTGACCATGTTCGACCTGCGGAGGAGAGGGAAGGTCGACAAGTTGAGCATGGTGGGCACATCGGGCAACAAGTTCCCCGCCATTCGTGCGCCAGCCTTCACCCCACCCACACCTTCTTAGACTGACCGTCTCCAGGCGAACATCTCCACAAAAACATTACCCAGGTCTACAATGGGCTCGACACTTCCTTCTCCTCTTTCCCCGCCGACGACAAGCGTGATGCCGATGCCTACAAGGAGGCCATTGACGCCCTGTCTCCCGGCGATGCCATTACCATATTCACTCCCGACACCACACACTTCCCAATCGCCCTCTACGCAATCCAGCGCAAGATCCACGTCCTCATAACTAAGCCTGCCGTACAGCTCCTGGAGCACCACCAGAAGTTGCTCGAGGAATCGCGCAAGCACGGCGTCTTCGTCTTCATCGAGCACCACAAACGATTCGACCCCGCCTATGCCGATGCACGCTATAAAGCGAAGAACCTGGGCGACTTCAACTACTTTTACAGCTACATGTCACAACCCAAATCGCAGCTGGAGACGTTCAAGGCCTGGGCCGGTAAGGACAGCGACATCTCGTACTACTTGAACTCGCACCACATTGACATCAATGAGTCCATGGTGCCCGACTACAAGCCGGTCAAGGTCATGGCAAGCGGGGCGAAGGGAATTGCCACGGACCTCGGCTGTGCGCCGCAGACTGAAGACACGATTACGCTGTTGGTCGATTGGGTGAAGAAATCGGACGAGTCGAAGAGGGCCACTGGTGTCTACACTGCTAGCTGGACAGCACCACAGAAGGCAGGCGTGCACAGCAATCAGTACTTCCACTATATGGCATCCAAGGGCGAAATCCGTACCAACCAGGCAAAGAGAGGCTACGATGTAACCGAGGACGACGCAGGTTTGGTCTGGTACAACCCGTAAGTCTCAGTCTTCAGAAAAGCAAGCTGGTTACTGACATGGTGCAAAGATTTTACATGAAGTACGCACCGGACGAAGAAGGAAACTTCGCTGGCCAAACTGGCTACGGCTACATCTCGTTCGAAAAGTTCGTGGACGCTGTTACCACACTAAAGGAAGGCAGAGTCACTTTGGACGAGCTCGATAAGCGGGGTCTGCCTACGTTGAAGAACACAATAGCCACAGGCGCCATCTTGGAGGCCGGTCGTAGGTCTCTCGATGAGAAGAGGCCAATCGAAATTGTGGAGGAGAATGGTGTGTGGTCATTGAAGTAAAAGGAATGAACAATAGTGACATCGTCTATATGTCTACACGGCCAATTTTATGTTCGTTTCGCTTTTAAGCCAAGGGTAATCATAGGCACCGTGCTCTCACATATCGTCAAACTCACACCGTAAACCATGCTTGATCAACCTCTTTTTTAAGATTGTTCGGTAGTACAATGGCAAATGAACGTATCGGCTACATATGCTGGTTGGCTGCCAATCCTAAAGTGATGGGTGTATTACCGCGGCCTGTCAATCGTCGCAGACAAACCCGACAGGATCCTCAACGTTACTACACTGATAGCTATCCACAGAAGTGCCTGTCTCAACTTCTGTGAGCGTGACGTTGGTGATTTCTACCCCAGGGCATGGCGCCTCGGCACTGCATTGCAATTCTGCCGCGTACTCCGACTTTGTAGTACCAGAGATGTTTCCCCAATACAAGTCAGATATTTGGAATTCTGAAGTGTCACAGTCGCCTTCCTGTCCGTTGTAGGAAGTGCACTGATCGATTCCCAGGTTGCCCCGCGTGGATATATGCTGCACATCATACATGCCTAGATATCAGTTAGCATAGATGGCGAGGTAATCCTACAAGAGGGCCTCACTGATATTCCTGACGTCTGTGAGCAGGTAAGTCAGCCATGTCCTGCCATATAGACTGATTTGTTGCTCGGAATGTGAGGTGAGTACTTACAACCAATACCTCCGCCGCCGCCATTCGGCGGATAGCCTTTTTGAACTCCCGTCCAGGTTTTGACGTAACTACACAATAATATCAGTATACAGGCTCGAACGACCACGATATGCAGCCAGTAGGAGTCCTCTACTTACATTGCCCATCTAATTATTTTCAAGTCAGCTGGATTTCCATCTGCGCATTTACTGCTGCTCACATACCTTGTGTTTTTGAGGGTTATGTTCCTCACATGGAAATTCTCGATGAATTCGTAGACGCCATTGTACTGCCCGATGCTTCCTATGGCTATACCTTGCCCATCTTCAAAAATGCAATCATTGACGAAGATGTCTGAGGAATTTGCCTTGGATGAGATCCTTCATGGCGTTAGTTAGTTATAATGACAATTTCATCATATGAAAACATTGTAACTCCTTACGCATCATCACCGTTGATTACATGCCAGCGGTTAAATGTGATGTTTGAGGCATAAATTGTGTCAACTCCATCCGTGTTTTGGGTGGGAGCGGAGTTGTTGCTCGTGCTGTTGACATATATATCTTGCAGTAAGACGCTGTTCGACTTTGTGATGGTCATTGTCCACATTTGGCTTTGGACAAACCTGATGCCCTCAAAAACAGAATCGTACGTCTCCCAGATTAGAAGTTGTTGTGGTCGCCGGGGATAGTTGGATGTGCCGTTGACAAAGTCATACCACACCTGACCGTTGCCGTCAAATGTTCCATAACCGAAACCCTGCCAATGGATTTTGCGCCCGCCAAAGACCCAAGCGGTGGTCTGGTTTTGGTAGCCGATAGATATCGAATTGTTGAGCCAGTAGGAGATATCAGTCGACCACTATATGTACAGCTATGATTAGTGGTCATCGAGGTACAGTAAGATAGCATATCGGCATACCAGAAGAGTCCCACGTAGTTCTATCTCACAGTCTTCAAGACCAGTTGTGTTCATCACAGAGTTGATGTTGTAGGTCTCGTTTAGAAAGACCACTTTTCCTCCATGGCCGCATTCATCAAATGCGCTCTTGATTGCAACAGCATCATCGGAGCCGTATTCACCCGGTTGCACGATACACTCTTTTTTCTCTTCGCTTTCACACGCGGTGGCAGTGAAAAGGAACAAGAAGAGAATGGAAATGACAATATTAAGGAAAGCTGGAAATTGGCTTCGGACGTGCATCGTAGCTCAGGAAGCTCAGGGAAGGAACACAATTGATTTACCACGGACAGAATCGGACAGCCCAGCTGGCTTTATGTTTCTTTCTCTACCGCTCTCCCAGTGTAACAGACGGGCGACCTGTTTCCCCGCATCCTCCCCCCCTTGCCTGTCATGCATCGAGTGCATACACTGACGTATTTCCCCGCGACTCGGGTTGAAATTTGCGCGAGCCTGCGTGATGCTGGCAGGTGTGTACTGTACAGGTAACAGAAGAAGGTCAGGTACGAGAACGTCCCCTGTAGCCGATTCGCGCCATGACGCACCCCCGCGCTGGTGGCGCCTCTCCCGCTTACTACCCGGTGTCCCACATCCTCCAACGACACAACAGGTGACCCCCCCACGCTGTTGGTGATAATTCTACAACAAGCCATGGTCTCAACGCGCAATCATCCGACCGCCTTTCCGTCCCCGGATCTCACGTCTCCCTCCAAACGCGCCTCCACTCCCTCCACTGCCGTCGCACGCAGATCCAAATCCGCGCAGTGGACCCATACACCCTCCAACCTGACCCTGCTATGGCTTGCCATATCTCTGCCATTGGTCATCTGGGATACCGGCTATGTATTTCTTCGGCCGCACAGCATGCCGGGTGGTAAGCTTCATTGGCCCATATGGCAACCATATGCGTTGTACGGTACCATCGACTACGTCTACGGCTGGCCGGCGTACAACTCTCAAAATGGCTTCACTGCAGCTCAGGCTAGCTTGAATGCAGTGGAGACGATCTTTTATTTTGTGTACTTGTGGTTGGTTCTGAGAAATGGTACCCAAGCAGGCGCCAAGGGTAGAGGCGCGCCATCGAGGGCTTTTGTCGGATGGTTCGCGCAGAGCAGAGAAGTCGCGGGTAATGCTGCTGGAAAGGCTGTCCTTGTGGGTTTCACAGCGGCTGTCATGACCGTAAGCAAGACTGTGCTATATTGTAAGATTGACATCGGTACATATCAAGGCATTTGTGGGTTTGCTAACTCGGCTATAGGGCTGAATGAATATTTCGGTGGGTTTGAAAACATTGGTCACAATGACTTTACCAGCCTTTTATGCCTCTGGATCATCCCCAAGTAAGCATTTTCTAATTGTATGGTAACCAAGGGACCGGTTGCTCACGTTTGCCTAGTGGCGCTTGGATTATTGTGCCTAGCTACATGATTTATGTCTTTGGACAAGAAATTGTCGAGGGGCTTAATGTGGCTGCTGGAGTTGCTTCCAAGAAATTGGTCTAAACGCAGTCCAAGCCAGAATCGCACAACGGTGGTCTACCGCATGGGTTTTTGTTTAACGTCCGTCACCATCAAGCGAGGTAGGGAAGGATACAAGCAGCCCCTCCAGTATCCCATGTCTAGCTGCAATCCTGGGTTCTGGGTATAGATGGGAAGGTCTTAGAGCACACGCACGCATACTATACATATATCAACTGCGTTTCTTCTTCAACTCCGTACAAGCACTATCATCTCGCAAGACGGTGAATTTCGCTTGACGGTGACGGTTAGGCAACTCTTCTTGATGTCGTTATTGCTGCAAGGGGTTATGCTGGTGAGCCCAGTTTTAAAATATGACATTTCACACGCAACCCAGAATTGTTCCAAATATCATTCTCTAGTACTAAGCTGCAGAAATCGTCAAACCATGGGTTCTTCACTCATTGCCTTGATCTCTTTAACAAAGCATCTAGGGTACTTTGAGTACCGCCTCGACGTTTGCGAGTCGCCTTGGCTTCGGAGCCTCCAGAGTCTTGCGTTGCATCTTCCCCAACCATGGCACCTGGTGGGCCTTGCTTGCCCTTTGTAGGCCCTTCAGCACTATTATCAAACAGTTCTCTCCATGTTCCGTCCAAAACTTTTGGGTCGTCTCCAAACAGCCCGATTTGGTACGCGTTCTTCATGCCGTTGATACATATCTCCCTCCGCTCCGAGAAGTCGAACATTGGCTTGGGATATGTCTTATATCCTCCTTCCTCAACTGGTCTGTCCCCTTTGATGAGACAGCCCCATTTCTTTTGGTCCACAATTGGCGCTTTCCATGGTTCATATATGTATTTGGTTTCAAATCTCTCCAGCTCCGGGACGAATTCTTTCACAAAGTGGCCTTCCTTGTCCCACTTTTGCGGGAAAGCAATGGGCGAATAGCAGCGGTAGAATTGGCTGTAAAATGCCGTGCAAGAGAGCCACTGCCAATTGCCAATATTGCAGGCCGATTCGTGATCTATGAGCCATTCTTCGAAAACCTCTGATATCAGCGTTAGTGTATGGATATCAAGATAAGCTATCGAATGTATTGTAACATACCGGCACCACGCTCCCAGTCGACGTAGCACCCCCCACGCGTAAGAAAGCAGGCCACAGCATGTCGGCCCAGGTGATGGATCCATCCCTCTACCTTCAGCTGGCGCATCAATGCATCGATCCATGGGAAACCGGTTCTTCCTTGCTTCCATCTTTGGAAGTACTCTTCAGCAACCGGAGAATCAATCTCGTATTCACCAGTGATGAGTTTCTTGGCTGTATTTATTTTGGAGGGTAGATGCCATGGGATGAACCGACAATAGGGGTTGTTGTATGACTGCCCGAAACTGTAACCCAATGCAGCTTGAGCTCCGAAATACATGTCGCGGAACAACAACTGGCCTGTCAAACTAACTGGTGGGAAACTGGCATTGCCCTTGTACGAATTGACGATGTCTTGAACACGCCAATAGAACTCGCGACAACTGAGAGAGCCGAAGTGGAGATAAGGAGAAAGAAGAGTCGTAGCTTGAGGCGAGAAGGCTGTAGGTGCCGTCTTCGGTTTTTCAAAGGTAGCCGTATAGTCTTTGTTCTTAATTATCTCATCCAACATTCGGAGAGCTACCGTCTCTCCGCCCTTATGAGGTGTGGTGGCAGGCTTCAAGCCTAGCTCTTCCATTGTGGGGACAGAAAAATCATCAAAGGGCCCTGAGAGGGTTGAATAGGAGTTATCTGCCTGATTACGCTGAACGTTGTTATGATCTGGCGTATGACATGGTCTTTCTTGCTCAAAATCAATGTCCGTATGACCTGGATCTGGCAAAGTTCTTGGCGCAGGTATCGGGCGCGGGACCGTTCCAAGCTTCTTAGCTAGATTCTGGACTGTGGTGATGCTCATAGTAGGTTTTCCATGGTTCTCTTTTACAAGCAGCTGCAACGTTGTCAGACAGAGGTTTCAACGCAGACCTGAAAGAGAGAGGCTTACATCAGGGTCATAGAGAGTTCTCCCTGTCTTGACAATGACCTCGACTCCAGCCTCTTGTGCGAATTTTAAAATCATCTCATCTCTCTCACGGGCGTACGCATCCGTGTCCTTTTCAAACACCAGATGGGTTACTCGCCACGATCTAAAAAGCTTTGGAAACAAGGTCTGTGGTGCCTCACGAAGTACAAAGAGCTGTGATTTAGGGTTTAACTTAGTAATAGAAGCGGAAAGGTCTTTTTGACATTCAATCAAAAACTTCCATCGGTTGGGGCCAACCCTACACTGATGATCAGCTAAATGATGCATGCCGGAAGACAGGGTGATACTGACCGAGCACGGTATACATAATGGCTGTCCCAAGTCCAGACTGGCCAAAGGCATTCAGGCTCCAGGTCCAATGCTGCTTGAAGCGCTGGCGAGTCGTGCAATCGCAGGTCCGTACGATGCCAGTATATTACCCTGGCAGCCTTTTCTTTAGCCATGGTAGTTCGCAAAAAGGCAAGTGTAGTTAAATATATATCTTTGCTAAGGGGGTGCGGGAAGTCTTTATGTAGGCTGGGTTACGTGTATGACAGCATTGATTTCAGCGAGGCACGCTAGGTAGGGTCCACAAGGCTTCCTGTGTACTGATTCGTCAATGGAAAGCTTGATTGGAGATGCCCAGACATCAGCAGAGTTCAAAGTCTTCAATTCGGCCACGGCTTTGTCCTACGCACAATCTCTAAGACAAATCTCTATAAAGACACGCAAGGTGCCATAATAACCAAAGCGCCAATACACCAAACGCCTTCAAATGCACCTTTGACTTGAATTTTAATCATTCCACGACTCGTCGAGCTCATCGATTAGGCGGTTCTCATCATCAGAATCCCGTCCTCTTCGGCCTCCATTGTTCAAAGAAACCTGGTTGTAGCCCCGGCGGCCGGGTATCATACGAGCACACGACGAGGTGAGAATGACAAACATGTCCTGCGGAACGATTAGCTCAGTTTTTCCAACTTGACCATCTCTATTAGCATGTTTGGGCCGAATCAATTTCGTGGGACAGCATTGGCTCAACTTACGCCGATAAAGCTGGCAATTCCAGCCCACATGGAGTAGTTTGGAAGCTGGCGCCATCCGCGCTGATGCATCACAGTGCGTTGATACACGCAACCGCCGACAAGGTAGACAAGCACAGCAATGATTGCAATGACACCGAAGACTCCGCCGGGACCAAGTGTTTGCGTCTCTTTTTCAATACCTCCGCAGGCAGCTTTGCTTCTGGCCTCGAAGAAGTAGGTACATTCATCTGGACTTGCGGCTACAAAGGCCACGGTCGCTTCAGTGGGAGGAGCCAGAGAGTCCGTTTCACAAAGAAGAGAGACGATAGTTGATTTCCGGCGTTTGTCACCCTTGACAGGTTTCCTCGACCGGTAATCATCGTCATCATCGTCTTCGTCGTCGTCGTCGTCATCGTCTTTCTCTTTCCTGGTGGACCAAGAGTCGTAGGCTGGAAGTTCCCTGGAAGAGACGCTGGATGAGCAGTATGAGCCGCCAGTATATTCGAGGACAAGCTTGCGGCCCCGAAATATTGGTTCGGAGTTTTGTTGCCTGGGAGGCGCATGGATGATCAGTAGAGTCGTTGGTGGCTCACGCCCGTTGCCGCGCCACTCACCCAATGGAATACGTCTTGCCGTGCTTGACGTAGAAGGCACTGACGTTTCCCCAGTGCGCCTTGTCCACGTCCTCGACATCCGTCAACTCTTCCACGACGGGGCCGCAGAAGTTCAGCGTGAAGTTGGCGGGGTAGTCATAGCCTTTGGCATGCCAGCTCTCGGCTGGCGACTTTGAATCTTTCGCCTTGCCCGGCTGGACACTGATAGGGTTCAGGTCGAAAAAGCGATCACTCGGCGAGCGGATGGTGCAAGGCTTGAGCTTCTTCTCGGATTTCTTGTCGTCGGAAGCCGTGCCCAGTGACGACCACAACAGTGCGGCCAAAGCGCACGAATAGTAGAGCCTCATGGTTGATGCGGACGAGTGCGACGGGAAGTTGGGGAAGAGGCGATGTAGCGATAGAGATCTGCCTTACGTCGCCCACATTTCCCGCACGATTCGAGCTCGCCGCGTTGCGAGGGCGCGTCAGCTTTCCAATCCCTGTGCTTGGCGCTTGCATGCGGGCGCCCGGGCGGCGGAGAGTGGGAGCTTGGACCACTAGCCACTAGGTACTGCATGACACGATTTTTGGAGCTACCAGAATAGCTACTACGAAGGTAAGAGTACTAAGACCCCCTCACGCGCCACTCTTCCATCTTCCTCTACACCTCCACTACTCCAATCCCACCATGAGCCAGCTACGAGAGAGAAAGCCCAATGGGCAATTGGCATCGCCCGCCGCGACTCCCAAGGAGAAGCGTGCCCACCCCATGGAATTCGGCGGCCCGTACGCATCGTTCCCTGTCCCACCCGTCCGTTCAATGCTAATCACGCTCTCAGACTTGGAGCTGCTGGTGTATCCTTTGGCCTCCCTATCCTGTGCTACATCTTCGCCTTTGTCTGCAATGACGTGTCCGGCTGTCCTGCGCCATCTCTCCTACACCCCTCAACCCTTTCGCTTGATCAATTGAAGAAGGAGGTTGGATGGCAAGGCTTCTCCAGCTTGCTCAATGTGCAGACTGTGGGCTGGACTCTGGCATACTATCTGTTCAGCCTTGTACTGAACGCAGTCCTGCCCGCGCAGGAGATTCACGGTGTGCAGTTACGCTCTGGTGGGAAGCTCAAATATAGGTTCAATGGTTGGTTTTTCGATGAATGCCTACTCACGGACGTCTACTGATCGACACTTTGCAGCATTCTCATCGGCCATGGTAACAATGGCAATTGCTGCCGTGGGGACACTCATCTATGGCGCTGAATTCCCCCTGTGGTCCTTCATCTGGACAAACTACATCCCAATTCTCACGACGAATATCCTCATCTCCTACATACTGGCAACCTTTGTTTATGTTCGAAGCTTCTCCGTCAAGCGAGGCAATTCCGAGAATCGTGAGCTCGCGGTTGGTGGCCATAGTGGGAACATGCTTTACGACTGGTTCATTGGACGAGAACTCAACCCCCGGATCACTCTACCTCTTCTCGGCGAGATTGACATCAAGTCTTGGATGGAACTGCGGCCAGGAATGCTTGCCTGGATCTTGTTTGACCTCGCGTTCATCGCGCGTCAGTATGCAAACTTTGGCAAGATTACCGTCAGTATCCTCATCGTCACGTTTGCCCAGGCGTTCTATGTGTTCGATGCACTTTACATGGAACCGGCAATACTTACTACAATGGACATTACGACGGACGGCTTTGGTATTATGCTTGCCTTTGGCGATCTTGTGTGGGTCCCATTCACGTACTCGCTCCAGGCGCGATACCTCGCCATTCACCCCAAGGAGCTGTCTTACATGGAAATCGCTGCCATCCTCGCCGTGCAGGGTGCAGGCTATTACATCTTCCGTGGTGCAAACAACGAGAAGAACCGTTTCCGCAGCAACCCTGAGGATCCCAAGGTCAAACATCTGAAATACATGGAGACGAGTGCCGGCAGCAAGCTGCTTATTTCTGGATGGTGGGGAACAGCAAGGCACATCAACTACCTGGGCGACTGGTTCATGTCTTGGGCCTATGTCCTCCCTACCGGCATCGCCGGCTATGTTATATTGCACTCCTCACCTGCTCCTGATTCTGATGGCAAATCGCCTGCAGACGGTAGCTTCATTGGCGGACAGCCAGTGAAGACAGAGATTGTCCCCGGTGAAGCAAAAGGATGGGGCATGCTTGTTACCTACTTCTTTATGATTTACTTTGCCATCCTTTTGATCCATCGCGAGATGAGGGACGAGGAAAAGTGCAAAGCCAAGTATGGGAAAGACTGGGACGAGTACTGCAAAAAGGTCCCTTATAGGATTGTTCCTGGCCTCTATTAGGGGAGAAACCACGCAAATGTTTGTCGCTTTCATTATAGTATTAACCAAAAGGCGAGTCCATAAATTTCATAATGGAGTCTAGGTGATCTATTGCATAGATCTTCTAACGGAAAATACTTTTCTAACAGCACTTACTGTTCCGCCCTTGAATAAGCATCATTCCACACATACTCGAGCCAGTGTCTGAGATTAGATGATCCCCCGTTACATGTATCGGGAGACACTGAAGTCTTATATGGCCCAGATGTGGTTTGAGGTGCTCGTCCGCTCCTTGGTATCTCACCAAATTTCTTTTCTAAATATTCCCAGGTCTCCTTGGCATGATAGTGTTTTACGTCCGGAATATCTTCCCAAGCATCGTACATCATCCTTGAGAGAATCTGCGCCCGCGCTTGGAAGTCTCCGTGTTCCAGCGACCCAGGTTTGGGTTCTTTCAGTGCGTGAAAGTAAAACTCATACAGCCTTTTAGAAAATAGCATCCGGAACGCGGTTGAATACTCCGAGAAGTTAAGAAGGGGAGGAAGATATGGCCTATCATCCGTAATATAAGTTGCCAGTCCAAATTTTTTGAGACATTCTTTTGTTCTCGTTGCCCAAACCTTATAGCTCATCGACTGTTGGGGAAGTTCGACTTCTCGGTTTGTAAATCCGCAATGGATTTCAGTATCCCCTTTTTGCTTTAACATCCCCCACATAACTGGAAGACAGACGCTGGGGTTCTTTCCATCTGATTCTGGATGACATGCAGCTGAAATAGCGGCACTACAGCTTCCCACAACAGGTATTCCGTTCTTTAAGGGGTAGGATGCAATCGAGCCGGCGTAGGCGAACATGATAAGAGATAGGAGTAATAATGAGGAAATCGCGGGTACTGAGTAGCCTAAAATGAAGGCAGACTTGTTTTGGTCAACAAATATAATGCTAACCATGAAAATGCATTGGGATGCAAGCCAGTGTAGAGCACCTGATATGGCCATTAGTGGAATACCGAACCGGAATGGAAGTTGTAAAGAGTATGAACATCGTTGGGATCCAGTTGGAATGCCTGACACACGAAGGCTCTTTCGATTTGCTCCAAATTGATCCCATTCGGCGGCTAAGCACATCGAGGTCAGGGCGCCGTTGTATAAAAAATATAAACAGGACAAAATTGGTTGGGCTATGTTGGCTAGCATAGCAGTATTGAACAGCGAGTCAGTACTAACAACCGGACCCGTGATGAGCGTTTGAACGCTCATACCCCATAGAGATGGGCTGACAAGAGACATAAAATTCTTTGCTCCCTTGATGTTATGAAATCCAAGGACGAGAACAAGTAGTATTATAACAGTAACGAGAAGATATCTAGCGTCAAAATCAATAGGTGTTTTAGTGCTTGGTAGGGACTTTACATACAGGTTCAAGTATAGAGTCGTTTTTCGCCGGCTAATGGCTTGGATCCGATGTTTACGTCTCGGCATCCAAAATTTTGGAGCAATAGTCCATGATGGAGGACAGGCATCCAGGTCTCTCTTTTGAAGGAAGCATGCTCCTGTGGTCGTCGGATCTGGATGTTCTAGGAACGAGGAGACGGCATCCCCTATTGTCAGAAGAGGAGGCGGTCTAGAAGAAAAGGCGCCGATACCAACAACCAAGGCTTTAATGAGGCCGACTACGGAGACTGTTATAGCAAAGCCACGACTGATCTCTAGTCTACAGCTTTCAGGGAGTCGAGGGCTAAAGCATCTTTCAGCAGAAAATCCGAATGGTGTCCAATCGTTCTTTTCGCCGTAGTTGCAAATGCTTCCACATTCTGGTGCTGACCCACACATCCACCAGGTCGGATCTGGGATGCAGTTTTCTGGAACAGAATTGCCGTTGATGTTAACCGCGTATGAAGCATTTATTAAAGTGTTCAAGTTGAAAGTGCCAGGCATGGCAAGGGTTGAGAACCAGATCGTCTCATTTGACAGATCTAATATTATCATGCGCCGGTCTGACACAAAAGCTTTCCCGAATGCGGATATGCACTCTTCTTTTGTGAGTAAATCTTCCGTGGTCAGGGTTGTCTTGAAATATTCGAGTCCTTGTATTTCTTCTTTCTCGGGGTTGGAAGGAAGGATTAGGTCAGAATAAGGCGTGTTCTCCGTCATGTATCTAGCTTTTGCGTATACACTTCCGTTGTATACCTCCAAAACCCCACCTCTGAGGGTGTAGGCAGTATAGGATCTAGCATCAAGCGTCGAAAAGATAGTAGAGTTGAATCTACGATATATAAAGGTCAAATTGTTTTCAGAATTATTTAAAACGTAGACTTACAAAAGATGAAGGACTAAAGATGTGGCCGCAAGTGTATACCACATAATAACATATTTTCTGCGCATGAACCTTACATTGCGGAGGCTTGGGACACCAATATCCAACCAAATCCGTTTTTTGTGAGCTTTGTTGATTTGCTCCCTGGTAGGTGCCGAGAAACATTGCATTGCAAAGCTACTAGCTCCGAGAAGTAGTGTGCTTGCAACGTTGATATATACGTGAATCCACATATTGGCGTTGCGTACAGAGTTACAATCTCCGTCAAGCAGGACACCCCTGTCATGGCTTTTCCAGTCCGCGGTTCGAAGGGCATAGACCATTGTCGATAAATTGGTCATAGAAAGGAGGGCGGTGATGAAAGCGCCTGTCTTGACACTGAAGTACCATCCAACCAAAGAATGCGAAACTTTCCATTTCTGAATTTTTCCAAGGGTGTTCAAGCCTGATGCTCCTGAATTAGTATTGGTTGCGTCCTTTGAATTGAGAGGTATAGATTCATGGTTGTTTTGAGACGATAGAGGAGCTCTAGGAGACTTTCGAAAGGGCATCATATTTTCAGTCCTGGTTAACAAATTTTCATTGGTGAGAGAATACTTTGCATTAGAAGATCGCAGGAGAGATGCTCTTATTCATGGAAAAAGGCTCGTAATGTGATTTCCCTGTGAATTTTTGTTATTTTTCCACCAGCTGACTTCTCATCTGCAGCTTTATCCCAATTTGTAACTTAATCGTCATCATGGTTTCCGCTCTCCACAATAACTATTAATTTTAGAAGCGGTGTCCCTCAGCTCATTGCTATCTATAGAAAGTGTGTTACTAAGCCCCTCCCGATTTATTCTTTTAACACGACCCAGGTGCTAGGCTTAAAGCATATATCATAACCCCTACTCAAACTATAATCTTTCTCAGCCTATATCTCACTATTGGCTACTTTACTAACTGCCTTCAACTACCGTTCTCCAGCCTTATTTTTGGACAAATACAGCAACTATGCTCGAAAGGTGGATAATTATCTTCGCATTTGTGGTAGTTGTCACTGCCGGCATAGATTGCAGCTACACCGCAACCGCTACGATATCAAGTTCCAATGCTACTGCTATCACTTCTTGCAATACTGTCTCCGGGTCCGTTGCGATTGCCACTGATGCTACGGATATCACTCTTGATGGCATCGAACGTATTAGTGGCAGCTTTTCCGCAAGACATTGCCGTAGCTTGGCTTCCATAAATTTCAGCAGCATTCGCTCGGTTCATAATCTGGAACTGATGGATCTGGAAGATCTGCATACAATCGATCTACCTCAGCTCACGGACGCTGAAATAATTCACTGGTCTCTACTTCCGAAACTGCAATACATCCCCTTGAAATCCGGTATCACCAACGTTGTAGCCATTAAGATCGAAAATACGAACATCCGGTCACTGAGTGGTATCGAAATCAAAGCGGCTAAAGAGATATCTATCACCAACAACTTGGAGCTCCAGGATTTATCCATGATCAGGGATATCGTAAATATCAGTAACTCGTTCGAAGTATTCAACAACCCTTTGATCGGTGGTAATATTAGTTTCCCATATCTGTCAGAAATCGGCACATCTCTCGACTTTGCTGGTAATTTTTCCAGTATCTCAATTCCTCAGTTGGAGGCTATACACGGTACATTAAATATTCAAAGCACGGAAGACATTTCCAGTACTTGCGAAACATTTATATACCTACACGGAAACCATAACATTATAAAAGGGGGTTGCCAATGTGCTGGTCTACAATCACGACCTGGTCCAGCTAGTTCTAGACCTACATACCTTCCATCGACCTAAAAGTACTATTTAATTATTAGTAGTAGCTTCCTATATACTATAGCTCCCTAAAGGCAATGATTTGGCGGGAATTCACGTGTGTTTATGTTAACGAGAGGGGCCACCTACTAAACGAGGCTATATTCTAATTAGTGCGCTCGCTATATAGTAAGACTCGCTTTACGGTAAACAACGTTAGAGAATATAACGAATTAAGTATATTTTAAAAGTCTTTAGAGATAGTATATTATTTAATTTATATCTAGTTATATATAGACTAGTAAGAACAAACTTTAAAAACCGCTTATAAAGTTAAGAAAAGTTTCTACTACTAAAATCTATAAATATCTAGTATTATCTTCTTAGAAATATACTACTTTATATCTCTTTATCTCGTATTTTTAAGAAAAACTTTAGTAGCTAGTATATAAAGATACTATATAAAGAAAGAATAACTTAAATAAATATTATCCTTAGTTCTATCTTATTTACTAATAATTTAGTAACTAAACCTTTATTGATATTTTATTAAATAAAGAGATATAATAGTAGTATAGTAGCGCCTACTATAACTACTTATATATAGAGCTTATAGTTAGTATCTCCTAGTACTAGCTAGGAGATACTAGTTCTACCTTTTATATCTAGTTAATTAACCCGGCGGTTTAGTACGTCGCTACTATATAACTATAGTAGTAACGACTATAATACTATAATATATACTATATAAAAGTATATTATTTATTTAATTTTTATAAGTAATATAGTAGTATTTCTCTAAAATAAGTATTAGTATTTATAGTACTATAAAATCTACTAATAAATATATTAGCTATTTACTAAGATATATACATTTAATTAGATATATTCTAAAATATATTAATATTTTTAATAAAATATTTTAGAAAGGCTTTTTATTTTATAAGAAAGATTTTAAAAGTATGTATAACTTAATTTTTTTTAAAAAAAAAATGCTATTTAATAAAATAGATATCTTAGATTTTTTTTTCTCGTAATATATATATCTTAGAAAATAAATTTAAAAATATACATATCTTAGAATTTTTTTTAAGAATATATTCGGTTTTTAAGAGTATATTTTACTTTTTTTTAAGACTATATTTCGCTTTTTTTAAGAGTATATTTTACTATTTTTAAGAATTTATTTCGCTTTTTTTTTAAGAACTAGACGCCTAATATTTTATTTAAATAGATATTAGGCGCCTAATACTAGGCTATAAATACTTAGTAGGAATTTTTCTTCTTTTTTATTTAAAAATTTAACTATAGAGCTATTTTTAATTAGAACTAAGTTTTTAACTATAAAGAGGTAAGAAAATAAGCCTTATTCTATATTAACTAGCTAGGAGAACTATAGAAAATAAAATATAGTAATTTTAAAATATTATACTATATTTACTATATTCTAGTAGTAAATAGCTATCTACTATTTAAGATATAAATTTTAAAAAAAAGAAAGATATCTTTTTTTCTAAAATATACTAATATTTATTAGATCTTTTTACTATTACATAGGTTATATATTATAAACACTCGTAATAGATATTTACTAAGATATATTATATATTATTTTTAAGATAAATAAATAAATATATATATATATGTCTTAGAAATTTTCGCTATATAAATAGTAATTTACTATAAAAAAAATATCTTAGAAATACTTTTAAAAATTATAGAAATTAAATTCGAATATTATATATATATCTTAAAAAAAAACTTTTAAAATATATAATTTTTTAACAATATATTTCGTATTTTTTTTGAAAAATATATATATATATTTCGCTATTTTTTATAAAGTTATATTCTTCTTTTTAAGAGTTTATTTCGCTATTTTTAATTATATATTTTTCTTTTTTTAAAGAATATTTTTTAAGAGTATACTTTTTAAGAGTGTAGTTTTTAAGAGTATATTTCTCTTTTTTAAAAATATAATCCTAAAAAGAGGAATAGAAAAGAAATATATTTTAGAAAAAAGCAAAATATAATCTTTAAAAAAAAAGTATAAATTCTTAAATAAAGAAGAATATATTCTTAAAAAAAAGCGAATTATTTTTTTTTAAAAAAAAATAAAAGTAAAGTATTTTCTTAGAAGTAATTACTAGGATATATGATTTTTAAATTTTATTTTTAAGATATATATATATTTCTTATTTCAATTTCGAAGATACATATTTTTATAGTATATTATAATATATAGAAATATATAAAAATTTATATATCGTAGAGAGACTTTTTCGATAAATATTTTCTTTAAAAATTTAGCTATAGAGAATATACTTAATTTCTAAATTATAATATATTTCTAGCTTATATTTATAAAGGTTATAGTTATAGAAAGAGGAAGAAGAAAAATTAATTTTATATAGTTTTACTTTTATATATTTAGATATTTTATTTAATTATATTTTTTAATTATAATTTTTAATTATACTTTTTTAATTATATTTTTTTAATTATATTTTTTTAATTATATTTTTTAATTATATTTTTTTAATAATCTTTTCCCTTTTATTAGAATATATGTATATATATATATAGAGAGAGAGTTTATTAGAAGTATATTTTAAATTTTATTTCGAATATATTTAAGTTTCTTTTAGAATTTATTAGAAGTATATTTTAATTTTTTTTTTAAGAATAATTTAATTAATTTTTTTTAAAAAAAAAGTATATTTAATTTTTTAAAAGTATGTTTACTTTTATAAAATTTAATTATTTTAAAAAAAAATCCCTTAAAAGTTTATCTAAGATATATAACTTTTTTAAAAAATATTTTTTTAAAAATATATATATTTTCTTATTATATATATATATATTTTTTTTAGCTTTTTTCTAAGAAAATTTTTAATAATATACTATAATATACTTATTTGTAAGTAAAATATATAAGATTATATATATTCTATAGAGACTTTTTAAGTATATATATCTTACTAAATAAATACCTAAGAAGAATATTTTTAAAAGTTTATAATTTAAAGAAGTCTTTTAATTAAATTTATTTTAAAAATAATATATATATACCTTAGTAAATAGCTTTAATTTTAGTTTATAAAAAAAATAATTAACCTTTAAATAAAAATAAATAGTATATTATATTTAGCAAAGAAACTTACTATATAACTCTAAATATATTCTAATATATAAAGATTTTTTTTAGAATCTATAGTACTAGATACTATACTAATTCTAAAAATAGTAAGAATATATATATTTAAAAACTATTAGTATTTAACTATAGCTATTTACTAAGATAAATGTTTTTTCGTATAATTTCTAAGATATATATATATATATATATTTTATAAGAAATTATAAATTATAATAAATTATAAGAATGTCTATCTTAGAAATAAAACTAAAAAATATATATATCTTAGAAACTAAACTCGAAAATATATATATCTTAAAAAAAAAATTTTAAAAAAATATATTTCGCTTTTTTTTAATAGAATATATTTCGCTTTTTTTAATAGAATACAATTCGCTTTTTTTTTTCTTAAAAAAATATTCTTATTTTTTTTTTTTAAGAATAAATTTCGCTTTTTATTAAGAAAATTTATTCTTTTTTTTAAAAAAAAAGAAATATAAATATTTATATATCCCTCTTTTTAGGAGTATATTTCGCTCTTTTTTTTAAAAAAAAATTCTTCCTTTTTTTTAGAATATATTTTACTTTTTTCTAAAATATATTCATTTTCTTTGAACGGCTATTTACTAACGTATAATTTCAAAAATATATATAGTATTTCTAAGATATATAAATATATATTAGAGTTTTACGCTATATACATAGTATTATATTACTAAAAGTTTATATCTTAGAAGTATGTTCAAAAAGTATATATATTTTAGAAATAAATCCGAATTATTTATATATTTTTAAAATAAAAACTAAAAAATTAAGTATCTTAGAAATAAATATCGAAAAAATTTATATCTTAGAAATATTTTTTTTTTAGAAAATATATTCTTAATAAATCGAATATACTCTTAAAAAAAGTATATATTCTTAAAAAACGAATATACTCCTAATAAAACTAAAATAATTAAAAAAGTATATTTTATTTTTTTAAGAATATATTTTCATTAAAAAAAAAGAAACAATTTCGATTTTTTAAGAGTATATTTACCTTTTTTAGCAGTTTTTTTTTAAAAAAAAATATTACTAAGATATATATTTTTTTCAATATGATTTCTAAGATATATATAGTTTCTCGAATATATTTCTAAGATGTACGCTTTTTAGAGATATATTTCTAAGATATATATATTTTTCGATTTTGTTTCTAAGATATATATGTTTCTTATAATATACTATAATATATTTATTCATAGGCGAATACTTTAAAAATATATATATCTTAGAGAGACCTTTTAAGTATGTATATGTTAGTAAATAGCCGTTCTTTAAAATATACTTATCTTTCTAGGAATATGTTTTTTAAAAATCGAAATACGCTCTTAAAAAATATATTCTTAAAAAAAATAGGAAGAACGGCGATTTACAAAGATATATATTTTTTTATTGCATAATTTTTAAGATATACATAGTATTTTTAAGATATACATACCGAAAAAGTCTCTCTAAGATATATATATATTTTAAATATTTTAATATATTTCGATATATTATAATATATTATAAAAATATATATCTTAGAAATAAAATTAAAAAATATATATATCTTAGAATTAAAATTTTAAAAATACGTGCATCTTAGAAATTATTTTTCTTATAAATACCTTTATTTTTTTATAAATATATTTCGCTTTTTTTTGAGAGTATATTTTGCTTTTTTTTAAAAAAGAATATATTTTGCTCTTTTAAGAATATATTTCGATTTTTTAAGAGTTTTTTTTTTTACAAGAATATATTTTTTTAATGATATATATTTTCTTTAAATATATTTGTTTAAGACTATGTTTTTTTTTAGAAGTTTATTCTTTTGATAATATATTCGATTTTTAATAAGTATTTATTAGTTTTTTCTTAAAAAAAAATTAGGAGTTTATTCGTTTTTTTTTTTAAGAATATATATATAAGAATATATTCGATTTACCAAGAATATATTTTCTAAAAAAAATATTTCTAAGATATATAATTTTCGATATTTATTTCTAAGATATACATACTCTTTAAATATATTTCTAAGATATACAATTTTTGTAATAAAATACTATGTTTATAGCTTAAAACTCTAAGATAAATTTATTTATATATTTTAGAAATACTATATATATCTTAGAAATTTTACGAAATATATATATATATATATATCTCGGTAAATAGCCGATTTACTAAGTAAAAAATATATTATCTATTTAAAGTAAAACTTATATGTTTCATATTTATATATCTATTGTATTTTTTTTTACCTTTTTCTATAGTATATTTAGCTTTTTCTCTCTTTAATTTTTCTTAAAAATATTATTTCTAGAATATATTTTATTTTAAAAAATATTTAACTACTTTATATTTTATTAATCTTTAAGATTTAAACCCTTAGCTAGAAAAACTACTTTTAAAAATAAGTAAATATTATTTAGAAAGTAGATTATTTTTTATCTATTCTTATTATTTTTCAAGAAAAGCTAAATAAATTTATTTTAACTTATTAAACTATATATATATATCTTGGAGCGACCTTTTATTAAATATATAATAGTATATATATCTTAAAATATACTTAAGATAAAAATAATTATATTATAGTAAGTAGCTGATATTTATAGCCTAAAAGCCTAAGGTATATAACTTTATATATATCTTATAGCTGCATATTCTTCCCTCCGACTTATAATCCTTAGTAAGTTTAAGTATAAGTAATATACTAGTAGGTAGACAAATAGTTTCACAACAGTATAATAATATAATCATAATAGTGTATCGAACAAGCATGGTTCATTTATCATCATCAGCATAACCTCTTCCACTGCCTATTTCCGGTGAATCCACCATCATAATGACCAGGCTATTAAATCCAGCACAATGAGTTCAATTTCCAAACCTTCGCACACACACTCATTCCTCCCAAGCCTTGAACGGATTCATCGCAGTGCCACCGCAAGCCCGTTCTAAACTCAGAAAAGCAAAATGTCCACCAACGACGGGCCTTGCAAAGAAGTTTGGGCCTGGGAATCCACCCTCGCCCTCGGTCTGATACAGATCCGTAAACGGGCGATCAGTGCTTGTCTCATTGAGCCACTTGGCAACTCGATCTAGAATTTCGGCGCGCACTTTCTCGCTCGTGACCGCGGCGGCCTCAAACTCCCAGTCGCTCTTGGTATACAAATGGCGGCTATCGAGTGGGAGGCCGTATTTCTGCATCACTGCGGCATACCATTCGCTTTGGATCTTGTAGACATGGTGCGGAATGAAGTCAGTCGTGATCGGCTTGCGTGAGCCCGGTAGCTTGGGTGGCTGAAGTGGTTCCTGGGTACGGCCTCTGCTTGGGTTGTACAGGGTATGACCAGCAGAGGTGCTACTCGCATTGGTGATGGTAGGGTGGAAGCACAGCAGCGCATCGGCGTAGAGCGAATAAAGGGTTGTCCAGCTGCCATACCAGTCGTAGGCAAGCTTGGCATGGGAACCATCGCGGGAGATACCATATTCTTGCCACTTCTTGATGTAAACGTCGGAAATATTCTGTAGAAACTGTCAACACTACTCGTGCGGCCATTCGGAAAGGTCTCACCCTGTAATAGCTGGCATCGGCATCGTTGTCAAGAGTAGAGGCGAGCTCGCTCATAGCTTTGATCCCAACAATGCCCTTGAGCGCGAGGTTTGTCTGCAAAGCAAGCCAGCCCGCAAAATCATCTGTAGACACTATTTCATTGTCAGTAAATCAGTGGGTTTGATCGAATAATCCAGGACTTACACTGGTTATGCGGTTCCAGAGAAAATTCAATCAAGTATCCTGTCCATTGTTTCCAAAGTCCATAGCTCTTTCGCAGCCACTTCTGCGCCTGCGTTGCACCCTTGATGCTACCACCCCAGGTGTCATCGATGTGCTCAATTCCTTCATGGCTGCCAATGTTCAATGCAAAAGGGTTCATCTTGGTCTCATCGTAGTTTGAGCTACCAATCTGAGACCAGATGGATTGCGGCTCATGGCCAGTCTCGTAGGTCAAAGAATTAACAAGCGACAACCCCATGATAAGCATATCACCACACTCTTCCACGGGCATGTATTCATCCCTACCATCCGCATGACCGGTCAAGTTGGGGAAGCTCGCACCAAGGTCATGCATGGAGTAAGTGTTCGGGTATTGACCGCTGTTCATGTGCTCGATCAAGGGCTCCAACAGATACGCGCCCCACCTAGGGTTGGTATAAAGGAAGAATGGCCAAGCAGGGAAAATGACATCTACAGTCTGGGAGTTACCGTTGGATGAAATCTCCTTGAGAAAGAGCAAGGGCTCTTCCGGGGTGCCGGAGAAGCTGGTAGCACCCATGACTTGCCGAGCACTGAGCGCGACAATGTCCACATACTGATCAGAGCCCGACTCGTAAGCATCAACGGCGAGCTGGTCAGAATAATTTGCAGCAAGACTCGCAGCGTTGGAAAAGTCGAGGTAGTGGTAAGTAAGCAACTGCTCCTCGCTAGGGAACCAGGATTTCCAGAGCGGGCGCATATATGTCAGGCCTCTTGCAGAGGCATACTGAACGATAGGATCTTGGATGTGGGCGATGGTGAACAGGACGCTGTCGGTTACCGGGGAAGAAGACGACTTGTTGCCAGCGAGCTGGAAAGACTTGGAAAAGGCAAAAACGGGCTCCTCTTCCATGATACCACGGAAGTTATTATCGACCTCATTTTGCAAAGTACCAGTGGCAGAGAAGCGCTGGCGCAGAACGGCAGAAGTTCCACACTCATGTCGAACGTCCTTTTAAAAGTCAGCCATGTTCTATCGCGCTCTTGCTATCCAAACATACCGAAGAGGCAGTAAAGTGCAGCGTGCCCCACTCCGCCTGGGCGTTGCCGCCAGGGACGTTTTCCGTAAAGAGCTCTTCTGTTTCTCTCCTCACCCGCCACGTCTTGAAACCAATGGCCTCATCGACATTGGTTAAGCCCAGGTCCCAGACAATCCGGCTTTCTCGCTTCCCGCTGACCCATTGGCCATTGACATCAATGTAAACATCAATATCAAAGCTGCCAGAGACATGGACAGCAATGTAGGACGCGGGAATAGCTTGGCGGAGTGTCGAGGTCGGCGTGATGGGTGAGAGGAAGGAGATAACAAGCTCCAAGGGGGCGGAACCAGCGGTGACAGGGTCGGGAGCGGGGATGTGGTAGGTTAAGTTGGTAACGGAGGCGTCGTACTTGGCTCCCTGGTAAATGGCTTCGGATACGTTGTACCTGAGAGGCTGGGGTAAGCAGATGCTTGCAGTCAGGGAGGTCGCGATCAGTTACCCAGGAGCAGACTTTTGCAGCGAATCATGCGGGCGACCGAGTAGCGGGTAGACGGTGTGTGTGTCTGGCACGGAAGCCAGCAGGGAGAAGCCAACCTGCCGGATGCGGTGCACCGTTAGCGGACGCGTTTCCGATGGGCCACTGCAGCGCGGCAATATACCTCAGCCCCGGTCCAGAACATGGGCCATTTGCTCCACGGCACATCTCTAGCATCGTTAAGCCAGGTACTCAAGTAGGGATTGCGAACGATCAACGGTAGCACCGGCGGCGTCAGGGCAGACGCGTCCACAGCGCCCGCCAGCAGCGCCAAAGCTGCTGCAGCCACGCCTCCGAAGCTCCTCATGGCACGCTAAAAAAAAAAATACAAGCAAAGGGTATTCTTCTGGAAGACGATGAGTATATGCAACCCGAGGCTTTGGAGAGATGGGATGGTGTTGAGCTGCTGTCTAGAGGATGCTGACCCAGCACCCGGCAGCTGACCCCAGTGTCGCCAGTGACGTTGCCCCCCCACGCCCCAGGCGCCCCGTGCCTTGTGACCCGCTTTTCTGCCATGCACCCCACACGTTAATCAGCGAAACGACCTCAGACTTCTCATGCTGCCTTCCCTCCGCCCCATGGCCCTCGCAACCACCTCTCTCAGCCTCCCTGATGGATTCACCTTCCTTCGCGTCCCGTCTGGCTGAGGAGATTCGTACTCGCGCGTTTCCAATGCCTCCTTTACTGGACTCGGTGTCCGCCTGAACCACTCCTGCTGCTTTGCCGCTCCGAACATGATGTTGCCCATAGAGGCGCTCCTCGCCGCCGGCATGGCCGCGTCCACAGTGTCTTCAGAGGGCAAAAGGCGCGTAGACGGCGGGAAAGAAATAAGCTTCAAAAATTTCGATGAATCCTTGACGTCGTTGGTCATTTTGGGTTCGCCCATCTCCGCTTTTGGAACCACTTTCGCAGGTTCACTCTCAGTCCAATCTGAGATTTTGGGCCTTTCTCCTGCCATTGTTGAAGGCACTTCGTCGTTCACCTCGTCAGCCGAGTCTACTGTCGTAAGATGTTGCGTGGTAGACGAGGGTCGGCTTTCAGCGTTTTCAACAACGGACAAGTCGCTGGTGCTGCTATGGCCCTTGTCTGCTTCTGATTTTGGCTGGTCTGCGATGGCGCCCAGCACCTTGAGCTGGTCCAAAGTACGATGATAGTATCTGAACGTCGCGAAGGGTTTGTCTGTGGGATCCAGGAGCGCATACCTGTAAAAGCGCCTCGGATGGTCTCCCTTTGCTGCACCGGCACTGGTCAGCCTGGAATGGTGTTAGTGACACATTCTTCCATGGGGCTCGTACACGTCGTCCGCAAGACCACACTTACTCCACACCACCACTGCCCTCTTTTCCAATCTTCGTGTTTTCAAATCCCTCCAGTAACTTCGCGATCCTCTGCCGTCCCTTTGCACGAAGTATTCTGATTTCAAGGACCCCACTGCTTTCGTCTCTGTCGCCATTGTTATCCTCTTCTTGCTGTTCTTTTTTCACGGGTCCGCCAAATACGAAGACTCTTCTCTCCACACCGGCTTTGCATTCGAAGTTCTCCCACAGCCCAAATACGGTCTTGCCTTTCCACTGGTCTTCTTCGCCGACACCCCAGGTCACTACATGTCTGCCGTCGAGGAACAATTTGAAGACAAAGAATTGGGTGTCTATGGAATGGATTGCTTTGGAAGGTTTGACAGAGTATGCGAGCCAGAACTGCGTTTTCGGCGACGACGGAACGTAGACAGAGATGGTAGCGTTGTGGCTGTCCTCGAACGAGATGGCGGAAGACGGTGGCGGTGGGAGTTCGGGGAGTGGCTCAGTGTTGTTGACAGCGGCGCGCACGGAGAGGGTTATGCCCTTGTAGGTGGGCATCGCGAAAGCGGGCGGAAGAGAGGAGATGATGGGGGTGGCAGTGATGCGGAAGGTAGGTGTTCACCAGTTAGATGTTCGCGAATAATAACAAGCTGTCGCAGGGACCCTCACACGTTTTAGGTAGGTGGGGGCTCGTGTGTCGGCCTGCGCTTGCCTATTTCGACCAGGTATGTTACAGTCTCGCCCAGTGGCCAGTTCCCTTCTGCGGCAGGTCCAGCTCGCTCGTGCACAGAATCAACGTGTCCTTCAGACTGCCCACTCTATACCTGCGGTTGGCTTCCTGATAGTCTTCGCTGGCAATCATATCCGCAAAATGCCAGATACTGGGATAATGCGCCAAAGCAACTTCATCCCACACATTGTCGCCTTGTCTTAGGCCTGCGCCCTTTTCATTTCCGTCTTCTACCACCGTTCCGACCACCTTAGCATTGCCGCCTCTCCTTGCCCCGATAGATTTTGCAAACTCAGCACCGTACTTGAGGTATTCCTGCTTCTTGCCTGGCGCGAAAGCCAGCAGGTTCAGCATGCTCACCGCACCGCTACCTGGAGCCGACACCGAGCCAAACTCTTTCACCCAGTTCCGCAACTCGTCGGTGAGCTCTAAGTCTTGGGACGAGATTGCAATGCGTGGCTTGTCCAGAGCACCAGTTAGCGGGGGAATGCCATTACGGTCCGGCTTAAGGAGAGTTCTGTTGCGCTCCGTGAATCCGTTTACTAAGCGCGACGGCACCCCAATTTTGATTGACCATTGCTTGCAAACAAGAGACTGCAGCTCGACGGGAAGAGGATCGGCAGAAGGAATAATTAATAACAAGTCCCAGCGTATATCGCTGTTGAGTAAAGGGTCGACTGAGAGAGCTTTGGGTGTAATAATCCAGCGGACAACACGGGAAACAACAAGAGGCTCAAGCTGAGCAGAAGATAGGGCGGAGAGGAATCCAGCCAACGGAACATGTAGGGAGAGCAGATGGAGGGCACAAACTGGCATGATGATGATGGTGCATATACTCGAGTGCACTTTGAAAATTTATGAGTAGACGGGTACTCGTAGAGGTTGAAGTGCGGGGAGCTGCGGGTAGAACCGAGGTATGACGTCGGCATCTATTCAGGGTAATGGTTCTGCTAACCCTTGCATGATAACACACCTACAAAAGCACATAAAGGCGTAGCCATCTAGCACTATCCAAGTAAAAAGTTGAAGCTATCTATAACTAAACACGGAGCACTCGGCAAGTATAATAGCCTTGATTCAATAGGCGGCGTAGAGTGGGGCAAGATGGTTAAAAGGGTGAGCAAATTATCCGGGAGCGCAGGGTTGCCAGCTGGTCATGCTCTTCTCCAACATGCATCGTCTCCGCATTCTATTCCCCGCATGATCTGCAAGCTAGGTAGTTGTGGGAGTCTTCCTACTTACTGCCAGTTGCCTCTCGGTTTATCGTTTCAAAGCTTTACCGAAGCGCTTTTAAGAATCGAATTCTTTCCCCGCGCGAAGAAGTACTACACTGATCAATAACAGATCCACCATGACAAATTAGACACCAGGCCTTTAAAAACCGGTACCCCCCGCGAGTACCTATATTCCAGCTAAGCCAAGACACTCAGTGATTCAGTCTATCTGATTGTCGCCGCAATGCATTTCTCCAAAGTCTCCGGTTCAACTACAACCCAAAGACCTTTACAGGTAGCCACTCCCCTAGACAAAAAAGGTCCTGAACCTACAGCAATCCAACAAGAAACCTTTACGTCCACCAGGAATAGATGGAAAGCCCCACACACAGGCGGCGGCGATACAGCCATGCATCTATTTCGTGGTTCGGGCGAAGCAGTGCATGGTCCACACGATCCACTAGAGGAAAAGCGCCTTCTGCGGAAGATCGATTTCATGATCATTCCATACCTGGCTGTCTGCTATGCATTCTTTTATATCGACAAAACAACCCTTTCGTATGCGGCGATATTCGGAGTAAAAGAAGATCTGAAACTCGAGGGGACCGACTACAGCTGGCTGTCCAGCGTCTTTTACTTTGGCTTCCTAGCATGGGCATTCCCAACCAATTTCCTGATGCAGAGGTTGCCGCTAGGGAAATACCTTGGATTCAACATTTTTTTATGGGGTGTTCTGCTTATGGCGCAGGCTGGGGCGAAGGTAAAAAATCTCAACATCTCACCACTTGACTGATAACTCACGCTCAAGATAATAGAATTTCGCATCCCTTGCCGTCCTGCGCGCCCTGTCTGGGGCTGCTGAAGCATGCGCAGACCCTGCTTTCATGCTTATCAGTTCAATGTGGTGGACAAGACGAGAACAACCTATCCGTATTGGATTGTGGTATACCGCTAATGGCTTTGGTGTTGCTTTGGGTGGCCTGCTAGGTTATGGCATTGGCAATATCCATGGAGCACTGCCATCCTGGAAGTATGAATTCCTAATCATTGGTGGTAAGTACCCAAACCCTACCAATGGCGACTACTGACATAGATAGCTCTCTGTGCTACCTGGGGAATTGTTATGTTCATTTTTCTTCCCGACAGCCCAGTCACGGCGCCACTATTGACCATCAAGGAACGGAAACTGGCAATCGAGCGACTGAGAGAGAATCAGACCGGTGTTGAGAACAAACAGTTGAAACCTTATCAGATCCTGGACGCTTTCAAGGACCCCAAGACTTACCTATTTTTTCTCATTTCTCTGTTAGCAAACATTCCAAATGGCGGTATCTCCAATTTCGGGACTCTCATTATCCAAGGATTTGGCTACAGCACTCTCGTCACGACTCTCCTGCAAATGCCATATGGTGTCCTAATCGCTTTGTCCATTCTCTCCTGCGTCTACCTTAACGACTATTTTGCCACTAAGCACAAGAAAAACCCTCGGTGTTATTTCATCTTGTTATATATGGTTCCGAACATTGCCGGAGCCTTCGGCCTCCGTTTTGTCCCCCAGCAACATCACGTTGCTCGACTCTGGTGCTATTACCTTACTGGCCCCTACAACGCAGCATTCGTCTTGTTGCTATCTCTCACCATAGGTAACACAGCTGGACATACAAAGAAAGTAGTCACAAATGCTGTTCTTTTTCTTGGATACTGCGCTGGAAATATTGCTGGCCCATTCTTTTACAAGAACAACCAAGCACCGGAGTATACTCTTGGCATATGGAGCATTATAGTCAGCCATCTACTGGAGGTAGTACTGATATTGGTGCTCCGGTTCATTTTGAGCCGCGAGAATAAGAAACGTGATGACAGATCAGGACAAGAGGAACCGGATTTGGACGCCACAGCTTTTAGCGACTTGACGGATCGGGAAAACGAGAATTTCAGATACGTGTACTAGAAAGTAAACAGGAGGATTATGACAACGATTATGATATCCCAGTTTCAGGAGCGAAGAGTAATACCGTGCACTTGCTGCTTAAATCATCCAGGCTCGGGAAAACTCTCTAGAGCATATCTAATCTCGTTGCATTTTATCAGGTGCGATTACTCAACCACGGTGGATAAATGATACATCTAGTTAGGTTTGTGGACTTTACCACTTACCTGGCTCCCTTAAAGGGCTTGTTAAGTTTTACTTATTTTTTCAATATTACTTCTCGAACTAACAACCATTTACAGTAATGTATATACTATATTTAAGCTCTGCAGATGACGTCTTATCTAGGACACATGTGTCGTCTACCTGAAGACTTCTACTATACTATCTTTGCTAGTTGCCATGCTAAAACTGCTATAGGGGTAGGGATGAATATCATTATTGATCTACTAATAAGTAATATAAATCATCTCTTATAACTTACTGTATATGCTGATTCTCAGTAACAAAAATTAATATAATAATCTTATGAAGTCTGCATTGAAGCAGGTCGCCCTTAGTACTTATTGAAATTTGAAGTATGGGAACTGGACATACCATTTAGCGTACCTACGATGAGAGGGAGTTAGCAAGTACCACAATTGAAAGAATGCTTACAGATATTGTTTAATACCAGTTGCAGTATTGGGTCAGAGCAGGTGGGATATAATAGGCAGTAGAAGAAGCCGTTGAAACAAATTAGATTACAAGTTAAAAACAATTTATCTACAGAAGTGCCTAGTGCTTAGGGAGACTGCAAAAACCTAAACATGAGATTTGGAGAAGATTATATTCGACACGTAAACATACCAAAGCTGCTTGGAAGGTATGGAGATACTTTAATGAGGGTTGAATTAATATTACATTGGCTATTTACTCACCTGCCGACAAGTAATGTGCCTCGATGTACATAGGATGTGAGGCCTAAAACCTACGGGACACCCCCGTTCGAAATTCCTCCAGCGAGTGCCTTCCGGTATTCTGGGCCGAGGAGCTTCCAGACAATATCAACATTGGGCGGCTCCGGCAATATTTCTTTGCCTTTCGGTTCATTCCCGAGGCTAACCACACCCTTCCTCTCTCCATCTACATCAACTTGTGCGGCTTCCTTGACATCTTTACTTTTTCCTGAACGCAAGGGACTATTGCGCATTGAAGGCGTGATTGGTGTCGCTTCGATAAGCGCTTGCCATTTCGCAATGTACATTCCAGGCCCGAAATCTGTATTTTCGGACTTGGAGAGAATTGATTTCATGCGTGTTGACGAGGTGGCGGAGAGTTTGGAAAGGTAGTCTGAATGTGCATCGAGAGCCTTTGAAACAGCCTGTTGGTCCTCAGGAGAAAGATTTTTGAACAGTGAGTTTAGAGTAGAATTCATCGCACCAGCTCCCTCGGGAGAACTGGAAGATCGTTGGAATTCGGACATAAACTTCAAGGCGTACTGCCGGAACCACTCGGTGACCTCTGGGCCGTTTTTAGCAATCGAATGCAGAAAACGATGGCAAGAGCCTTGGTGTTTCTTTAGAAGGTTGACAAAATCTTCTACACTCGGAGTCTTGTGTTTGGTATCTTTTACGTGACTATTGTCTTTCTTCGAAGATGAAGGCAACTTCGATAGTTTGATCAAATCGTCGAGAAAATTTTCCAAGTCAGTGATTCCAGCGCTAAGGTCGTATGCATTATGGACGGCACGAATGATGGGATCATATGCAGCAACAAGGTCCCGAATTGCTTGGGTCAAATGATCGGGTTGTTGACGGCAGAGAATCTGAATCAACTGTTCACGGTCACGGACCGAAAGCTGTGCGCTGAGGTAATCCAGAGCCTGCAACTGTTGTGACTCCGGGATATCGGACGAAAGTGAGTTGGCCTCGAAAATGACGCCGACAATAGACTTGGAGTTCTCCACTGTACTTCATCAGCTCAACCATGGTCCACGGGCTTCCAAGATGTCATACTGCTCGTGTTTCTTCGCTTGCTTCGTTCCTCGCGTGTCGTCTGCAAATGCTTTTTAATAGCTTCTAGATGGTCCTTGTCTGGTCTATTCTTTGATTTTTCTATTTTGGTCGCTTGCTTCTGTAGCTCCGAACTGTCCCAGGAAAGGACTGTGGAAATGATCCTGCGGGACATCAGAACAAATATTACCAACCAAAACCCACCAGAAACATACTGTTGTAGAAGGTTCATTCCCTCGTCTGCACCTTTGCTGATGCCTATCCAGTTGGTGATGGTGCCAACACTGAGTTTGGCGAGTACAAGCCTGACCATTCCATTGATCATGGTTGCTGCATTGCCTACCTTTAGGGTTTGCCGAATGATACTGTACGGGATGAGTCGATTGATATTTTCCATAATTCTCAGCAAAGACTGTCCGTCAGGCGAGAGTATAAAAATTTGATGAAGCAAGGTTGCCAGGCTAGACGGCGTCAGGACTCTTGCGAAGACGAATATCAAGGGCGAGCAGCACACTCACTTGACGAGAATGAACTCATGGGCAGCTTGGACCACATTTGGGTGCTCTTCAAGCTTGTTGGTCTCTGCACACTTCTTGAACAAGAGATCAACCATGTCGCCATAAACAAGCTGCTGTAGGAAGACATCCCATGCCTGCAAGACATCGTCGGGTTTAGAGATATCGTACTTCCGGTCCTTTTGAACATCCTTCATCGGGAACCCTCCCAAGGCTCCTTTGGCGGGATACTCGATCAGGGCGGAAATGGCTGTTGCCAGGGTCTTTCGCAGGCCGATGGAGCCCTTGTCGTAGCTTTCCGAGAGCTCGGCGGCACCAAACTTCTCGACAATGGTAGAGATACGCTCTTTCCAGAAAGCATCATCAACGCTGGAGAGGCCGGGCAGGGTCAAAGCGAACTTGTTGAGAAGTGACTGCAGAATAGGGGATGTGCAGAGCAGAGAAGCATCCTTGACAAAAGGATGACCGTATCTGTGGATAGCCTCGGGCCACTTGAAATTTAGGATCTCGCTGTAGACCTCCTGGTGGGTCAGGACATCGAATAGGGCGTGCGCCTGAGTAGGCGACAGCTCGGTGGTAGGCATGACAGCTGGCTGAGGTTGGAGGAAGACATGGTTGAGGCTTGAGAAAGATCGATTGAATCATGCATCGCAGCGCTGCCGATGACGTTGATGCGCCAGCAAAGCCTCTAATCCTCAAAGGGCTAGCGCCATCACACTCACTTCTTTCGACTCATACTCCTCCATGGATCGTCTGTACCTGAACTAATCCTCGACTCTCGACCTCTTTGATTTCGCTTCTTGAAACTGCGGGCAGCCAAGAACCTCTGTTTCGACCAAAATGCATTGACCCGTGGAGCCACGAGGCACGCAACGGCCTCCGCGCCGCACCCCAGCGACACTCAGCAACGTGCGCTACTAACCCGTGCGAAACTTAGTCGGCGGTCATGCCACAGGCTCATACGGCTCTATCATCAAGGTTTGGATTTTCATTAGGTTGTTTGGTGCCTCCTCTTAACTGAAATACTATGGTTTTGAGTCCCTTTGATCATATTCTCAACTTCTTCTGTTTATCTTCAACCCTGCAATGCCCATCTTATCAATCGTTGATCTCGCACGCAAACACACTACGTTACCTGCTCAGAAATCAAAGGCTGTCTACTTTTAAAATTAGCCTCAACTGTATACACGGACATTTCTGTCCTTTGTTTGCTGATTCGCGGGCAGGATGGCACGATTACAGGCTCGACGTTGCCATTAAGGTACAGTGATAATGGGCGAGTCATCTCGATTTGGGGTCGTTTGACCCTTCATTAGGATACGAAACGTTTTTGGCAGATCAGCCCGACAAGTTGGCCTTAACTTCGGGCGATGGCCGAAGCGTTGGGAAAGGCCTACTGCACCACCATGAACGAACACTGATAAACTGTACGAGCTCTGTGGCCGTTCACGAGCTCTGATCACCCTCGTAAGAGCCTTTTTATACTGCCGCCCTGCCATTGTTCCTTCCCTTCACCACTCCCATCAACAACCTTGTCCTTCAGCCACTCTTTCATTTACCGTCATCTCTGGGCAACAGCCCGTCATCATCATGCTTCCGAAGTCTTCACTCGCTTTTTACATTCTGCTTCAGCTTTTTGGGCCCGCAGCATCACGCCCCGCTGGCCTCAAAAGCGACGCTCTTTTTCCAAGGGTCGAGGTCGATGACGCCCCGAAATGGGAATATTATCGAGACGTCGATTCCGCTACTCATCAGGCCAACTTCGACAAATGGAACGCTGAAGGCTACCGACTGATCTCCTTGAGCTCATATGGTTCTCCGTCCGCCGCTCGCCATGCTGCTGTCTGGGTTCAGCGTTCCGGGCCATCCATCACGGCTATCCACGACGTGAACACCACCACTTTCCAGGCATGGATTGACGAACACTCCGCAGAATTTGTCCCCACAGTCGTTACCGCTACAGGCCCCCAGGACTCTGCTGTTTTCTCGGGCGTCATGGAGAAAGGGAACACTGCCTGGACTCAGAAGTGCGACATGTCGGCAGATGAATTTGAGGGTAACGATCAGGGAGCACGTGCGATGAATCAGCTCCTCATGTCATTCCACCAATATGGTTCGGCTTCAGACTACCGGTTTTGTGCCATCTGGCAGGCCAATACCAACAAGGACAAATGGATCAAGTACAAGTCGCCTATGCCTTCAAATCAATTCCAAGGAGTCCTGGAAAGCGAGTCTAGCAAACCCTACTGGCGACCCGCATCCATCTCCATCAATGAGGTGGGTGATTACACGAGCCTTTTCTTGGACACCGATATCGGTTCATGGGTTGCGCGTTACGATCTGAGCCCCGCGGCTCTGGACGAAGAATGCAAGAGCCAAAAGGCGGCAGGAAGATATCCAGTACAGCTCATTGGTGGAGGCTCAGGCGAAAACACACGATACGCCGCTATATTTGCGACCCAGGATGTTGCTTCACCCCGAAAATGGCGTGTGACGGGTCTCCCTACTATCGGCTTCACGGACAATGCCGCTTCAGAAGCCAAAGCAGTCCAACTAATTCAGAACTTTATGCAAAAAACCGGTGTCCGTCAGACGCAACTTTCCATTGCAAAGGATGGGAATTCAATGCTGCACAAGGCTTTCACGTGGAGCGAACCGGTGCGGCCCACTACTCAAGTCAACGATACTTTCCTCCTTGCCAGTCTTAGCAAAGCTTTCTGTGTAGCGGCAATACAATCGCTCTATGATAACGGGAAGCTCACGCCGAGAACAAAGGCTTATCCGTTGTTGGGATATACCAATCCCAGCGACCCTCGCCAACAAGACGTCACGATCCAACAACTGCTTGACCATCAAGGTGGTACTAGCCGTACCATCTCGCCCGATCCTGCCTACAACATGCGCGAGATTGCGCTTGCGCAAAATGGTGGCTCACGTCCCGCCACCGTCAAGGATATGATCGATTACATGTACGCTCAACCTCTTGACTATACACCTGGAGATAATTCAGAGTATAGCAATTATGGTTACGTCCTGCTGAGCCGCATCATCGAAGTTGTCACCGGAAAAGATTACTTCACCTACCTGCAAGAGGAGATCATCAATCCTGAAGGTCTCACTGTCAAACCATGGTCTACCGACCCTGTTGCTCACAAGTTCGACAATGTCATTCAAGAGTCCCATTTCACAGGGCTTAGCGCGCGTGAGCCGCAGAAACCTAACTCTATCGCTCATATATATGGCGGAGATGGGCAGTATAAAGAGTCTGTTCTTGGCGCCGTCGGGCTGGCATCGAACGCGATTTCGTTCTCTAAACTCGCCCATAAGCACGCTATGTGGGGTAACGGTGACAGAACTCCTTCCGTTAGGCACGGAACTACGTCCGGTGCTAGAACCCACGTTGAAAGCACATCAGAGGGATTCGACTGGTCGATGATGATCAACACACGGGACTTTCCCAACGGGGATAATGACTATGAAGACGTTGTACAAGCCATTAACAACTGGCTCTTAACGACGGTGTAAACTCACAACATATTCGCTTGGGAGAAAAAAACAGGTGTTGCTGTATTGAATGGGTCACTGAGAATTGTTGAACTGATTTGTATTATTATTTTCAAAAAAGTTTGCTTTCTATCTACCTAGCCTTAACAATCAAAAATTCAGTATCAAGTCAATGCAAAATGTAGGTTTCTAGAGGTAGTCGGTCTGATGGCGTCTCTTAATGCTGTAAAATTCAACTAATTAATCTGTCCGATGATTGCGTAAATTGATTAAGAGTTTCAACTCACTGACGAAAACAGCGCTTAGGGTTGTTACTGTCATGTGCCCAAAGCTATTTTTCAAATTACTTAGGAGGCATAGACATCTCAAAATTTTATATCTATATAGTATGCGGGAACTATCCCAGAATTAATTAACAAGTAAATGGGCAAAATCCACGGGAATATATTTTGAGGACTAACAACTCATTCCATTAAACAATCACTTTGAACGAGCAATGACTTGCGAGTATAGGAAACTCCAATGGATTACGAAACACCAATACCGTTGCCTGAGGTTAAACAATCTATATTGGACAGAATTGAGTATCTATAATTATGAAAAGATGAAAGTAATGGTTCCTTTTAAAGCGAGTTATGAGTGAAACAGATCTATCCAAGCCGGCGCCGCTCAAAAACCCCGCCGTTTTCACCAGACACCTTGCTCGCGGGAAACAGAAACAAAGTAGTAAAAGAACCCAACATAAACAGGCCGATCTAGCAGCATGAGATGTGTTAGACAGCCCGCAATTTAAGGACAACTGCTTGCGTAGCTCTCCACCTTATCACAATATCCCAGTACTCAAGACGAGGTTGCCACCTGTTGCTTGGCAAACGGAAGTCTAATGCCCAACCAGATCAAAGCAAGAAGGACCTTAGGGAAGAAAGTCATTTTCAACTTCATCCCCAATACCCGAGTTCCCACTCCGGCGTGTTCGTTTTGTCTTGCTGGTTCGGATCCTCTACGGCCCATGTGCTCCGGACAAACTCGTCCCAATCTTGCCAGTTGACCGGATCTCCGTAGCTGTCTAGGTTCATGTTGGCCATGCTTTCTGCTGACATGATATTGAATTCGTGGCTTGTTGACATCGGCATTGTAGCTAACGGCATTTGACCTTGTGGGAGCGGCGGGTGCGAACTTGAAGATGTTGCATGAGCTGGTGCATTGTGTGGTGTCGGCTCGGAAGGAATAGCAAAAGGGTTCATATTCATAGGGGCGGTAGTGTTGATGTCGAAGTTTTCGAGTGGGAGTCGCGGAATGGTGGAGCCCGCTGTGGTACCGGGACAGGTAACGGGTGCGGTTGCGCTTCTTGCCCTTGTGGACGCTGCGCTTTCACCACCCATGCATGCACTGGCATTGCGCAGAGCTTGAGTGCGCGCAAGCCTCGCTTTCCGGTATAGTTTCTTAACTGGCCTCCAGAGGCTCACATCTGTGACTCTGCTCCTCGCTCGTTCGTACACCGTGTCCACAATCGCCCATGCTTTATCCACTGCTGGACCTCTTGTCTGAACGCACAATTCAGCAAGGGCAACGGCAAGTGGGTGCCACTGCACATAAGTCTCGTAGTACCACTTGTACTTGGTAGTGACAGGGTGAGTTACTAGCTCATAGTCCAGTCTCAAATGCATAATGGCAACTTCCAGGATTTCCGTTTTTGTGGCGTTGCTCTTGAACGCATATCGACGCGTCTGGATCGGATAGTGAACCAGAAGCCAGAATTCTGCGACAACAATCTGGCTGACCTGGGAAACTGTGTGCTGTATCGGGATCGTGGGATCACAGTGCTTGACGTACTTATTTATCAGGCGCTCTTTGAAGGTCTCAACTTCCTGCTGTATGTTCTTCTGCCACTGTTCCCGTTTCTCATCACTATTGACATCCGCCGGAACAGGGCTGAAAAACCTTGGTGCGACCATTGAGGCCTCCTGACAGAGCTTGGAGAATGTGATTTCGGTGCAACCTATCTTCTCCCTTGGCGTTGTTCGAGTGCTGGGGTTAATGTCGTCATCGTCGATGTTAAGAGGCATTTTTGTGCTGCAGACACTCTGGTCTATTAACGGGAAAGAACCGCGGTCTTCGCAAGCACGGATGTCCAAGACAACTATCTGCCACCACAAACGCCTACGGAGTTCGGTTTCATATGGGGAGAAACCCGTTACTCCGCCGTCACGATGGAGATTCATATCTTGCGCGATACGCACGGCAAGACTGACGAGGGTCCATACGGAGCGTGTCCGGTTATGGCAGCGAAGGCATACCTGTTAGCACATTAGTTGTTGCTGGACAAACTCATCGCTTGTCATTGATAGACGACCAAATTCACATGGCTGACAAAAAAATGCTTACCAAATAAAGTACAAACGCCTGCAATGTTTCGAGTTCTTTACTGTTCAAGAAATCCGCATTTGCCAATGCGATCTCGGTGCAGTGCCTGTACTGAGCTGCCAAATTTGTCCTGTCCTTGCCCAACACTTTAAGACAGTCGGCGTCAGAGAGACTAATGACGGCTGCATAGTACATGGCAAACATCAATGCTTCTACACCGCCGCTCCGGGGGATGTTTGCTGCATCTGCCGCAGCAGCTAGAAGCCATGGGTTGACGGTTGGCTTATGCAACAATTTGAAGGTGGGATCGATGCGGTCGAAATAGACATCGGAGAGCATCTCGATCTGTGGACCAGGCGGATGGACCCAGCGTAGATCGGCCGACTCCATGTCGCCACTGAAGATAAACAGACTGTTCAGGAGGCGTCTTTCGTATGGGTCTGCTGAGGCTGGTGAGTTAACGCTCACCCGAGTCGAGTCATCCTCATCTTCGGATGACGGCTCGTTCAGAAGTTCTCTCAAGCCCTCTACCTAGATGCATTGTCAATTGGTCTGTTTGGCCAAAAGGAGCCTGCAGATTGCGACACATTCTTACCTCGCCACTCAAGCTCGTCCAAAAGTCCTCGCTCAAATACCTCCCTCCGTCCTCCTTCATTACAGGATGCGTCCCTTCCTCTTTCGGTGCACCTTGGCCTGCCCTCGGCGGCAAGCCACCCAGCCATTGCTCGGCGTACTCGGAGGTTTCGGCTTGCTCCTCCAGAGGCTTGCCTTTTGCAGCTCTGGCGGTGACGGCGACCTCGCCGCCCAATCTTTCGACGAGGCCTTCCAGATGGTCTAGTCTCCGCAGAAGCTCTTCATTGCGTCGGCCCTGCTTGCGCCGCTGCGCACGTTGCGAAGGAAAGATACACTCGACGCCGGAGCGCGTGCACGCAGAACATGGCTGGGTTTTGTCGCAGCGTATCTTCCGCGCCCGACAGGTGATGCAGCTTAGCGCGCTCGCTGGTGTGGGCATGGTGAGTCGGCGTGGTATTGGGGATTATAAAGTCAAGGTAAGTGACAGCGAGAGTCATCCTGTTCGTCTTGCTATTGCGGGTGCGTCGTCAGCCACCACCCTGCTATAGACAGGGCAGGGAGCTTAAAGCGCACGATGCGGGCACGGATTTGGGTTTTCAACAGGTAACCCCTTCCGCCTCCGCTGTAACCTACCGTCCAGAACTGAAAATTGCGCCCCGCAACCTTTGCTGCCAAGAGCCAAGAGCCCAGCCGCGAGTCATGTCCCGCCGCCAAAAATCACCTTGGGATTGACCCCTGTACAGAGTACATCTCACGCATGGCTTTACCTAGATACTAGGTTGTTCACACCTAAGCAAGTAATCTTGCCACGATCCAATTGGCTTCCTACGAGTACGATGTGTAATTTCATTTTCACTTCTCACGTATCGAGTGGGGGTGAAGAGGCAATGAGTCCGCCAGGTGGTGACAGTTCTGTAACCGACAAACGTACCGGACATATCCGGTGGAGATCGTTCGCCATATCCCCAGGGTAGCCATAGCTGTACTTCTAAGATAGCGCCAGGCGATGCGGGAAGGGCACCATAATCTACAAGGACGCCATCTTGACTATTAACAGTCTAAGAACAGGGCTATTGTAATCCCATGAGAGACCCAGCTGTTAGTAGCGAAGTAGAACTACCTAGTGTCTACACTCCCTGGTTGTGAAAGTTAAAACATAATATACTGGTGAAGATTAGAAATCAAAGGTTAGCAATTATACGAACGTTGACCTCCGGATAACCGTTGACTAGAACCCAGGTCTTCCCGTAGATCTTAGTAGGACACCTGAAGTCCGACGAGTAATACTCAATTGGTTGGGAATGCTCCTCATGACCTTCTCAATCCGCCTGGGACGCTCATCCTCGAGGCGCTTGCGACAAAGGTAGTCGAGAGAATCGACAGAACGATCAAAGTTGCCATACCGCGGCAGAGGCGATGATGACCTTTCACGGTCGGCTGGCATAACGTTGTTGACCCTCGACCTTTGACTTGATTCTTCGAGGCATTGTTCGACCGATTCCGCTTCTTGCACTTGCGCAAATCATTCGTGTTGAGCCCGTAAACGGGATTGCATGTCGGTCAACCCGTTGCGGGAACAACAGGATCATAAGCCATCCGTCTCGTTGCATGAGATCTTCTCGAAGCCAGCGCTGTCCTAGTTATGCCACGGCAGCAGGTGTCCTTGTCGGAGAGACGGGAGCGCGAAAGGGGTGAGAGAGAGGACGGGAGCGCATGATGTAAGCGAAATAGTCGTTCAGGTAGACGGCGATGATGGTGTCCCAGGCTGGGGTTCTTGTGGTGGTGATGGTGGTCAGGAGTGAAGAGGAGGCGGAGCTTTGGGTCAGACAGGCCCGAGGTCCCAGAGTTTTAGCGCGCCACCAGCGCCACCAACGTGACCAACACCACACATGCCACCTTTCCAGGCACCAGATTGATTTGCTTCTTCTTCTTATTCTTCGCACCCAGACTATCAATGGCTTCATAATTTTATCAATGTGTGCCCTCCTTTCCGTTAATCGACTGGCCATGGCTGCTTGCCATGTACCTGCATCTGATTCAATCGATCGGGACCAGCTGACAGCCTCCGATGAATGTGACGTGACCGCTCCATATGGGGGCTCATTTCTAAGCACCCCACGTCTTCTGCCCCTCACCCCACTGCGCCGTCAGAGCCGGGGACGGAGGGTATATCAGTACTAAATAATCCCACCCTTCTCATGTCCTCTTTTTTCTTGCCGCCCACATCCAACCGCGAATTCAGACACAATGGCAGAGCAGAAGCCCAACATTACTCTCTACACCACTCAAACGCCCAATGGCATCAAGATTTCCATCACATTGGAAGAACTTGGGTGAGCGGAGAGCTTTAATCTTCCTCAACACTGTCCATGCTGACTTTTATTCAAGCTTGCCTTACGAGGTCCGCAAAGTAGACATTTCCAAGCACGAGCAAAAGGAGGAGTGGTTTCTCAAGATCAACCCCAATGGCCGTATCCCTGCCTTGACAGACACTTTCTCCGATGGCGAGTCGATTCGGCTCTTTGAGTCTGGCTCCATTATGCAATACCTTGTATCGCGCTATGACAAGGATTACAAAATCTCCTACCCTCCGGGGTCGCGCGAATTCTACGAGATGAACAACTGGTTGTTCTTCCAGAACGCTGGCGTGGGTCCCATGCAAGGCCAGGTTCGTAGCGACTACTATGTTGACTGTAGACACTGGTTCTAACTTTTGCAGGCCAACCATTTCACTCGCTACGCCCCAGATATCTTTGAATACGGTATCTCGCGCTACCAAAACGAAACGCGTCGTCTCTACGGCGTTATGAACAAGCGTCTTACCGAGACTGGAGGCTTCCTGGCCGGCGACAAATGTACTATTGCAGACATTGCGCACTGGGGCTGGGTCGCAGCTGCTGGTTGGGCGGGCGTTGAGATTGACGAATTCCCCGCTCTTAAGGCATGGGAGGACCGTATGGCCGAGAGACCCGCTGTGGAAAAGGGCAGACATGTGCCCGAGCGGCATACGATCAAGGACCTTTTGAGGGACAAGCAGAAGATGGAAGAGCATGCGGCGGAGTCGAGGAAGTGGGTCCAGGCCGGCATGAAGAGTGATGCAAAACAATAAGGGCAGTGAGTTTGATTGACTGCGTAGCAGATGCATGGAGATTTGCGCTCAAACAAGCTTGCTTTGTGGGGGCGAAGTATTATTATCCTATGGCCTGAAGCGTTGGTCTAGATATTGGATGCTATGAGCGGGTTGTGGGCACTTCTCAATCATTTTCGAAGAGTGAGCATTCTGATTAGGTGGGCTACATTAATTGTTAGGTGGGCTACATTTATTGTTAGGTGGGCTACATTTATTGTCAAATACAGTAAGTCCCATATTCGAATCCTATAGTTGTCAACATGTTTGCAATTTGTTGGCTGTCTGGAAGCCTATATCTCCTTCCCTTTCCGGTCTCTGATTGGTCTACTGTTTGTTTTTTTTTTTTTTTTTTGTTTCTTTGCCTTTGTTCTCATTGTAGTTCGGGAGGCAGCGTGTTGAAGTGAGCAGTGCAGAGGTATGCTCAGGAACTAACGTCTGCACACGTCCAACTCATCCGCGTTAAGCAATAGTACTGGTAGCGGCTCAATAAGCGGTAGTCTGTGCAGTATCTAATACTTTACGACCAAGATTTCGTTGACCCTAAACGCGGCCAACATGCATATATCTTGAAGCGTATATGTATTTCGAAGTACAAATTGGCACTATCGGGCGTTTTTGGATTTCTGTTGTGATGGTGAGTGGCTTTTCAGTGGCTAGGCTCCACTTACGTCAGTTAAAAGTAGGCTATTGTGGCTGGGTGCGGGTCCGTGTGAGTGAACTCACCATAAGCACCGTTCCTTCATTCACCTTTACTCTTGGCATCTTCGCTTAGCACCTCTGATGGTCTATATAAACGCCCCCTCCCCCCAGCTTTCTTTTCTCTTCAACTCGCTGAACTCCTTGAAACACGAACGGCACATTCATCTGTCCGCTGTCGACCTCGTCAATCTTGGACTGTAAGCTTGTTCTTGTTGAGCCATCTATTGCGCCGGTTCGTAAATACTTACGACGGTTTGCAAGCTCTTGCTTTTGCCTGCAGCACGTCCCTTTGGAGGAACTTTCTGATCTATGGCTGATGATTACCTGGCACTTCGGTGCTGGGTGTCAAGTCTGATTGGACCAACCCGATGATGATTCAAACATGGTCGGTCTCCATTGCACTCCACTCTGGTGGTATGCTTTGGTAGAACTAGACTGCTTTCAACGTCTTCCACTTCGGTGGTATGGCTGAAACAAAAACAATCTGATGGGTTTTGTTTGAAGTGCCTTGAATCCCTTCCACCTTCTATAGCTTTATATACACCATTTGAATGTCAAATGAATTTCTCAAAGCCTTCAATGTTGATTACATTTACATGCAACCGTCTTTCCTGTTGTTCTATCTTGAAGTGAAGTAGAGCCGTATGATTGAACACGCTGCGGCACAAATGGCCCACCAGTTTGTATCAGACATCCTAATCATAATCAGTGTCACTTTTACTTGGGGATAACGTGTGACCAAAGGGCCTAAATCCAGCCGTCAGTGAGCGAGAGAAGCCTTGCACTGCTTCTCACGGGTTTATTGGCTACTGAAGCAGTTGCGTGTATGACAGTTAAGGCAAGTTCAGGCCTTGGCAGCGAACTTACGAGCAAGTTCTAGCATGTGACAAGTGATCGGGGGCCGCCCGCCCGCTAGCGCCTCGCATCTTTAAATACTCCCTCCCGCCCCCGCCCCCTCCACTCTCTTTTTTCTTCCTCCACACAAGTCTCTGATTTGGCTGCTGACCCGAGGACCAAGTTCACGGAACCACATTGAGTGCTTCCGAAACGGTTGGCATGATTCGCTCTGCCGCTATCGGCGCCCTTGGTAAGTCATCCTCACCTCACCTCACCTCACTCTCACTGCTGAAGTTTGTGCTGACTTTCTTGACGCAGACCGCTACAAAGTCCACTGCAGCGCTGGCCAACCACCTGAAGCCTTCCCGGTACTGTTCGCAGTCCGGTTCAAGCAGGGCCGTTGGTGATAACGATGGCTTTAGCCTGTACGGCATTGATACGTCTTGTGGATTCCCGGGAGCCTCTTTGGGACGCCGCACGTCTTGCGACCCATGAAGGTCACACCACCGAGTTTGAGCAGCAGTCTCCCTGAGCCAGTTGACACCGGCTCACATATCGACGCGAGTCGAGAGTTCTGGGGCTACGCATTTCCATGGGCCATGTCTCTGGGGTAAGCGCATCCGGTTGTGTCTCTGTATGGAGGGAAAGTCCAGGACGGACCTTGTCTTCCGTGGGATTTTCTCTGCCCATCCTATATCACCTTGGCCTTGAATTGGCGCTTGCTCGTCCTCGCGTCTCTACTCGGTTTCAGGTGGACGATTGCTCAGCTAGGTGTATTTAGCTAGGCGTTATCGCATGGCAATGTTGCACTAATGGGAGCTCAAAGTTCTACAAATACATATTCTTAGATAGTTCTTTCATATTTGCGGGCAATCAGAACACAGACTTCTCAGGGCAGGCTTGTCATCGACTTGGTCTTTGTTCCTGTATGAAAGTATAACTATCAAACAATACAATCAAAGCTGACCAACTTCGAGGCATTGTTTTCTTGTGAATGACCAACAAACAATGAATGCAGCGACTCACATCAAGCTCAAGCTCGTAAGATGCAGCCATCGACCAACCCATGCGAGTGTGCCCTCAACACAAACAGCATAACGACCACCGGCCATGCGTTCCTGGCTCTCCAGTGACATAGAGTTTGAAGTTGATGGGGCTGAAGGCAGCTGTCGGCGACCAAGGCGTGACATGTCGTTGGAAATTCCCTGATGTGGTTTGGCGACCGGCGGGAGAAGAGTGGGGTCCAGACTAGACCATGCACGGGCTTTAGCCGACAGGGACTGCATGATTGGTACCCGGAAATGTCTTTCTGTGTCACGATGATGCGTGCTTTAGATGCTGAGATTTATGTCAAAAGAGACTGTATCTTCACTGATTGGCTAGATATTTGTACTTGAAAGCAATCTTTCAACGTTCATGATCCCGCTTTTGAGCGCTGAGGCATTGTTACCGGCGGCTATATACTATTTTTAAGTTTGTTTGAGAGAAATATGCTGCGTTTTTTCTGAAGTTATGGACGAATCAGTCCATCCCTTCATTTCAAATTCGAAAAGATAACCCAACCTGACAGCAAGAAGAAACGTTTGAACCGCACAGTAAAGAATGAGTAACGACTTGCATAGCAAGAACCGGTTCTATACACTTGTACATATCTCTATCATTTGACAAAAGTAAAGCTTGAAATATGTCATGAGAAAATTCCACCCAAGATGCTGGCAGATCCGACAAGAAATAAAAAGTTTCGACACCTGATTGCTTATAAGTATACTACAGTTATAATAGCACCTACTACGCGCTGACTCCGCCAACCCAAGCGTTGTAGTTCGTGACACCGCTCGTAGGTTTCTCCAGAATAGCCTCACCAGTACCGCTCAGCACTGTGGCACTATCGCGTACGATCGAAATGACCACCTTGCCCGTCTGGCCATTAAAGGGACGAGAGAAATGGTTTGCGCCAGCAGCAGTGGCCTCGAAAGATGTCGCATCATTGTCGCCGATCTTGATTGTGACTGTGGCCGGGCTGCTCAACAACGCTGTGACAAACACTCCGTCTTCCGCGATCTCGTTCGGGTCGTAACATGTCTGGTATCCGTAGATGTTGATGTCCGACTTGCAGTTATTGCCCGTGGCCTCAGTGGTGCCGGCCGCACCAGGTGTGAGTCGGTACCAGTACTGCAGCTTCTCAGTCGTTACATCTGCGGAGCCAGTTTTGTACTGAGAGATATAGTAGGGCAGTAGATCGCGCCAGGCGTCGTGTGGCATGCCATCGACGTAAGTGTGGGCATTGATGTTGTCACCCTGCGGGATGCCGTCGGACCAGATTGGCCCAATGTAGTGCGACTCGCCGTAATCATTCCAGGTAACGATTTCGACAAATTCGGGTTGGAGGTCGATGGCTTGCTGCCATCGCTCATGCCACATGCTATCGCCACGCCAGACCCACGCCTTGTTGTAGCCAGGCAAATCGGTGTAAAACCAAGGTGAAACGCCCATCATGTAGGCCTTGTCACTACCGATGGCGTTCGTCCAGGCTACGTCTGAGGCATTGGTCATGTTGTTGGGGCCCTCGGGCCACATGTCCCATGAGAAGGCGCCATCAACGATGTCCAAGTGCGTTGCAAATTCGGTAGTACCAAGTGATGTCCAGTCAGGCACGAGGAAGATGTCGCTAGAGACTTGGGACTTGATCGTGGACCAGTCATTGATGTTGTCAGCATCAGTGCCCTCAAACGTCGATACGAGAGGGAGGCTGTTGTGTTTGTAGTGATAGTCATTGCTTGCGTAAGTCTGCAAAACAGTGATGATGTCTGAGGCCGACCAAGCCTGACCGTTTCCTTTATAGTCAAAGGAGAAGAAGAGCTTGAACCCGGTGCTCTCGGCTGCTTTGAAGGCGTTGGCAACCTGCGTCTCAGTTGCTGACCCGGACCACGGAGGCGTGATATTGAGGACAAAGGCATCAATGTCAGCGGCTTGTGCGAGGGCGATGTCCGACTCCCATTGCGCTACTGTGTACGACTGAGCGACGCCGACCTTGAAGCAGGTTTAGCAGCGGACCATTAGAAGAAGGAAGAAGAAATATTACAATGACATGTGCGAAGACAGCCTTAGCCGCCGCGGAGCCGGCAAAGGCAGCGAGTGACGCTAAAGCTAAGACAAGCTTCATGATGCGTACTATGCGACGACAGAGAAAGCGGATAGCAAAGAATGGGAAAGTAAGATGAGACCTAAGGCGGGAGATGACGACCAGGTGCAACAAAAGGCCGATGAGGCAGGAAGACGGCAGATCAAGCGTGAGCTTTTATACCTACATTTTTCGTCAATCAGCTCAGACATCTCACTCCCGTGGCACGAGAAAACAACCGGGCGGCGGCGGCCCGGAGGACAACCTCATCGAGGCAAGTTCATGGGGGCGGAAAGCGGGCGCCGTTACGAAGCCCTCCGTAGTGGCGCGAGGATGCAAAAAGCACGACGATGATGTCGAGCTCGGCCCCGGCCGGTCGGCAAGGGGGCCAGCAGTGACCAACAATCATCCACCCTCTCAGCCTCGGCACCCTCTCTGTGTAAGTAAAACTGTACGCTTGCACCCCAAATGTCTTTCGATCTGCTGGCCGAGTTTGGCAGCGGAGGCCAGCAGCCGCCGCCGCCGACACAGCAAACCCCACGTCCGCTTCCCCCGCAACAGCAGCCGCAACGCCAGCAACAGCGCTTCTCGTTCTTCGACGATCTCGCCGATTTGAACCCATCTTCCGCCAATGCTCAGGCCCCTGCCCCTGCCCAAGCTAACGACGATTGGGGTGATTTTGAGGATGCCACTCCAGCCGCGACTTCTAAAAATACCCAGCCGTCGGATCCTTGGGAGTCGCTCCGCGCCTTTGCATCACCCTCGTCGGCCTCCACCCCACCCGTCGCAAAGGCTCCAACACCGGCGCTGAACACGGCCCCTCCACAAAACGACCTGTTTGATTTTGGTTCCTGGGACCCTCCGCAGACACAGACGCCGAAGCCAGCCGTGCAACAGACCCCCACGCCGGCCCCGCCACGTGATCCGAATGTCTTGTTTGATGCTGAGAACCTCTCCGTCTCCGAGGAGGAGGACGACGATTTTGGAGACTTTGAAGGCGGAGCCTCAACCACGGCCTTGAACATCGACAGCCTCATAGACGAGCTGGAGCTCAGTGATCCACTAAGCTCACTTGCTCCATCTTCCAAGAAGACCGATTGGAAGACAAACACTGTGGCAAAATTCGCTGCACAAGGACGCTCGGCTGCCAGTCCCATCAAACCAGCAGCTGTCAAGACACCTCCGAAGCCTCAGGTCGCCAAGACGCCAAAGCCAGCTCCCAAGCCAACACCAAAACCGGTCCACAACCCTCTCGATGATTGGGACGACTTCACTGAAACCACTCCCGCTTCGTCCGCATCCCAGCCCTCCGCCCTTCCCATCCCCCAACCTCGCACCATCTCCGATCCGCGCCCCGGCGAGCTTCCCCCCACCAACATTCCTCCGCCTGCTCTCCTTCTCACCCTGTTCCCACCCATCTTTTCCGCTGCCCAAAGCTCCCTCTTCCAGCCCCTTTCGTCGCAACCACAAGACATTAAGAACAAGATCCTTGCCGATACAGCTACGTTTCGTTTCCTCCACGGCTATCTAGCCATTGGCACGGTGGCCGCGCGTGTCATTGCGGGACGCAAGCTACGCTGGAAGCGCGACACGTTTCTCGCGCAGGGCATGCGGATTGCACCCGCAGGGCGCCAGGGCGGCATGAAGCTGACGTCAATCGACCGCAGCGAGTCGACCAAGGAAGATCGTGAGGCGGCGGACGTGGTGAGGGCATGGCGCGAGCAGGTGGGACGGCTGCGGACCGTAGCGGCATCGGTCAACTCACAGGTCGGAGGGCTCGGACATGTGCCCGAGATGGCGGAGACGATGGCGGTGCGGACGGCCAAAGAATCCGAGGGCGCGGTGACAGCGCTGAGACAGTGTGCGTTGTGCGGGCTCAAGCGGAATGAGCGGGTGGGCAAGGTGGACGTGGAGGTGGAGGATAGTTTTGGCGAATGGTGGATGGACCAATTGAGCATGCATCGAGGTATGTGGTGGTGGAGTCAAGGCGGAGTGAGACCAGGCGCTAACGTGTCTTTCACTGGCAGCATGCAGGAACTTCTGGGAGGAGCACAAGGAACGGCTGCGGTGAGAGGCGGCGGAGGGGGGTGCGGGTGGCGAACATCTGGCGGGTAAGGTGTGGAGTGGAGAGCTATCAAGCTATGGCAGATGCGCGATGATGCAGGTTGGGGAAGAGAGTGGCTCGCTCGGCGCTTCGGCTCTTCCTGAGCCCCAGCGCGCAAGCTTAGCCCAGTCAGCCAGAGCCAGCACCTTGAGGATTATTGAGAGAGAAAGAAGTCTTGGTTTACCTACTCCTACTACTCTACTACTCTACCCCTCGCCCACTCGCCCATCTCACGTGTGTGTGTGTCTGTCTGTCGCGCACATCACGAGCCGCCTCTCTCTGTCGTCCAGGCCCCGTGCGAGCGAAGAGCTTCGAGATCCTCCCCCCCCCCCCCCCCGAACCAGCGTCCGCCGAGGACCCTCGCCATCTCTCTTGCTTCGCTCGTCCGCCCTCTGCTTCTCCCTCGCGCGCCCTGTGCCACCCTCGTCCTCGCCGCCCAAGCCGCCCTCACGCCGCCGCTGCCTGTACAACCACCCGCGCCCACTACCACCGGCTAGCTGGCCTAAGTCAGCTGTCCCATGGTAATGAGCACGCCAAATGACAATGGTGAGTCGCCTTCTCCGCCGTTGCCCGCCCCTCCGCGGCTGCTGCCCGCGTGCTGTGGCGCTGTGCGCATGCCTCTGCAGCCGCGTGTATTTATGAGCGTGCCATGATCCGCCAGATCCGCCAGAACCGCCAGAACCGCTCTGATGTGCGTCGTCGTAGGCTCCAAACCCTCAAGCACCACCTCCCCGGAGCCGTCGACGCCAGATTCGCCCTCGCTCGGCGACTACAAGCTCGCCAAGAACAAGAGCACGACCAACCTGCTGTCCCAATCCAACCCGTCCCTCTCCGTGAACACCGTGCGGCCGCGCATGTCGTTCGACGCAGGTTCCTTGCGTGACTATGACAGGCTGACGAGGTTGGTCCCTCGCCGCGGGTGCGTGCTGCGGCGCTGAAGGCTGATGAAAATGCTGCTTTGCCAGGTCGCCCATCGTTCCCGAACACGAGCATGGTCTTGGAGCTTCAGGCCTGCGTCGCATACGGCAGCGCCAACAGTCCGTCAGAACAGGACCCACCCCCACCTCCGCTGGGCCCTCGAGAGCCGGCTCCATAAACATCTCCATCCCTCCCACCCGCCATCCCTCGACCACTCTGCCCTCCGGTCCGAGCTCCCCGACCTGGCAATTCTCCGAAGACCTCTCCCGTTTCCCCTCGGAATCACTCCATTCCTTCTCCTTTGCCCACCAATCCGAGGATTTCATGCACAACCGGCAAAACGTCCTGAAGCGCTCCATAGACTTCATGCGAGACAAGCTGGGATGGGCTGCTACAAATCCGGGAATTGCCAATGCACAGGCGCGCTTGAGCGGTGATCAGGAAGTCCAGAGCATGGTGGACCTTTTATCTCGGGCAAACTTGATCGGGCAGGAGGCCCAGCAGGCGCATGGCCTGGGTGTACCAGGCCCCATCACAGGTCCGGCCGATACCTCTGGAGACAACATATTCGAGAAGAACTTCGTGCCGCGGACGGAGAGCCCGGAGCCTCTGGACGAGAACGTGGCTGTAACCAGCCCCAAGAGCGACGCCCCCTTCTCGCCGATTGAAAACAAAACACCCGGGGAAGACTCGCTTTTGTTGGAGAAGCAAGCAAGTGGTGAAGCCATTGCCAAGGTCGTGTCTCGGGACTCCGGTGTCTCACCGACCTCGTCACCGCCGCATCGCGTATCCCGACTGGCTTTGAAGAGGACCTACACCGACACCGGACCCTTAAGCATCCAAAGCAAACTTCACGACGCCCTTGCCCAACCTTACGTCTCGGCAGAACCTGCGGCACTCGACTCCCACATTGTTCCCCCCGCTACAGCTTCCACCACCGGCACGCAATCTGTTACGTCGGTTACGGGGTCACATGCGGCTTCGGCACCTCACGGACACGGTAGTCGTTGGGCCCCAGCCGCCCAAGCCATTTTTACCACTGAAGCGCAGTCTCCTTGGACCATCACTGCAGCGAACGACCTAGCGTGTCTTGTGTTCGGCGTGACACGGCAAGAGGTGCGGAAAATGGGCATTCTGGAAGTTGTGCAGCCGGAGAGGAGGAAATGGTTGGAAGAGAAGCTGAAAGACCCCGAAGTTGGCTCGCGGCAAGCGAACAATGTCCCGAACCAAAATCAAAAGCCAAATCCAGCAGGCACAGTGGGGTTAGCCAAGGGCAATGGTGTCACGGCAAAACTTTTGAGTAAACCGTCTTCACGGCAGGTTGCCCAATCGCGACGATCCAAGACCGATGATGGGAGCGGCTCATCGATGATGGCCCGGAAAACCGTCAAAGGCGGCCTGAACCATCAAGCCAACAAGTCTCGAGGCGTGCTCCTTTGCGGCGACGTGGTGCCCATCCAGAAGCGGAATGGTGCAACGGGAGCCGCAAGTCTATGGGTCAAGGAGAAGCGCGGAGGCTTGATTTGGGTGCTCGAGGAAATCGCAGAAGACGTCGTCTTCGTTACCGTGGACGAAATCGGGTCCGTCGTCAAGGGCCAGGGCAGCATCGAGGCCATCTGGGGCACGGAACGGGTGCGGCGAGGGATGGACCTTGCGCGGCTGATCCCTGAAATTCCACGCATTCCCGGTACGAACACGGGTGCGCTGGATTTCGACAGGATCGCCGAGCTGAAGACCTTCACCGCTCGCACCCAAAATAGCATTAACATTCCCATTACCGTGCACCAGGTGCCGGAGGAGCCGACATTCCGCGTCTCTAGCTTCCCCCACATTGCCGGTATCGTCGTTCTGTCCGCCAGCACCCTTCAGATCACTAGCTCCAACACCGTCTTTTCCTCAGCCCTCTTCGGTCAAGACAAACCCGACGGGCTGCACATCACCGAGCTGCTCCCAAGCTTTGACAAGATCCTCCATGTCATGACCGATGAAGATCAGATCAGTCTGGTCGATGGTATCGTCATTCCAGAGCACAGCTTCCGTCGCGCACGAGCTTTGCTCGCCATTAGAGAGGGCAAAGAGGATGCAGCTGCCATCTTCCTGCGGCCCAGTGGCCTTCCAGCTAGGCATCGTGATGGCGCAGAAATAATGGTCGATGTGCAAATGAGAGTCGTTAAAAGCGATAAGACACCCAAGTTTGAAGACCACGTCATCGTAGAGGACGAAGAGCGCGTTGTACCACCCTCATCTGAAGTCGTGTATGCGCTCTGGGTCACATACTCGAGACATTTGCATGCGGCTACCCACGGCGTCGGGCCCATCACTCCTTTGATTTCGAGACCTGCCACGCCGCCCCACCAGCCGTCTCCTGGGCAGAGCGTCAGCATGCTGCATCCCGAAGAGGCAGAATCTACCGATAGCTCCAAAAGAGACACCCCTCCTGGAACTGGCGTGTCCCTCTTGACGAAGCAGATCAAGCAAGCGACAGAGCAACCCGTAGCAGAAGTGCCCGTGCCTCCGAAAGCACCTGAAGAAACACAAGAACCAGCCCCACCATCGAAAAAGAAGACCATTAATGATTTTGTTGTTCTCGAGGACATGGGCCAAGGTGCTTACGGCCAGGTCAAGCTATGTCGGTACAAGAACAGCAACAAGAAGATGGTCATCAAGTACGTCACCAAACGACGTATCCTTGTCGACACCTGGACCCGCGACCGTCGATTGGGTACGGTGCCGCTTGAAATCCACGTGCTTGATTATCTGCGGCGGGACGGCTTAAAGCATCCCAACATTGTCGAGATGGCCGACTTTTTCGAAGACGACGTTAACTACTACATCGAGATGGTGCCGCACGGGCTACCGGGTATGGATCTGTTTGACTACATCGAGCTGCGAGTCAACATGGACGAGAACGAGTGTCGTAAGATTTTTGTCCAGGTGGCCGAGGCGCTGCATCACTTGCACACGAAAGCCAAGGTCGTACACCGCGATATTAAAGATGAGAACGTTGTTCTCGACGGCGAGGGTAACATCAATCTGATCGACTTTGGCTCAGCGGCGTACATAAAGAACGGGCCGTTTGACGTATTTGTCGGCACGATCGGTAAGCTTCTCTTTCTTTCTTTCCCTCTCTTCTTCCAGTAAAATAAGAGGTGACTAACCAAGCGCCCCTGTCGCATCGCAACAGACTACGCCGCGCCCGAAGTGCTTGCCGGCAAGTCGTACCGTGGCAAGGAGCAGGACGTGTGGGCGCTGGGCATCCTGCTATACACGATCGTGTACAAGGAGAACCCCTTTTACAGCATCGACGAGATCATGGACCACGATCTGCGCGTGCCGTACATCATGAGCGAGGAGAGCATCGACTTGATCCGCCTCATGCTGAACCGTGACGTCGATGAGCGCATTAGTATCGGGCAGGTGCTGGAGCACCCGTGGTGTAAGATGCAGGGTTAGGAGATGGCGTTGTTGTCGGCGGCGGCAGCAGCAGCATGACGATGGATGGGTGCAGTGGAGGGGGCGCCACTTGTGCGCTTTGAGATGGGGCTGCACAGGAGGGTGGGTGTGGCAGGCAGTTGGTGCTGTGTAGGCAGGAAGGAAGCAAGCAAGGAAGGGAGGGAAGGTGGTGGGTGTATGTGGTAGTCCGGATGGTTGCATATTGTTGTTGGGAAGCAGAAAGAATACACATTTCTAGGATAGATAGGCGGGTGGAAGAAGGAGAGTGGAAACATGGCAGCCTGGTGGGGGGAGGGGGTGGAGGGCGGAAGGGGCCACGGGAAAGAATATGGCGAACGAGGACTTATTACTGCAAATTCGACACGATGAAAGGATACCAAAAAAGCCCAAAGGCAAACAAACAAGCAAACAAGCAAGCACGCACGCACGCAAGCAAGCAAGCAATGTCTGTCGGTGGTCAATCAGGCTCGCGCGCACGCAACGCTACGCACGCTCGGCGCATCAAGAGGAAGACGAAAGAAACGAGAAAACGGTAGAAAAAAAAAGAAGAAAAAGGAAGAAAAACACTCTCACACGCCAACAACAACAAGAGAGCAAACAGATCACGGACAGTCCTGGCTATTATTCTCCGGACCGCGGGTTTGGGCAGGGATCCCGCCGCCAGGACGAGTACAGAAAGAGAGAGAAAGAGAAAGCAGCCAAGTATCTAAATCATCTACCTATTCTTATTTCCATATTTCCTTTCATTGATTTTTGATTTTGTTTCTTCTTTCCCCTCTCCCACCCCATCATCATCATCCGCTTTCTCGCCGCTTCTTTCGCCGTGGATGAATATGGTTTTTTTTTTTTTTTTTTTTTTTTTTTTTTTTTTTTTTCTCTTTTTTTCCCTGATATAGCTGTAGGCGGTATATACATTCATACATAAGAAATCTCGGATACCCAAATATATGCCGATAGCGTTGCTCTACATATATGGATATGGATATATGCGGATGGGGACAAGGAATGTGCATTTGTGCGAGGTGCGTGTGGGTGTAGATGTGGATGTGATTCGAGCGGGTGGCCGGCTGCGCGGCAGTTATGATGGCTGGCTGGCTGAGTGGCTGGTTGGTTGGTTGGTTGATGGACAAGAGGACGCGTGAGAGGCGGGTTCTTGCTTGTTCACGTGTTGTGCATACCTTACCCTGTCTGTCAGCCTTATGATATGGCACGGGGATTAACGATTGTCATGCTGATCGTTCGCGTGCGGATGGGCTGCTGAGATGCGGGTGATGCGCCGTGGACGTGACGCGGGGGTCTGGCGGTGGCGGTGGTGGCTATGTCCTCTTGGTGGTGAGATGGGCGCGGGTGCGCGTGTCGAATGATTTATTGTCTCGGGAAAAGGCGGACCCGTTGGATTTCCGTTGCTTACTTACCTGTCTCATGTAACTTGAGACCAGCGATGGAGCGATTAGTTGTGTACTAGTATACTCTTTCCTTGACGTCGACGACGAGACATATGGCATGGCACTTGCTGTGGAGCCACGAGAATGGCGAAGAATCGATTGGTTCTTTGAAGATTAGTTATCTAGGTATAGTACTTAGAGACCTGTACCCATGTCGTTGCTTCTACTATGAGATACCCTGGCTTTGACCCCGCAATATCTCTGTCATAGTCACCCAACAGAACAGCAGCCCATCATGAATGAATGTTGCAATTTAGTCCCTACTTATCAACTGCACCACTCCAAACAACCAATCAGCATACGCAAGTAGACATGAAGCTCATCATCAAAACTCCATGCAAACAATCATCAATTCGAGCCCACGACAAAGTCATCGACAGCTCAAGTCGAAGGTGTGTTGCACTGGAGGCAGCAAAGAGCGATTGAGGACGTAGAATTTGGCCAGACAACACGGTTGCCTACACGTTTAAAGTGTGCCAGTCTCGTGTTGACTGAAAGGTGTTGTCGAGAAGAATGAGTACATAACTCTTGCGGGTGCACTATTTATAAGTGTTGTGTCGAGCGAGACAAGTTGTCGATACGCGTGCGAGTAGGTGACGGCGAGGAACTATTTGTACGAGAGTCTATATATACTATTAACCTTTCCGTTTTGGTCCCATTTAATTCTTAGTCTCGGATCTAGCTGTTAGGGCGTTAATGCGACTGTGTTTATCAAGTGACCACACTTTCGAGAGCATTCATATATGCTAGTCACCACTGCGTCTTACCCTTCCAGAGAAACGAAGATTATTGGCAATATAGATTTGCTGGTTGCCTGGAATCACCAGGTATTTGGCTGGCTGCAACAGCATTTATGAAACGCAGCCAAACGGGCCTGGTTATTGGCGCGCTAGAGTGGTTGGTGGTAGTGATGGTAATGGTAGCGCTAGAACTGGAGATTTTTCCTGACACAATCACGTATGCTGTTTCTCAATCCCAGAATGCTCGCATGCCCTCGAAGGTTGCTGTTGACGCGGGGCTGGTTGCCGTACTGCATGTTTTGTGCATCGTAGATCCAGCAGTTTCGGAATGAGAGTCCACTGCTGAAATAAAACCTTTCTAGTATACGTCCGAAATTTGTTCATAAGAGGACTACGTTTCGATGTTTGAGAGGGGTAGAAGGTGTTTTCAGACAAGTCACGCTCATGCTCGAAGTCCATTAGATGTTGGAACCTAGTTCTAGTCCGTCGGAGGTGGTGTCTCGGAGCGATGCCTAAGAAACAGAGTGCTGACGCCATACAAGCTCCCTGGATAAAAGGCGCAAAGGGTTGTACCATCCTTTTTGCGGTAGTATGTTAGTAAATCTGTGGTTGTGAACAGTCGGTACCCCTTAGATGACGATCGTTTCCAAACACGGGCTCGAGCTCGCGACAACGTCGTTTCGTCAAGGCACATCTTGTCGGAGGATTCAGGATGCGGACTTCATATTTTCGAGACTTGGTGTTATAACAGTAGGACGGTCGTCCGGGCGGGTGCCTAAAGCAATACGTCATACAAAGTTCGATACCAAGGTCACGGTGGATGGTCGTCGGGTGGCCTGTTGTGCTGGAATCATACGAGGTGCCCGACCAACAGCGATGGCGAACATCAGTGGGCGCGGTACTGACGTGCGGATGGGGCGGGAAAAAAAAGCAGTGCTGAGGTGCCGTCGCCCGTGCGCCCTCATCAGGCAGATAGATTGGGCGCTGGGTTGTGGAGAAAAGCGACGGACACTACGGCCGGACCGAGGGAGGATGGAGACAAAGGGTTTTGAAGCGACTGCGAGGCTCAAGTGAGACGGATCGAGCCATGATAAACTGGAGCTAGAGACGCGGGGTTGCGGGTGGCGGCGGATTTGGTTGGACGAGAAGGGCAAGAAGTTGAGCGATGGAGAGTCATGAAACGCCAAGTCAGCGGCACGAGAGGGCGACATGGATGCGACAGCCTCACACCGCTGGCAGTGAAGAGCCGCTGTCGGACTGCTGACGTGGTGTGGAGAGTGGGCGCATGATGTGGAGCGGAGATGCAAGAGATAGGGGAAGAGAGAAAGAGGTAGTGAAGAGGTAGAGGGAGGAGGAGGAGGAGGAGGAGGAGGGAGAGAGGGTAGGTAGCTAGCTTGTGGCGCAGCGCGGAGGGCCCGGAGGGAAGGGAAGGGAAGGGAAGGGTGCGTGAAGCTATCGTGACAGCCCATGCAAGCGTGGACGCCGGATGAGATTAAAGATGCAATAGCTAGCTCCGCCGTTGAGCCCGTGCATCGCTTGGACGGCGCAGCGAATGAGACGAGCCTTCGCTCTCTCTCTCTCTCTCTCTCGATGGGAGCTTCCCTCCCCCATAAACATACTCTCTCCGCCCGCCACCGCTCCCGTCCCGCTCCCTCTGATCCATTCGCCCCTCGTTTTTTAGTGGCCCTGCGGTGGTGGCTCTCTCCTCCAGCTGTCAGTCGCCGCCCACTTCCCACTCCCATCCACCCCCCCCGTTCCGCTCAAGCCCCGCGCTGCACACACCCCCCGAAACGTCACCAGCCAATTTGCCCAACCCCCCCCGAAAGCCGCCGTCTTTTCGTGCCTAGCGTCTCCGACGCAAATGCTGCCGTAGTCGCAGGCCTGAAGCACCTTTGCTCGGGACGCTGCCGTCAAAAAGTCTGATTTTTTGACTCCTGCCGCTGCCGCCGCCGTAAGAGGAGCAGATCCCTGTCGCCCTCTCCCTCAACACCACCGCCGCGCCACCGTCTTGCACAAAAAAAGCCCTCTCCGGGCCCAGTGTCCTGCAGCCTGCTGCGTGGCTCACCCTCGCCCCGTCGCTAAATGCGGTCCATGGCAATGGTCTCTCATACCCAGGCGGTCCCGACTATTACACCGCCGAGCAGCTCGCATGGCGATCGCAGCTCCTGGGATTATGCCGTTCCCTTGAACCACGAGGTAGGTAACACGTCGATGCCATCCACGCTTTCGGGTCGCTGTCCTCGGCTACTTGCAGTACTGCCGGCGCTAGCCGCGGCCCCGTCTTTGTGCCTGCTGCAGCGATCCTCCCTGACAACCCTCTTGCTGAGATCTTCGCTGCTAACGCCACTGGCTCCACGCAGAACGCCTTCTATGACCCAAAAGCATACATGTCGCACGATGTGTCCAAGGCCTACTCCCGTCAACCTGTCTCGTACCAGCAGGCCAACGGCGTCCCCCGTCACGCCCAGCGCCGCAACGACACCATGGACTCGTTTCGCTCCAACAAGTCCGCCCACGCCACTGACGCCTACTTGATGCCCCGCAAGGGCGACTCCCTGGGCAGGAAACAAAGCAGCCAAAGCGAGGCCGACAGCTTGCTGGAGCTGTACAAGCAGAACAGCCGCCAGGCCTCACCCAACATCCGGAACGAGCCGTGGGAGTACGAGCAGCCGCAGGAGACGGAAGAGGTGGAGAGGCAGGATGGCTACTGGATACATCGCGACAAGCTTGCTCAGATCGAGAGGACTGAGCTGGAAGAGGCTGGCTTCCTTCCGCGCGCAAACAGTTCAGAGAGCAGGTCTAGCAGCAGGTCTAGAGTTGCTGGGAGGAAGAGGGACACGTCGGCCAAGGGCGACAGCCGGCTCCACCAGGAGGAAAAGAAGATGCGCATGGTTTCACCCATACCCGCAGAAGACGAGCCCGAGGACAAACACGAGCCGATCGGCCTGCCTACACCAGAAGAGATAGCGGCGGACCGCGAGAAGAACAACGCCCGCAGCCCTGCTCCTCGCCCCGGCACCTCAAGAATTCCCCTTGCCAGAGCCAGCCCGGCGCCCATACCCAACAATTTCGTCGAGAGAGACGCGCCTTTGCCGCGGAGTCGCAGCAATAGCGGCGCATGGTCTAACGTCCCTGGAGAGGGCATTGTTCTTCCGAAGCCGCGCAGGAGGGGTGGAAGTGTTGGTAGTCAGGTGTTACTGGACGATGTGGATTCCACGCGATCGACAACAGGGAGCGAAGAAGAGCGTGGTCAGAAGAAAAAGACGACAACGACGACGAAGAAGTCAAAGCCTCCAAAGTCGGCCACGTCGGCGCCCACGTCCGTCAAAAGGCCCCAGATGCCTGCCAAGGCTGCTACGACTACTGGAAGTAGGAAGGCAAGCACGATGGCTCGCAATGTGTCGCAGCCCAAGCCAAGGACGGCATCAACTCCGCGGCCGCGCACAAGCGGTAATGATCGTCCAAAGAATCCCATCAATCGTCCTGAGGGAGAGGCGCCATGGCTTGCTACCATGTTTAAGCCTGACCCGAGGTTGCCTCCGGAGAAGCAGTTGGTCCCCACGCATGCCAAGCGGATAGCCCAAGAACAATGGGTGAAAGAAGGAAATGACGGTACAATCTATGACCACGAGAAGAAGTTGTTGGATGAGAAGGCGTGGCCTCCGAACTACCAACTTCAAGAATCAGCGTCAGAGGAAGAAAGTCACCAGGAGCATCAACAACCAGAGCCGCAGCCAGAGGCTCAGCCGGAACCTCAACCAGAGTTTCAACTGCCGTCTCAGCCGGAGCCTCAACCAACACCTCAGCCGGAGCCTCAGTCGGAGCCTGAGCCGCCCCAGTCTCGTCAAGAACCCCATCCTGAGCCCGAGCTCAAGCGGGAGAAGTCGAAGCGGTCTATCCGTTCGTTCAAGCGGGCCAAGCCAGAAGGCATGCCGCAATCGCGTCGGTCCGAGTCGAACGAGCATGGAGGCTACAAGACTATGCCGTCCGTTAACAAGCCTGTGGCTCCGACTCCTCCGATTGTCCCCAGTTCCACCACGACGATCAGTGGTCCTCGCACTCCCAAGCCTGATAGCTCTAGGAAGCCCGATACTATCAGGGTCCAAGACCCCGACGAGAAGGAGGATGTGAAGCCGAAGAAGAGCGCATGCTGCTGCGTCGTCATGTAAATGTTTTAGTCACCACCGGGTTGGCCACAACCTCAACTACCACTGCCAGAGTTTCTGGATTCTTTTGTCATTTTTCTTTGCACTTTTTCAATCGAACCATACCCACAGCGCCGGATGGTTTTAATCGGCGCTTCTGTACAGCGACACGTTCAACGTTTCCTTTGTCCGCGGCGTTCCCTGGAGCTAGCTCTTTCGGAAAAGGCTCAAATATCCACGGTACTGGTTTTCACTTTTTTGCACTACACTTTTTATTGACTGGGGGGTTTCTACTGCATGATAGCGTACAGCGGCTTGGTTGGCGATTTCCCTCTTCGATTCAGATTCTTTTTCGTTTTGTTCCCCATAGCATGGCGTTCCTCATCTTTGCTGCTTTTGCTGCTACTGCTGCTGCTTCCGCAACCTCTCTGTTTTCCTCACTTAGTTTGCGCGTACTGCTTCTCAGCTCTGGCATCAGATTGCGCCTGTTGCCCTCCTTCTCATTTTGCATCAAGGACGGACAAATCAGCCTGCGCGCACCATAGCGGCGGGCGCCCGTCCGAGTCTGGTTAATTGCTTTTTTCGAGCAAGACGGTGCTGCATAAAGCTGGTCTTGTAACAAGTCTTTCAAGTAAATCCCGTACTCGGTTCCGTAGCTGCGGGTTGAATAACAGCACAATAACTACCTACTTATCAAATACTCGACGGGTGATGTACATGCCAAGTGACGTGAGGGGATCGACAAGGCCCGTCGAAGGGACCAGCGAACGCCAGTGTTGCAGCTGGCGAACGGCCCTGCATGCATATGCTGCGAACCCTAGGTTATAAAATCCTGGGCAGTGCTGAGCAGGAAGACGGCACGTGACCGGGCGCCAAGCCGGAGAGAGCTCGCTTCACGGCACAAAGGCGGGAGCGCAAAATCCCTCTTGGGGAAACTTTTCGACGGCCCTCCCCTCACACCCAACGACGACACGCGAAAGCAACAACACCAAATCTCCGTATCTCCATCTCTTCGAGGAACACCCGACATCCCCAAACCCCACCCGAAAAACCCACAATGGTACGGCGCACCCAGTCACCTATACCCACATCCACACCCACATCTACATCCACATGATACATACATATATGGACCACGAGGTGGGAGGAGGAGGAGAAGGAGGAGGAGGAGGAGGATGTGGAGATTGCCACATAGACACACAGACACAGACACAGACACACCGACGGACACATAAAACAAAAAGCTAACGTAGCTGTAACAGTCGGACGGAGAAGAGCCCACTTCCCCCGTTGAGCAGCAGGAGGTCGAGGTCTCTGCCGATGCCAGCAGCGGCCAGATGTCCGTGCTTGACGCGCTCAAGGGCGTGCTCAAGCTGGCGCTGATCCACGACGGGCTTGCGCGCGGCCTGCGCGAGGCCTCCAAGGCGCTGGACCGCCGCCAGGCGCACATGTGCGTCCTCAACGAGGCGTGCGAGGAGGAGGCCTACAAGAAGCTCGTCGTTGCCCTCTGCTCCGAGCACAAGATCCCCCTCATCAAGGTCCCTGATGGCAAGCAGCTCGGCGAGTGGGCTGGTCTTTGTACGTTTTTTCCTCTCTCTTTTTCCTTGTTTCTCTCTCTCTCTCTCTCTCTCTCTCTCTGTCTAGGTCTAGCTAGCTCGCTCTTTCTTTTCTCTGCCCCCAGTGCTCTACTTGGTCGAGTGGGGGGAGAGAGCTGTGTTTTGATGATGGGAGAAGCACTTTGACTAACATGGCTCTCCTTACAGGCCAGATCGACCGCGAGGGCAACGCCCGCAAGGTCGTCAACTGCTCTTGCGTCGTCGTCAAGGACTGGGGTGAGGAGTCGCAGGAGCGCTCCATCCTGCTCAACTACTTCCAGACCGAGCAGTAAGCGCGCCCATCCTCTTCGGACTTTGCGCACGCCCGCCGTCTCTATTTGTTAAATCACACCCCCCCAACCTTTGCCTTCCCAATCGCTGCTTTCGGTAGTAGTGGTTGATTGATGGATTGGGGACGCGACGCGCGTGGCTTGGCGGGCCTGGCTTGGCTTGGTTTGGATTTGGGCCGTCTTCGGAGCCTATCTCCTCCCTTCCTGCTTGCTCTGTTAGTGGGCGGAGAATCTCAATCATCAACGGAAGATGTGCTTTTTGCGCGTGATATTGCTGTCCTGTCCTGTTCTGTCTTGCCTTGCCTTGCCTTGCCTTGCCTTGTCATAGCATGCATCCCGCGCATGCCAATGGCAATAAGGTACCATGCCATGCCATACCATGCAGCTACAATCATCCGCACGCCATTCTATATCTACCCAAACCACCAAAACCAGGATATCAACCCACCCCCGCCCAAACCAACCCTACCTCAGCCGCTCCCTCCCCAGCCCCGTCCCCATTCCTGCATCCATACCCAACCCCGCCGTCGCCGGATCAGCAGCCGCATTGCCACTCCCCTCGCCCAAGAACGCGCGCCCCGGCCTTGGCAAGCCACGCTCGACGTCCGCTTGCACGCTCGCGCGCACCTCCTCCTCGCGCCGCTTGCGCTCCTCGTGCTGCGCGCGCACGCGCTCCGCCGACCGCTCCGAGCCGCCGCCCCAGACGAAGTTGCCGGCGCCGCCGCGGCCGGTGCGCGCGAGGGGCGTTTCGGGTCTAGACGCTGATGCTGAGGTGGGTGGTGTGGTCGTGGTGGTACCGGAGGAGGAAATGTTGGGGCTGGTGCTGGAAGAAAGGTCCTTGAGCGGTGGCTCCGCCGTCGGCGTGCTGTGCGCCGTCGTGTCCGTCGTGGCGCCCGTCTGGGCGAGCGTGGCGGGCGAGTAGTAGTTCCCTGCGCCGCCGCGGCCCATGTGCGCGTATTCCTGGGGTGTGCTGGTTGTTGTAGGCGAGGTTGCGGTGGGGGAGACGACGACGGGGTTGGCGGCTTCGGTGTCCTGTTTGTGGGGGAGGGGCGTTAGTGTGGGAGTGAGGTGGATGTGGGTGAGGGGGTGGTGGTGAAGACGCCAATTGTCATGTCTGTCTGTCGGGTAGGCAGCCAGCATTGAGTGACGGAATGACATGAAAGTCCATAGGTGGAAAACAACAACCATCACGCCATACTAGATAGGTACACGCACCTCAGCCGCGCGCCTGCTCGCCTCCTCTCCCATGCCGATGTTTCCTGCGCCGCCGCGACCCCAAGACATGGCTTCTGCTGTTGGTGGTGGTGGTGTCTTTGTCGTCGTCGTAGTCGCAGTCGCTATGCCTTCTTCTTTTTCCTTGTCCGGGCCGCTCTGTCCAATTCGTTCGACCGTTCGTTCGTTCGACCGCAAAAGCGAATGCTCCTGTACGTAGGGCGTGTATGTGTGCAAGTCCGTTCGTCGTCTTGTCTTGTCCTGTCTTGACACAAGCAAGCAAGCAGTCAGGCAATCCAGGCACACAGGACGCGCACGCACTAGCGGCGATCCGCGTCATACCTCCGCACACTCTCCTGCTCTGGCACTCTCAACTCCGTCCCGAAACTCTCCCCTCTCCGCCGCGGCACACGTTCACAAGCACAAGCACACTCGTACCCGTCCTCGAGTCCACACGCAGGCAGCAAACAACCGCCCCGCGCCCCGCGCCCCACGACCACGAGCCATGGTCGCGCGCGCCCGTGACGTCATGCATGTCATGCCCGGCGGGCCCAAGACCAAGCCCGGCAATCGGAGTGCGGGTTACGGCGGAGGCGCGTCCGGGGCCAGCAAGCGGAAGGAGGCCGGCGCTGGGGCTCGTACATACCTACCTAGGAAGGTAAGGGACATGGAACGCTAGAGGGTAGGCAGGTGTGCCGACTTGGCTTTTCGTGTGGAGGTGGCCGGGTACTCGTACTCTAGTTGTCTGCGTGCACATGACTGACTGATGGACTGGGTGTTGGGCGGCAGGGCATGGGATGGGAGCGCCTTCTCGTTTGGGTGGGTGGGTGAGAAATGGAAGAGGAAAGAGCGATGCTGAGGAAAGAGGAAAGAGGAACTCGTAAGAGGCCGCCCTGGCCCCAGTCACTGCCTACCTACCTAGGTAGGTCAGTCACACTCACAATCAAGAATCAACAGCTGTGGATGAAAAAAAAAGCTCATTATCAACCCATGCCACATTCCATCAATCACCCCGTCGGCGAGAGCGACAGTGCTACGTAACCCAACCCTAACGCTGCCAGGTATATAAGTCTGCAATGCATGCACTCACCCGACCTCTCCCCTTCCATTCCATTCCTTTCCTGGTAGGCCCCGAAAAGTAACATAACAACCACAACAAAAAAAGGAAAAAGGGAGTTTGTTTCCAGCGACTCCCTGGATGAAAACCCCAGAAGAAAGAAAAAAACACATGAGCCCTGCCCCCCCGGCATAAAAGAAGGAAGAGAAA